TTCCTCCGACATTCGTCCCGTTACACCCGTGTGTGTGTGTTTTGTCGTCGTCGTCAGTCAGTCCTCATCTCCCTGTCAAAATGACACTCCGCTAGGTCCTATCTCCGCGTGACGCAGACTCGTATCCAGCTTCGTCACGAGCGGGATTTGCGCGTGCGCGTGTGCGTGTGTGGTTTTTTGGCTTTTTCCGCGCAAGACGAAGCGGCAAGAGCCAAGACGGCACCAGGCGCGCTGCGCACTACGTACTACGTACTACGGCCTACGTAGGCTCGACGGGGCGTGGGTACGTACTGTACTAGGAGCGGGCTGATCGGCGCGGGGATCGGCGGTCGTAGGGGTAGGGGCGTGTGTTGTGGTGGTGGGTGGGTGCGTAGGAGGGTAGGGTAGGGTTGGGTAGGGTTGGGTAGGGTGTGGAAGATAGGGTACCTACTCGTAGGTAGGACACGCTCGGGCTAACGTCATTGCATGCGTGCGCGGTTGGTTGCTTGGCTGGCTTGTGAGATTGGTCGAGTGATTGATTGATTTGGTTTTGAGCTATCTATGTCTATGTTCGAAGTATCTAGCTTGCTTGCTTGCTTGTGAGGAAGCGGACGGAGTGCTGTGTACTCGCGGGTCTGCGTGTCTGCAGTCTGCAGTCTGCTGTCGTACGCGCACTGGGACGCGTGCGCGGTGTAGGTCCCAGGCACCTTGATGTAAACGGCTACGGGCTACGCGTTGCGGCGCTAGGCACGGCTACTGTACGTATGTAGTAGTGAGCGTTTGGAGACTACAAACACAAGGCACAGGTGGCTGTTTCGGCTTTCGCTTCTTTGCCGCCTGGTGGCTGATGACCTACGTGGTACGTATGGCTTGCTAGGTAGGTGCCTACCTACATACCTAGTTACGTAGGCAGGTTGGTTTGCGGGTGCTGCTGCTTCGGGTTGGCGCCCGTTTCGGGGGTTACACGGCCCTCGCCGGGAGGGCAGGTGCTGATGAATCCCGTAGTAGCATGTAACTACCTTAGTAGGTGGAAGCGACAGAGTGTACATAGTTGCCCTACGCGGGCACAACAGCACGCATACCCCTGCGCGAGGCCGGACGGGCCCGACGCCGTTGGCCTTGCTGACTGGTGGTCGCTGGCTAGGGTGCGAGGTTGCTGGCTGGGGTGGTGATGAGATGGCAGCAGATATCTGACTGAGACCCCCCTCGCCCTCCCGAATGTTCCCTTCCATTTCCCGCTCCTCTTCTACCTGCTACTGCTACTCTACAATACCACCTCTACCACACCACCACCACATCCTCCTCACTGCCACTGCCAACCCTCCTCCTTCTCGTCTACGTACCTCACTACTCAGTCTTCTTCCTCTCAGCTTCCCGCTGCCCGTACCGCACGCCCGCCCACCGCCGATCCGAATCTCGCTCCGTACGCGCAGACGTATGCGCCCAACACGGCGCACGCCGCCATAGCCGTCCTCCGTCGCGTTGCCGTCTTTGCGGCGTTGCGCGTGCAGCGGTAGGCGGCGTCGTCGTCGCGTGCGGCGCAACGCGGCGCGGGTGCAGTGCCGTGCCGTAGGTAGGTACCTCTCCCACGGTGCAGCGGCGTGCGCACCTAGAGCGCAGACCTCACCGGTCGGCCGTCATCGTCATCGTCATCGTCGTCGTCAGTCGTCAGTCGTCAGTCGTACTCGTCGGCGTCGTCGTCGTCGTGGCACCGACCACGCGGCCCCGTCGTACGCAGCGAGATTTGGGGTCTCGGCGGCGGCGGGTGCGTTGCGTAAGCCGGGCGCCTTCTGCGTGCTATTTTTGGCTCGGCACCAAAAGTGCTTGATCACTGATGACGAGGCCGGGGGGCCGGAGCGGCTTCGCTGAGCCAAGCCCTTTGCGGTCTTTGGGGCCGTTTCGGGGTGGGCTTGGCCTTGGCGGGGTGGTCTGAGGGCAATCGACGTGTGATGGGCTTAGTGCGGGTAGGGTTAGGTGTGCTTGGGCTGCTGCGGCTGCTTGGGCCTGGGCAAATGGGCGTGCGTGAGGGTAAAAGAAGGCTGAGGTGGGGACTAGGCAGGTTTGGGTTAGGGTTTGGTGTTGTCCTGTCTTGTGGGCGGACTTGGCAGTGGGAGCGAGGGAGGAGAGGAGAGGAGAGGAGGAGAGATGGGGGCGGAGAGAGGACAGGGCATGGGGCGAGCACTGCCTTGTTGTTGTTTTAACTTTTGATGCTTGTGTTTTGACTTTTTGGTTTGGGGGCGGGCCTCCGTCCTCCAAGCTTCTTCGCACCCTCTCCCCTCCTCCACCCCCGGAATGATCGACGGGACGCAACGCTTGGTGCCAACCTGCCGTGCCTGCCAACGCGCGCCGAGTTTCTTCGTTCTAATTCCTGCCACTGTCGCCCATTTTCGCAGATTACGTTGCTCGCCGCCACGTCTGCTGCTCAGCCTTGTGTGGTGTGGCTGACGCTCTTCCCCACTTGTTTTGGTTTACTTGCTGCGCCCCAGGCCGCCCTGCCCAACGCACCAGGGCACACCGCATCATCCGCCGCTGATCGTCCACCAAGACGCTTCACGCGCTCGTTTATAAGTCAACCAGCCCCCCCGCGTTGTTTGTGTAGCCTTATCGCCGTCTCTTGCACCTTCGCTTTTCTCCGCTTGCGCTGTCGTGTGTGACGTCCAATCTCAACCTCACCTATCTGGACGGCCAGCCTGATCTTCCTGACAACCACTGAACAACCTCGCCGCAACCATGGGTAAAGTCGGACGCTTCTTCTGTATCTTGACGCCTATGGCGCTCTCGATTGCGTCGCTCATCTGTTTGCTCGTTGTCTTCCTGGGCAGCGTAAACAAGAACGACAGCAACCTGTCCAACATCTACTTCATGAAGGTGAGCGAGCACAGAAGCCAAACAAACAAACAAACCACTAACCACACGCCCAGGCGGACACATCGGGATTCAAATCCAATGCTAGTAGTACAGCGAGTGATATTCTCGGCGATGTCGGTGTCGACAACTCAATTTTCAAGATGCTTGACTCGGTCGTGGGGTCCAATTTGTCCGACGTCTACACCGTTGGTATCTGGAACTACTGCGAGGCCGACAAGAACGGCACCGGCGGCCTGAAGTTCACGCACTGTGGATCGCGGCACAGCGCGTACTGGTTCGATCCCATTGATGTCTGGGGCCTGAACAGGACGGGTACCTCGAACGAGGTCCCGAAGGATCTGCAGAAGGGTCTCAAGGCGTACGAGAAGGTCGCCAAGTGGATGTTTGCTGCCTACGCCGTCGCCTTCTGGCTGACGGTTGCGGAGATTGCTGTGGGCATCTTCGCCATTTTCAGCCGCTGGGGCAGCCTCGTCACCACGATCCTCACTTCCGTAAGTCTTGCAACCAACTCCTACCGCGACACGTAACCACGCGACATTAAGCTGACGTGATATGCACTCAGGCGTCCACTTTCTTCACGATCGCTGCCTCGATTACCTCGACCGCGCTCTACACCACCCTGGTCGGAACCCTTGACTCGGTCCTTAAGAAATACAACATCAAGGCCTCCCTCGGCGGCCACATGATGGCCGTTACGTGGCTGGCCGTGGCCTTCTCGATCGGCGCTGGCCTGTTCTGGTTCCTCAGCTCGTGCTGCTGCTCCGGCAAATCGGACAAGCGCGGCCGCAAGAGCATGACGGTCGAGAAGACGCCGTACACGTATGAGCGCGTCGAGAGCCCGTACGCCGGCCCCAACGATGGCACGCACCACACCAGCTGGGCCGGTCAGCAGGTCCCGCTCAAGGACATGCACAACCAGAAGGCAACGGCCTACGAGCCGTTCAGGCATAATTAAGAAAGTCAGAAAGGAGATCGGAGAGCAGAATGGGAGCTGAGAGGGTGATGATTCATGCGTGCACTGCAAGCGCGCACAACAGCTCCTCCTGTGAGCAAAATAATGCGGCGTTGGGAATTGGACGGTTACCAAATAAACAGGACGGGCATAGGTCTTTTTCTCTTTTTTTCATCTCTTTTTTTCATCTCTTTTTTCTCTTTTGCTTTTTTCTTGTCTATACTATCTCGATTGCCCTGATCGGACGTTGTCCGCTCACAGCACGCTCGCGCTAGATACCCGGCTGTTGAAAAATGACATAACTCGCTCCTACCTACCTAGTTTTTGCTCTGCCTACCTGCCACACGCACTCAGTGAACCGCGCTGCAATCCTAGCCCCCGATGTCAGTCCAGATGATCAAGCAAACACATCCTGCACCTACAACGACCGTTTCCAGAACCTCGCCAGCGCGGAGCCCAACCTACATACATACATACTATACTCCGTATGTAGGTAGTACAATATACAAAGCTGCCTCCTAGCTAGGTCCATAAGACGCAGTTAGCAGTATGTACGTACTCCCAAGCACCTTCCTATCCGGGCTAGCGCCTCCTCCTCCAGCCGATCGCTTCCCCGGATTGGAGAGATGGTGGTTCTCGGCGCGCCGTGACGGTATTTGTGCGACGGTGCTTGCGCGGCGGGTAGATCTTTGCGGGCTTTTGGCTTTTGGGGTGCTGGGCTACGTTGGTGGCGGTTGGGCGGGCTGGGGTGTGTATGTACGCACGTGTGTGTGTGTAGAGGGTAGGGTAGTGGTGGGCGGGAGTGATCCTTGTGGGTTTGGTAAGTGGGTTGAGAGCTGGGCTTTGTGCGCGTTGGCGCTGGGTATGCTGGCTGTGTGGTGGCTGTGCTTGAGCCTGAGACTGAAGGGTGGTTGGGCGTGGAGGCAGGCTTAAGTGGTTGTGTGGCTGTGGCGATGGTGCCTGCGGCGTGGACTAGGAGTACTGCCTGAGGCTAGGTAAGTAAGTAACCCTAAGCTCTGTGAGCTTGACGCCCTTGTCCTCGGCGAGAGTGACGACTCGATAGGCAGTCCTCCCTCAAGTACCTGCATCGTGGCGGCGCGTCTGTCGTTTTGCCAACGTCTCGAGAGACCAAGCGCGTGTTCGTAGCTATCACTGACCAAACAGGTGCCGCACAGTTTACGCCAAGCAGGTCTCGGTATAACCCACGAATTCGAACGGGTTACCAATGCTCTTGTATACTAGGTATCATCTTAGGATCAGACACAAGCTACGCAGAACAAGCAGTCTCGGCTACGCAGTAAGCGTACTGGGCCCGCTCGTGTGTGGTGTCGCTATGGAGTGTCAAAAGGGTCGGGATGTAGCAAGGACGGATTTTTGGCTGGGTGGATGTGGCTTCGATCGCTGTTTGTGAGCAGCTTGTGAGGCTGTTGTGGAAGGAGTTGTGCTTACGGTAAAGTAGGATCTCTGGGTGGATAGGAATTGGTTCGTCCCTATGCAGAACCAATGTCGTGCTGGGGCTATGGATGGCGTTGAGGGTATGATTAATGCTGGTGTTCGATTGGATGGGAACTTACTTGACCTGTGTCGGAATAGAGCTAACATGGGGTGATAATATGGGGAGAGGTGTGATAGATGCTACGTGAACTGTTTCACTACCACCCATACATGCTCGTCCAGGGCGGTTTTTTTAAGGCATAGAAGCTTATGGCAGCGTTACACCCTTAAGTCCAGCCAGTTACCCAGCTGATTTTCATTAAACCCAAACTTTTATTCTCAAAAACAGTTTTTCTGGCACACTGATGTGTTATCTCGTCGCACTTTTGTCAGTGGTTAGCTTCTCGTACTTAGTTATATGCACTGATATCTTGTAGATTTTGAGATTTTTCATTCACTATCAAGACCATGTTTACGATCTGCCTTGTTGGCGAATATTCTTGCACATGCTAATGATAAATACCCCGAAAACTCTACGCAATATACTCAGAACCGTCATTTAGAAGCCGCAGCAGATATTCCTTAACTACAAGTACGTCGATGCAAGTCTTCACTGTTGGAATCGAGGGTTTAAAAAGAGAGGCGAGTTACTGCACCATTTCCAAAGTCAACTCTTTAACAGTCACTTTTTGCCGAATCTTTATAATGCGGACAATAGTACACTGCAGGCTCGACGAACTAGCCATCTTAGTGTATTATGAATGCGTTGAGCATCTACTTACTTGAATAAGCAACTTTCTATGCCCCACACTAGTCCATTTTACACTCTCGAGCTCCTTTCTCTTCTTGCTCTTCATTATGGCGTTCAGGTTGATCTTCGGTCTCGAACTCTTATAGTTAAAGGTAAACTAACCCTCTTCTGTATCCTATCAAGTTTGGCAGTAAAGGAATTTCGACTTCACAAGTCCAGGAAGAAGGGGTTTAAATGTTTTAGTCGGTAGTCGACTAGATTCTGCAAGTTGATTGTAGGGCAGCTCATTGCTGTCGTTGAAAAACAACAAGGTAGTCATCTGGTATGCTGGAACTTGGAATATGCGCGGTGGCTTTTGGTGTACGAGATCTTGGAGCTCGCCGTCGCACAGCTGCCACAGCCATGCCAATCCTCGGTTTTCATACTGGCTGTTAGAGAACTCGGTGGTGCAAAATTTGTATCCGGCAGGTTGAGTGGCCAGAATCCCTAACGTAGGACGTAGAAGGATGTGTCAATGTGATATTCTAGAGAATCCTTGATTCACGTATCTTGCCATTCCTTAAAGGATAGTTGAAGTTCGCGAGATTCAATCATGTCTTGGAACATGCATTGTATCTAGGTAGCAAGCTTTGTTTTTCACCCTTGTATGAACTAATTGCTGATAATGGCCCTTTCAGTCATTTCAGACAGAGTAACTGGGTGTAGCAGTAGCAGCCTTCGGACAAAATGTCGACAATATAGCTTTTCGAACACATCTTTGTCGACGATGTAGACGTTAAAGATTGTAGTCTGTAGCTAATCAGTCTCCAATTTCTCGGCTCCGTCTTATAGGGCTTACGATTTTTTCCAGTGACTCCTTTATTTTCATTTCGACAGGTTGATCTCGCGAGAGCTCAACAATATACTTTTTGCAAAGTCTGCAAGCATCTCAGCGGACTTATAAGTCCCCGCTCGACAAAATTTGTTCTCATTGAAAACTGTGAGGCACGCAATCCCCAAAGATCTTTCGAAGCCAGCATTGTCATTGAAGAGCTCGGAGACCAAACACTGGAACGGATCCAGAGAGTTGTGCAGGGTGGAAACATACAGACGCGTATCTAGGTTGTCTTCTTCACGTAATATATTTTCCATCGCGACAAGGCCTTCTCTCTGTACGTATTTCTCAAATTATGTGCGGAGAGGATCCAAGCCGTCAGACACGCGGACAAGAAGCCCATACGGTTTTCGGAGATGATCTTCGTCTCTATTATGTAGCAGGGACCGAAATTCGTTGCGGAGAATGTCTAGGTGATCTGCGACCAGAGTTTGCTTGCATGTGCTGATCATCAGTTTCTTGAAATCGCTGAGCAGGTACAAAGGTATAAGATTCTGTTCTTGATTGAGCTTAAACACGGCTTGGGTTCCATGTCAATACTTGTCTGGACACCACTAGAACAAAAACCCCTAACCTATTTCATGTATTCTAGTACGTCTCTTTCCACTGGAACGTGAGCAGACTCTTGTCGGAAGAAACTGTATGTGGATTCGAGGAGTGACTTTTTGAACCGCTCTTTGTACAAAAGAATACCTTTCTTTTGTTCATAGCTTGTGCCTTCAGGGTCAGAGAACTCAGTGGAGACTGCAACGGATGAATGAGTACATAAACTTCCTGATCCTTGAAAATCTTGGACTTCTCCGTTCCGTCTTCTCTCAATCAATTGCAAAACAGAGTTTATGGCTAAAAAAGAAACGAAGTATTATCTTACATCTGCAGCCTCCGCCACGAAGTTATCGAAGTTTACTGAGTCGGCTCTGTTAGGCTCGAACTTGAACCCAGAGCCACTGGATTCGGAATTGCCAGTCTCAGATTCCGATTCCGATTCATCGGACTCGGAGCGACTATCTTCAGTTTCCAATTCATCAGACTTGGAGCGACGATCTTCAGTTTGGGATTCATCGGATGCGGAGTCACTATTTGATCTCTCCGAATCAGAGGGACTTTGCTCCGATTTGATAGCAGGTATGGTATTGCTACCGAAAGTGTCGACGTCCGTAGCCTCATCTGCCGTGAGATCAATTATCTTTCTCATGTATGGTCATACGAAGGCCATGCACCGCTAGAAGGCTATTTTTGTTTTCCATGGTGCGCAGCAACTTCACGCGCTGGCTTAGGTATCCGAGAAGGCGTTCCATATGGCTCGAGCCTGATCCCCATAACCATGAATGAGAGAAAACTGAGACAATGAAAATCAAGTGAGCCCTTACAGTTCAATAACAGAAGACGAGTTGGGACAGAATTGAGTAATCGACCTTGTGTTTTATACGTACAAGGTCTTAAGAGCTGAAGGCAGGAGGGGTAAAGTGAGGTGCGAGGCATGGGCTGTGCTATCTAGGGCGCACCCTGGACATCCCTTGAACCTCTGCTCAAGTAATGTTCTCCGAAAACCTGTCAACTCCAACCCGATACAAAGCCATACAAAAACATACAAAAACAAAAAGAAGACCAGATAGCAAAAAATAAAAACATACAACAGCTGGGATTCGCTAGTGGTCACCCACCTAACTACTAATCAGCCGGTTCACAGCTTAAATTTGGCAGAGCGGACGGGATGCCTTGTATTCTGTGACCTATGGTCGTATGTGCTTGTTAGAGTGTGGTGTTTAGTTTAAGAATACACTGATGTGGGTGGTGTTGACCCATTGCAACACCATCCGCCCGTTTCGGCAATTTGGAAACCCAAATACAGAGCGGTACACCCGACGTGACGAGCAGAATGTAGCTCTGATAGGTCTGTGCCAGCAACGGGATTGCGGCACAGGAGTGGGGTTGTCGGTGGTCGTGCTTGTGCGAGTGGGTGCGGGTGGGGGCGCAGTTGAGTCGAGAGAACAAAGAAGATCCAGCGCATTCAGGATCGCCTTTGAATGGCGTTATTCGGCCTAGACTGGCGTGCCTCGGTTTTTTGTTTGCACTGTTCGTTCTTTGCGTAAAACGAGACGAAAGCTCAAAGGGTGCGGCTGTCGCATTTGTCATGGTCGCCGGGGTAGATAAGCAACGGCCGATCTTTCTCCAGAAACCAGCGGCATTTCGTTAAGTGTGATAGGTATAAGGATACAAGATAAGATTGGCTTTGTGCAAGCAGTTATTGTGGGTTGTGCGTTCTACTCGTTGAATGGATAGTTTTGATCAGCCGGCGATAAAATGTTTCGGGTGGTGTACCCTGGAAATTCCATACCTTGCCAGCCATCTATTTGGTTCCCGCATCATTGATTTAGCTACTTCTAATTTGGGACTACTCCGCTATAACGAATGTTTGTTCAGGATCCACTGTGATGGTGTTGGCATGTAGGACTCGGTATCTGAGCCTGTCAGTGAGCGGTGCCTTTTCCAGCAGGCGAAGACTTGAGTGTTCTTCAGAAACAGAATACAATGAAAGAGGAAATTTAGGGAACGTCGAAATCATTAGTGTATTGGCTCTGATAAGAAAACACACGCAGATAGCAAAAAGCAAAACCACGCCTAACCCCAACCTCCAAGAGTGACTGAGAACTACCGCAGCGTCTGGCCACCAGAGGACGTGCCCGCCTGTCGTCCAACATCCCACCCTCCAGCGTCGGATCGGAATCACGCTGGAAATGCGGGGATCATCAAGATGTAGAGAAAAAAAAGTGGGAATACCTGAAAGGGTTGTTGTCGTGTGTGGGGGAGAGATGGCGGAAGGGACAAAGAGGGAGAAAGGATGCGTTAAGTCGTTTAGCAGTTGCAGCCCGCCGCACCCTGTCCGCTTGTCGCCTCCGGCCTGAGGTCCACGCCGGGACGGGGGCCAGACCGAATGTTTCTGGGGCCGGCCTGGTCAAGCGGCAGCTTCTTCGCGATGGCGGTGAAGAGCTCGCGCACGTTCTCCGACGTCTTGGCCGACGTTTCGAAAAAGAGGAGTCCGGCCTCCTTAGCGTACTGCTCCGCGTCGGCAGCGGCTATTGCGCGCTTGTCTGGGTTTTCGGTGACAAGATCGAGCTTGTTGCCGGCGAGAGCGATAATGATGTTCTCGTTTGCTTGCCTCTGCAGTTCCTTCACCCATGCCTTTGCCTTGTCTAAAGAGGACTGTGCGAAAAGGCGGTCAGTCTCAGCGAGAACACTGCGGGGTGCGCGGGGTGTGCTTACGGCTTGCGTGATGTCGTAGACGACAACGGCGCAGTTGGCATTCCGGTAGTACATGGGCGCCAGGGACTTGTAGCGCTCCTGGCCTGCCGTATCCCAAATCTCAAACTTGACCGTCGTGCTTTCGTCGAGGGCGATGGTCTGGGTGAGGAACGCGGCACCGATGGTAGATTCTCTGTAGTCGTCGAATTGATCCTGCGGAACGCGTCAGCTGGGGGTGCCTCGGGGCGATGCAATGGCGCTGGCGGGCTAACCTTGACGAAGCGCAGGACCAGTGAACTCTAAGAAACATCTATCAGTGTCGGGCCGCAGTTGACTGGCGCAGGGGCTCTCTCTCGTACCTTTCCGACGGCAGACTCTCCTGCGAGCGGGTTAGCTGGGTCGTCTCGACTTGGTTGGGAGGCGGGCAGACTCACCAAGCAGCACCAGCTTGAACTGCGCGAAGCGCGAGGCGCCGGGGCGGCCGCCTGGCTGGACTCTGTTGGCCATGGTGGAGTTGGCGCTCTGTATGTGGGTTGCGTGGGACGAGGCGGGCTATGTACAGCGTCAGGGGGCTGTTGGGCGATGGGCGCAGATGGCGGGGTGGTGAAGGGGTTGCGGGCTTGGAGTGCGGTCTCTGGGTGTTGACGTTGGCCGCCGTTGGGTGACTTGGCTAAGCTTGGAGCTTCTGGAGCGCGGGCTTGGCAGGGTGTGGGAGGCTTTGCTCCGGGTCGCTGGCTAGTCGTGGCCGCGCCGACGCGCCTCGGCCACCGCCTGCCGCCGGCCACGACTAAACCCCGGCGACGCGCATTCGTCACTCCCGTGCCTGCCCGCGCATGCCCGTAAATGCCACCGTAATCAAACACCCTCCCGCTGTCTCCAAGCCTGCCCCTCCTCCACCATCCCACTGCTCGCGCGCATTTTCCTGTGCGACTTGCATGCCAGCTTAGCCTTGCTGTCTGATCCCTCCAGCCCACAATGGCTGCCATCCTTCCCTTTCGGGACATCAACGTCCACGCCTCGCCCTCCTTCTACGCCTTCTCCTCCCCCTCGTCCCCCTCTTCGCCGACTTTGGTTGTCGACCGGCCCTCCGGCGACCTGCGCCTCAACGATGGCAAGCTTGTCGGAGGCCAGCGCGTCACCAGCATCGCCGGCGTGCTGGGTATGATCAAGTTGCGCCTAGGTATCTATTTATAGCCCCTCGTCGCGAGTAACGTTACCGCTCACACAGCTTGCGCAGACAAATACATCATAGTTATCACCAAGGCCCAGCCTGTTGGCAGGCTCAAGGGCCACATGGTCTACAAGGTCGCCGCGACCGAGTTCCTGCCCCTCCGCGAGCGCCCCCTGCGCGATCCCGATGAAGACACGTACCTTCTCTACTTGAAGACTCTCCTTAAGAATGGCCCCATGTACTTTTCCTACTCCTTCGACATCACCAACAGTTTCCAGCGTCAGGCTCAAGGCGACTACTCGCAGCCTCTGTGGAAGCGCGCCGACGACCGCTTCTTTTGGAACCGCTTCATACAGTCCGATCTGATAGACTTCCGCAACGGTGGCACGAACGCGTCTGGGTTCCGTAGCGGTGGCATACAGAAAGATGTCGACCCCTATATTCTCCCCGTCATGTTCGGCATGCTGGAGATCAAAAACACGTCGATCAAGGGCAATCCTCTGACATTCATTCTCATCACTCGGCGCTCAAGGCTCAAGGCAGGGACGCGATACTTCTCTCGGGGCGTAGACGAGAACGGAAATGTCTCAAACTTCAACGAGACGGAGCAGGCAATCATACTGAACGACAATGCAAATGGATTGGGAGGATTTGCCGGCAACTCGGGCTTCCAAACTGGAAGTCAGGCGGGGAAAGAGACGCAGGTTCTGTCATACGTCCAGACGAGAGGAAGCGTTCCTGTCTACTGGGCCGAGATCAACGAACTCAAGTACACTCCGAAGCTCCAAGTCCGCAGTATTGAGAGCGCCGTTCCGGCTGCTAGGCGTCACTTCGATGAGCAGATCCGCTTGTACGGTGACAACTATCTTGTGAACTTGGTGAACCAGAAGGGAAGAGAGAAGAGTGTCAAGGACGCATACGAGAAGATGGTAGACAAGTTGGTGTCTTCGCCGGCGGAGACGACGGAGCGCGACCAGGTCACTGAGGAGAAGTTCCACGTCATCGAACCCATGCAGGACAAGCAGCAGTATGACCGGATCCACTACATCTACTTTGATTTCCATAGTGAGACCAAGGGTCTGCGCTGGCACCGGGCCGCACTATTGCTGCAACAGCTGGAGGGACCAATTCGGAATCACGGATACTTCAGGGGTATCGATATGCCCGGTGACCCACATGGTCGCATGGAGGTGCGCAGCTTGCAGACGAGCGTTGTGCGTACGAATTGCATGGATTGCTTAGATCGCACCAACGTCGTGCAGAGCATGCTCGGCCGCTTTATCCTCAGCAGGATGCTCATCGACCTGGGCATGCTGAGGGAGGGCGAGAATGCCCAGGATGATGTTGCTTTTGAGGACTTGTTCCGCAACATCTGGGCCGACAACGCTGATGTAGTTTCCAAGTCCTACTCTGGCACGGGTGCGTTGAAGACCGACTTCACCCGTACAGGCAACCGCACAAAAGCCGGAATGCTGCAGGATCTCAGCAACTCCATTACGCGCTACATTAAGAACAACTTCCTTGACGGGCCCAGGCAGGACGCATTTGACCTGTTCCAGGGCACTTACCTTCCTTCAGATTCGAACATTGGCAACAGCCTGCTTTTCGTTGATCGTAGGCCTCTGGCCATTCAGTCCATTCCTTACATCCTTGCGGGTGCCCTTTTCTTTATTTTCGTTTCCACTTTCACCAGGCGGGCTCCTGACGCGACGGTTTGGCCGCTCCGCATTCTTGTGCTGCTTTGCTTTGTTGTGAGCGCTGCGTGCATCCAGTTCATTAGGACGCACGGTACGCTATATGTGAGTGCACATACATCCGAGCAGATCGCCTTCCCGACGCTAACAGACACTAGGTCAACTGGCCGAAGCTGAACACGCCCCCGTACGCCATTGAGGGCTACCAGGATGCGATGTCGTCGGTGTCGAAGGACCCGCTGTTGGGCCCGTTGGTTGCAAGGCACGAAAGGGGCAAGAGTGACGCCCGACTGGCGTACTTGGAGGAGGGCAACAAGAAGAGAATAGAGTAGAAGTCGGGTGGGTTGATAAGCGGCGTTGGGGCAAGGGTTTCACATACTACGACAACTGTACTATGGCCGGCCGGCGTGGGAATTACTTTCGTTTGTTTTGTTTGGTGGTAGGGCGGTCTACAATAAATCCATGTCTTTGGTGGGCTTTTAGGTGATGACGTGCACCCGCGGCTGCGGACGAACGCGGCCAAGCCTCCAGGGCCCGGCGGAAGCTCGCCGAAAATCGACTTCATCTGCCGCAGCTCCATCGCAACCCACACGAGCACTCCATCCGAAGCTCCTCCCGACCTCAGCAGCCCGTCATGCTGCGCGTCTCCCTTGCACGAACGAGCCAGCTGGCCACCACGGCCGTCGCGAGAAGAAGCGGCTCCCAATGGCTCGCGGCGCGCCAGGCTGGTGCTGCACGCTTCGGCCAGGTACGCACCGCCAGAAAATACGGCGCATTAACGACGCCTGCTGACCATTGACCTTGGGCTGTAGCGCTTCTATTCTGATGTCAGGAAGCCTGATGAGACGGTTTTGCCCGGTTCGCACAGCGCGAGGCTGCCCGAAGACATCCCTCCTCCGCCGACCGCGACTCCCGCAAACCCAACCCCGACCGGCTCCATCCCCCCTCAGGCCGCTCCTCTGACCCCTCCCACGCCCCAGGCCGTTGGTGCTGAGTCCCCCCCGGCCGGCTCCGCTCCTGGTCACGGAACGGGTGTTCCCACTGGCACCGGCTCTGCCACCGTCGCTCCCCCCGCTGGCTCTCCTGTCCCTCCTCCCCCGAAGAAGGGCAAGTTCCGTCGCTTCCTTCTTACATTCATCCTGCTCTCCGGTCTTGCCTATGGCGGTGGCGTCTACTACTCGTTGATTTCGGACAACTTCCACGACTTCTTCACCGAGTACGTTCCTTTTGGTGAGGATGCCGTTGGCTACTTTGAAGAGCGCGAGTTCCGCAAGCGCTTCCCTGGCCGTGGTAGCGAGGGCCGCCTGCACCAGCAGGTCCGCGGCGAGAACAAGATCACTATCCCGAGCAAGAGCGGTCTGTCGTGGAAGCTGTGGGAAGAGAAGGAGCCCAGCGAGCACAGCAGCGACCTCGGTGGCAAAGGAAAGCATTCTAGCGCTGTCGATGACAACAAGAAGGCCTCCAAGTCTTCGCCAGTCGAGGCGGCCAAGGCTGGTGAGGCTGCCAAGGAAGGCAAGGGTTCGGAATCGATTACCAAGGACCTCATGCCTAACGAGGGCGCTCGTCCTTCTCGCGCAACCCCCATCGACAACCTCGAAATCAAGGGTGCCCAGGAGCCTGTTGTGCAGGATGTAGTCAAGATCATCAACGATATCATCACCGTCATCAACGCCGACAACGCCGGCTCCAAGTACAACTCGGCAATTTCCAAGGCCAAGGGCGAGCTCACCAAGATTGTCAGTGATATCGAGACCATGAAGGCCGTGTCTGAGAAGCAGTCCGAAGACAAGATCAAGGCGCTGCACACGGAGTTCGATGAAGGCGCTAAGGAGCTGGTCAAGCGCATCGAATCCGAGATGCAGGACCAGGAGACGCGCTGGAAGGAGGAGTTTGAGGCCGAGCGCGAGAAGCTTTCTCAGGTTTACCAGATCAAGCTTAGGGCTGAGAAGGAGTCTTCGGACAAGGTCTACGAACAGAGGCTCAGGAACGAGCTTATGCAGCAGGCTATTGCGCTGCAGCGCGAGTTCGCTGACTCTGTGCACCAGCACGTCGAAGCGGAGCGCAACGGCCGCCTGGCCCGTCTGTCCGAGCTCTCCGACTCGGTCCAGGAGCTCGAGCGCCTCACGGGTCAGTGGAATGAGGTCATCGACGCCAACCTGAAGACGCAGCACATGGTTGTGGCCGTTGAAGCGGCGCGCGCCGCGGTCGAGAAGGCAGACCAGCCGCGTCCGTTTGTTGAGGAGCTGGCGGCACTGAAGGAAGTCGCGGCCGACGACGCCGTCGTCAACGCGGCCATTGCGTCGATCAACCCCGCGGCCTACCAGCGCGGCGTGCCGACGACGTCGCAGCTGATCGACCGCTTCCGGCGCGTGGCGGCCGAGGTGCGCAAGGCGGCGCTGCTGCCCGAGGATGCGGGTGTGGCCAGCCACGCGGCCAGCTTGGTGCTGAGCAAGGTCATGTTCAAGAAGGGCGGCGATGGCCAGGGCCTGCCGGTCGGTAACGACGTCGAGAGCGTGTTGACGCGCACGGAGATGCTGCTCGAGGAGGGCAACATCGACGCCGCGGCGCGTGAGATGAACGGTCTTTCGGGCTGGGCGAAGATGTTGGCGCGGGATTGGCTGGGCGACGCGAGGAGGGTGCTGGAGGTTAGGCAGGCGCTTGATGTGAGTGATACCCATCCCCCTTTCCCTTTTTCTTTCTTTTCCATGTCCCCAACACTGCTCGTCAAAGATGAATGCGGCTAACGATATTGTTCTCGAACAGGTTCTTTCCACGGAAGCGAGGCTCCAGAGCCTGCTCGTCGACTGAGCGCGCGCTAGCTAGATACGCCTACCTAAACAGTCTGTCTATCTAAAGAAAAACCAATTTTTTTGTATTCCCTGCTGTACACGTACGTACACAAACAACACACGGGGCGCCTCTCGGTGCCCATGTTTCCTCCGTCGTCATCGCCGTCTTCATCCTTCCCTGTGGCCGTCGGGCTGCGTGTACTTAGATTCGTCTCTCCGCGTTGTTGATAGATCAAGAATGAGAAGTGGTGAAAGGTCTGATGGCGCTGTTGCTGTTGCTGTGTGCCTTCTTCTGACTGATGCTTGCTTGCTACCTTGTCTGTCTGTCTGTTTGTCTGCGTATGCCTAGTTCCCGGCGCGTGATGTGCTTGAAATATACTGTATGTGCAGCGGTGTTGAGCATGATGTAGTAAATGGTTGGGGTGACGCGGTAAGTAGGAATCAAAACTGGGGAGAAAGCAGACATGCTGGAGCCAGTGCAGTTTGGATTCATCGTTTCTCTGCAGAGCGAATTCATAGTGGAGAGAACGTGATGGCGTTAGATGTTTGGTGCTTGTGGATGTGCTTCTTTCTTACTCCCACTTAGTCTCGCTTACTTGCTCTCATTTCATCACTCTGACTTCCTCGCTTTTTGTTCTTCTACCAATCTTAAAGGAAACAGGCGCCGGCATGGCAGCAGCCACGGGGTTGCCGAAGTCCGTGTGGGCATTCACGTTGATAGATGAGAAGTAGTATTGGTTTTGAGGTGGCTCATTCGGGCGCCTAGAGATGTATCAAGAAGATAGCGTTCAGTAAGGTGCTGGAGACTGGACTTACCAAGGTTTGTGTCAGAGGATGTAATATGGCCCTGCTATTCTCGATGGCGTCTATGAATACACGAACACTGCAGTTAGGCTTATAAGTACACGTCCCACGCCCCTGTTAATCCAATCCTGCGCCAGAGTTCACAACTATGCTGCACTCAGTCTTCTCGTGAGGTCACTCATTTCGAACACACTGACATACCAGACGTCTTCGGTGAAGGCCCAAGCATCATAAATTGGTCAGTCGTAAATATCGAGGAGAATAGATTTAGACAGTGATGTTTAGGGTCTAAAATGATAAAATTACTGCCATGATATCAAATATAACCGACGGTAGACCTGCAAGCCAGGGTCCTCCATTCGGCTGACCGAGTGGAAAGGCCGGCGAAAGTTGGAGGATTAAACAAATTGATCGCGCGGGTATGTTGTAGCTGAAGATACGTCAGTACGTATAGTATATGGGAAGTGATATAAAAGGATGGTAAGGTGGGTTTTCGTCTTCTCGCTAACAAGTGAGGTTGGTGAGGCAGGTAGCATGTTTAAAGATAATCACGACATTCGTAACTGGGTACATTTGAATGGCGTTCATTAGCTCACTTACCTCTGTGGCTGATCGTGCAGGTGAGAGGGCCGTAGTTTTGGTGTTGGTAAGGCTGTAGGTATCGTATCTGGTGAGCAGTGGTGAGGAGATGTGGTGATGCATGAGATTGTCTTCAAGGCTTCCTTAATTTCTGACTAGTTATAGACATTGTTTTTAGTTCCAAGTAAAGCTCATACTAAATCTTTCATGTAGTCAGTGGACAGTTTATAAATTTCACAACTCGGATACCTCACTGTCAGAGCTCCAATTAGCATTTTAACATTGTAGTCCCTTGACGACGATTAACTTTCCATTGAGAATAAGTTGGAAAGGCTCACTTTGTAAACGATGGTAAAACAACTCGAGACCATGAGCCAAACTGATCCATCTTTTTTTCATTCATCACAGTGCACTCAAGGCCCCCGAAATGCCTGGGACTTACAACAATGACAGAGTGAAGTCCTTCCTATCCCACCCCATACGCCGAGTACCGAATTTATGTAACTGTCAAACGGTTTGTACACCAAAGCGATAGTCCCCTAGTGGTCCTGTTTTTTGATCTCAATCCATGTCCGCAATTTATTTCCGGTTTGCGAGCAGCGCTCTGACAGCTTCCATAACGCCCAGTCCCCTCTCTTCGGAACCCTCCAATGCACTCCTCGTTTCTGAAGCCTCTTTCGACGCAGCCGCAGCAGCAGCAGCCTCACTTTCCTTCTTCCTCTGCTTGAGCTTCTCCATCTTGGCCCTCATGGCCTTATCCTCCTCATCTCTGGCCTCCAGCTCGCGTATCCACGCGTCGCGCTTCTCCAAGCGCTTCTTCTCCTCGCTCAGGTTCTCATACTCCTTGCGCTTCTCGCGGTCCTCCTTCCAGTACATGGAACCGACGTACATGGAAATGATGGTGAAGCCCTGGGCGTAAATACGGCGCCGGAACATGCGGTTCGTCTTTTGCGAGTCGCCTGTGCGCATCGAGCGCGTCGCGCCGAACAGCGCCCAGCATGTGAGGAAACAGCCCAGCGGGATCAAGGGCTCTTCCTTCAGCCGGCGCGTGAGCTTTTGCCAGCGGTTCTCGGAGTAGAAGTCCCTGCGCGGAGTCAGCGGAGGTTTCGGGTGGACATGTGGTCGCTGCGGTGTAACAGGCGCATGCGGGGAAAAGACTCACTCATTGCCGTCGAAGGACGAGGGAAGTGGCGCGTCAGACATGATGGTGTTGTGGTGGTGGAGATGGCGGAAAGGCCCAAACAGGCCCAATTGCGCAAGCAAAGGGGCGAATTGCAGCAGCGAAGGGGCAAAAGTCACAAAGAGCGAGCGGGGCAGAAGCTGCAGATAGATATGGTGGATTGGCGTGAGATGGACTTCGTCACCAATCGCGCGGGAAATCGGCGACGTCGGACGGGTCTTGGCGCGCGGAGCTCCGCCATGGCGGCGGCTGCTGACGTCTCCCGAGCCCTCAACCACACACGCACCTGCGACAAGGCCACGGTACTATGAGCGCGACAGCTCTACACACTCCGTTCACGATATGAACGATGAGCCTGGCCCGTCCACGCACGACCGGCCACTGCAGCCCTCCGCCGCGGACCTGCATCATGAGAGCGGAGACGCACCACCATCAGTCGACGCCCCCGAGCCCGATGCCGCGACTGTCGCTGCTGAGCAGAGGAAGAAGGTCAAGGCCCGGAGGGTGGGCCGTCTGGATGATTTGCTGAGGAACCTCGATATTTTGATCTATGCCGAGCTGTCTGCGGTGTACTACCTGGAGTAAGACATCCATCTTGCCCGCACCCAGCGTAACATGCTGACACGTCTGCGCAGCTGTTCATTCCTACGTCTCGTGCTCCGCGCTTTTGTCCAGCTTATCTGGCTCACGCCCAAGCCCGAGATCCTGCCCGACTTTCCCATGAACCGCCCTTTCATCTACCCCATCTGTGGCTCAAACTTGATATGCCTGTTCCTACATCTCTGGTTTCCCCCGCCAACGGCCGGAGAGACCACCAAGGGCTACTTGCACGGCGGACTGCTCATCGACTGGATAGGCCAACAGGGCCCGACGTCCAAATTCCATTTGCTGCTTTTGGACCTGCTTATCCTGGCTCTGCAACTGGTGATGCTGTCGGCGTACTTGAAGTCTTATAAACTGAAGAAGAACAAGGAACCGACGGAAACAAACACGGGAGCCCGGACGGCAGGAGCTGCGCGAGGCACGACGGCGGCCAGGCCACGACAGGACGTGGATTCGGAAGAGAGAGGAATCCTGCGGCGTTCTTCGAGTCTATCGGACCTTCAAGATCGGACACCTCCGAGCGAGAGGGACGAACTACTGAACGATACAAGAAGCTTGGGCTCGAGTTCTTTGGCCGCGACGCTGGATACGTTGGAATCCGGCCAAGCTGTCGTGGCAGATCTGTACGTGGCGGACACGGTCCGGGAGCAAGTAAATATGCTGTTTAATGGGGAGTACATGACGCGAGATGCGACAACGACGAGCTCAGAACGCAGACGGGAGTTGTTAGCGCGCTTAGGCAGGCGACGTTTTGCATTTACGGCGAGATTAGGTGGAGGATGAGAGAGAACCGGCGGCAGCATATTGTAATCTCATGATACCCAATCATCAGCCCCCAGGACAACCAACAGGCCTCCCCCTTCTCCCATCATCAGACGCAGCGCAGCAGGACGCACGCACGCACAAGACCTGGAGAGCGGGGAAATGGATCGGACCGGCTCAGGTGGGGAAAAGCAAAAAGGACGGCGTGCACACCTGCATTGCATATCGGCGCGCAGCAGTGGAGCCCGGCGCATTCCATCCATTTTTCTCGAAGCGCGGCTACCCTTTGGCCTCTGCATGCGGCTCAACATCATCATCACGCAAGCGCGCCTGCCGCCAGAAACCCACCCGGCCCCGCCGTCAGGCATCTCTGCAGGCACAGCCGCGGCGGCGATGCACGCGCTGAGCGGTCAGGCGTGGCGGCAGCGGAGCAACAATGGAGGGGCAGGGAGGCACACATGCAGGGGCAGGGCAAGCAAGCAAGTAAGCAGGCAAGCAAGCAGGGCCGTTAGGCACAAGGCAGCAGTAGCACACGACAACCTACATACATACTGCGCCTAAACCTAACGTCAACGCGCAGCAAGTGTCTGACTCTGCAGACTACAGCAGCAGCCCCGCCGCTACGACGCTTGAAGCAAGCTGCTCCGCGCGCGCATACGAGTACAATATGGAGACCAAAGCACACGCTAGAAAGACGTCTTTAGACAATGGACAATTACTAGTGTCCCATGTACAAATCAGACTCGATTGACAGGGTAGAGGGTTAGAGAGGCCGCGGCTTTTCGCGCTGCGGCGGCGATCGGCGGCAAATCACGGCGCTGCGGGACGGGCAGGCCGGGCGGCTGCGGGTACGGCAGCAGGGACGGACGGGGTGGAGCAGGCTGGGATGGGAGAAGAAGCTCCGGCGTTTGGACAGGACAGATATGCGGGGACGGAGAAGGCGGGAAGGAAGGGAAGGAAGTGGGAATTTTCCAAGGAGTTGTCGTCTGGTGGTGGTGGCCCGGTGGGGCGAGGTCGGCTTCGAGAATCGAGATAGTACTCTTTGGCATCCCTGTAGGTGCAGGAGGCTGGTTGCTGTCGTCAGACCGGCGGTTGTTGTACATGCAACATGCGGGGGCGCGCGATTTGAGGAGCGGGTCGTGGATGGCTTGTCGCCACGTGCGAGACGCATGCGGTGAGACGGGTTGCGGGAGGTGATGAGGAGGAGCGAGGGGCGGTATGGATGAGCTGATTGATGTTCACACGTGTATTGTATGTGGCTTCTAGGGGTGTTCTGAGTTTGTTCTTTTAGCCCGAGCCCGAGCGAGCGAGCATAGCATAGCATATCGTAGATACTAGTTACTCCCTCCGTACATAGGTAGTTATTGCTTTCGTCAACCATGTTTGTTTGTGAATAAAGCTACCTTAGCTACATAGCCCTTCCCCACAATCTGCTGCTCGGACAAGATGGCAACGAACCTGAACCTATAGCACGCTAGCTAGTCAATCACGAACAACCCGCCCGCCAGAGTCAGAAGTCACAAACGGCGAGGCCGATGGCAGTGCTGCCCAACCAGCCCGCCCAGCGGTGAAACGTCACGGCACGTCATGACGGGTCGCGCCGATCTGACATGTCGCGACCTACGGTGGAGGGGCTGACTGGTGGATGGGAATGTTTGGATCTGCGCGCCATCACATCTCATCTCGCCGAGCGCTTGCAATGGCAAAGCTCTTAGCTCCCCCTCCTTCCTTCCACTCAACCCCGGCATCGCTGGCTTATTGCATACCCAGATCCGCTGAGATTGGATAGATAGTCAGCGTTGCAGAAGCAGGCCTGCCGTCCGTCACACTTGGCAGATAGGCTGCTTGCCTCGCCGACGGAATCACCCGTCGCGCACCGCCACCCTTCTTCCACTAGAGAAGAGTAGGTAGCAGGATAGGTGTAACATCCACTCACCCACTCACTAGTCGCTGTTCCATCATCAGACCAGCACGCATACCGCCATACCTACATACGTGTACCCCGCTAGCTCGAACCGCACATCCACGCCACCCCATCCCAATCCATCACATCCGATCCCGTCCCACGCCCTCCGATCCGTAGGGCCAGCAGCCCCAGCCCCAGCAGCCCACACGCCTGCAGCATTAGCAAAACCCGCCCACACGCACTAGCGTGAAGAAGAAAAAAAAGTGACAAGCGTGACACGAGTGACAAGCCCCCCCAAACAAGCCCCCAAACCCCCCACTCATATCAGCACGACAAGCGAGCCACGCCAGAGCCTGCAGAAGCGAGTGACCGAGCAAGCAAGCGAGCGAGCGAAAGACCCATATGATCGCCCGCTTGGCCTGGCTCCGAGCCTTTTCCCCGTTGCAGATCGCGTCGCGCTGACTGCGGGGCCGCGACGGTGGTGGTGGTGCCAAACAATACACTCTCATATGTGTACACTCGCACATGTATACACATGGAATATAGGCCAAGCCCAAAGAGGGCGAGTTTGCGGGAGAGAGGGCCGAGGGGCGTATGCGGTGGGGTGGGGTTGCTTAGCTAGCTAGCTGGCGTGTTGTTGTTGTTGTTGTTTACTATACCACCTATACAGTCCAATAGCCCCTAGCGCTAACTACGGCTTCAACGCTACTACTACTACTACTACTACTACTACTACTACTACTACTACTACTACTACTACTACTACTACTACAACATCCGGCTCTAACACCCCCGCCTATCCAATACTTATACTGTACGATAACGCAGCGGTTCCCTGCCCAACCCACTCCAGCAGCAGCTTCCTAGCGGCTACTCTACTCTAGTTCGCAGCGGGGTGGCAAGCCACGTGCACGCGCAGGGATGATTCCGGGCGGGCGCGTGGAGGATCGAGAAAGCCAAAGTCAAGAGGTGATGGCTTGATGGGACTCGGGAGGGAAGGGCAGGTGCGAGTAGAGTACGAGGGTTGTAGGGATGGTTCTGGGGCGAGGGGCGTGCTTATTATTCCGTTCTGTGTTGCGTGGGTGGTTGAGTGCTTTCTTCGTGACTTCTTCGTGCCTGTGGCCTTGCGGCCCTGCGAGGCTGGTGGGTGGGTGTGCGTTGCGTTATGCCTGCGTTGCAAGTTGCGTGCTGTGGTTAGGTTACTTGGAGCGGTTGGCTTGGGCTTGGGCTTGGGCTTTGTTTGGGCTAGGAGCTGACTCTCTCTCTCTCTCTAGCACTCTTCGGGCTGCCTTCCATCAGGCTTCGTTCCTTCCATGCCTTCATCACGGCCTCACAGTGCTCGCTCCTCCGCACACGCGTCGTCATCCGCTCGCGCGGGCGTGGGCGTAGGAGATGACAAGCAATCAACCAGCCAGCCAGCCAGCCCGCGATCAGGCAACTCGTTGTCATCAGATTGCAGTCCAGTCCAGTTCAGCCACAGCCACAAGCCCCACGGACCCTTCCCCTGACCGCACGAACAGTCCCAGTTACCGTCCCCCTACCACGTACTCGTAAAGAAACGGCGTCGCTCTCCGCCCGCCTCAGACGAGACGAGCACACGCTTGCGGCCGTCAGGCCGTCGCACCTCCAGCGCACGCGCCTACTCGTAAGAACATCAGGAGCACCAGCAGCAGCAGGAGCAGCAGCGCTCGCGTCATACATACTCCTGCGCCCTGACGCCGAGGCCAGCGCGCGCTAGTAGTTGCTAGCAGCAGCTAGGCTCTAGAATAGAGTACTCTAGTTCGAGCAGCTAACTCCCTAGGCGATGATGACGACGCCGCCGATGACGCACGCCCGCTCCGCAAGCTCCGTTCTTGGTTGTTCCTGGCCGCAGGCATCAAGCTTGCTGGGCTGCGCGTGGGAGAAAGAAGCTTTTTTGCGTGCCTGGCCGGCGCCGCTAGGCTGTGGGGGGAAGGCTGTGCAGCGATCGCTGGGGATGGGATGGATGGATGGATGGATGTGGAGGAAGAGGAGGGGGACGGGTCTGACTATTGGAGAAGAGAGAGAGGTAGAGATAGAGAGAGAGATGGCAGGAGCGGGGGGAAGTGGTGGTGCAGGATTGCGGCTGGCTGATGGGGAAGTGAGGCGGACTGTGAGATGCAATGCAATGTGATGCTTGCTCGAGTGATGAGAAAAAAAAAAAAAAAAAAAGACTTGGCCCAGTAGCTACTCGTGCGAGTACTCGTACCACACACGCTACCTACTCGTAGAGTACTCGTACGCGTCGCGTCTCCTCTCCTCCGTCGCCCAGTCCGTCGTCAAGACGTGGTCGGATCTTCCTCGGTGGCGTCGGGCGCTCTCCACGAAGCGAAGCGAACAGAGCGCGTGCTCGCTCCGTATTGCGCGATCTCGATTAGTTGGCTAGTTGTATCGGCGGCTCGCTCGCTAGGGCCGTGTAGTACGTAGTAGAGTAGGTAGCTCACGACGCCATAGCGAGAGATGGTAGGAGGCGGCTAGAGCGAGAAAAAAGTGGTAGTGGTAGTGAAGAAGAAAGAGACATCGTCGCCATCATGCACGCACGCATGTCCTCTGTACCCCCGTACTCGCACCGCCGCCAACGTCGGCCCACGAGGAAGAAGGGGGTGGAGGTTGGTTCCATGGGATGAGGCGGCGGCTCGAAAGAGAAAGAGAAGGGAATGAGAGGACAGGAGTGGAGGAGCACCCAGCCTCGACCGCGGCATCGGGCAGCGTCGCGCACACACAGACGCAGACGCAACGACGACGACGACGACTTGGACTTGGGCGCTGATCCTGCCGGCGCAGGGGGATGGACGGATCCCGATCGGTAGTGTAGGAGCGGGCGACACGACCCGACTGGGCCAACGTGCTTGCCCGAGTTCCCATCGTTCATCTCCTCCTCGCTCTGCTCCAACCTCCAGGGACCTCGGCATATCATTTACTTTGTAGTTGCCTGCCCTGCGCCTACGACGTCAAGCCCTTGCCAAGCATCTCATTATCTCATCTCATCCATCGTCTCATCTCCGCTAACCTCTCTCATCACTTCCATCCCTCGATAATTACCCCATCCAGCTCGCCGACCCCTATGAGTAATCCTATCCGATCCAGTCCAACCCCAACGACCCGTAGAGTAGAGAGTATTGTAGAGTATTGTACCTGCTAGAGCGGTCCCTACCCATCACCACGAGTCCTTTATAGACACCGAAAAAAAAAAAAAAAAAAAAAAAAAAAAAAAAAAAAACACATAAGAATAAACAATACACACATACACACACACTACACTCCCACACAACCACAACCATCACCATCACCACCACCGCACCACCCAACCCAAACCAAAAGCAAAAGCCGCCGACAGTCGACACCCCCACGCACGCGCAACCCACGCCCACGCGCCGCTCGCCCGGCCCCGCCCCAGCGCCCTGCGCATATCAGGCCTTCCAGCAACGGCGCAGCGCAGCGAGCGAGCGCGCGGCCCATCTTGCATCGGGCCTCGGGCCCTCGCTCGCTCGTCAAGCAAGAACAGGCGAGCGAGCGACGGAGCGTCACAGCGTCGCTCGGCCGTGGCCCATGGGTCCATGGCATATCAGAGCGCGCGGACGTGCTCCGCGTGCGAGTGTGAGGCGCAAGCCTGCAAGCAAGTGGCAGCTGCGTCAGGCGTCCCGCGCGTGCGTGCGTGCGTGCGTGCGCGGTGCATGCGTGCTCAGTGCTCAGTGCTGGCCGCTACTCGAGCACGAGTACTTGCGGTGGGTGGGTGGGTGGGTGCGTGCGTGCGTGCGGGCTTAGCGCTGCTGCAGCGAGTGAGCAGGCAGGCAGGAGTGCCTAGGTACTCGTAGGTACGTACCTAGGAGTGCTGCTGGGACGGGACAGGAGCTGTGTTTGCGCGCTGTGGTGCGGTGCTGTCGTTGTCGTTGACGCTGTCGCTGGCGCTTACCTACCTACCTACCCTTCTCTCTATCCACCTAGGTTCATGCCTAGGTAATGAATGCATCACGCACGCCGGGCCTCACCAGCCTCACCAGCCTCACAAGCAAGCAATCTACCATCCTAAGCCGCAAAGCCAACCAGCCACGGACCTAGCAATCAATCAATCAACCAAGACCCAGCCCCGTGGCCTCGTCCCCTTGCCCTTGGCAGCAACCCCAAAATGCCCAAAAAGCCAAGCCAAGTCGAGCAAGTCAGCCGCGTACCGCCGCACCCACCAGCCCATCTCGGGCCGCCCTAGTCCGCGCTCGTGAGCGGCCGTCCCGTCACGGCCTAGGCCGCCGCACCGCGCAACCAAGCACGGCAAGGCAGGCCAAGGCAAGCAGCAAAACAGCCCACTGACTGTGCTTGTGCTGCTTCTTGCTCCCCTACGCTCTGGCTACCTAGGTACCAAATAACCAAATACGCACGCACGCACGCACGCACACGCAGCACGCAGCACGCAGCACGCAGCAGCACAATGCGAACAGTCCATGCCCGCTGCGTGCGTGCCTCTACAACAAACCGCACCAAACAGCACACCCACGCACCCACTCACCCACCCCCCTACTACCCAAGTAGCCAGGCCCGCGGCGCACGCAACCAAAGCAAGCAACCACTGCACGCCTTGGTTGCTCGCGCGATCGCGCCCCTCTCTTCCCCCCAACCCCCAAGCCCCCTCTCTCATGCATCGTGCTAGGGAGCTAGCTAGCTAGCAGCCTAGCGAGTACGTCCTCTACTCGTAGTGCAATAGACAGTACGAGTAGCGAGCACCGCGTAGAGTACGTAGAGTAGCTAGCTAGCACATTGTGCAATCCCTCATGTACCTACCTAGCTAGTCAGCTAGCTCCCCAAACAAAACCACACAAGTGACGAACCAACCACACCCAACGGTCCCGAACCAACCTAACCTACCATCCGATCCGGCCGTTTATTCTCCGCAAGGCCCGCCACTCAGCGCCAGCGTCAGCATCAGCCAGCATCAGCCAGCCACACACACCCCCCGCGGCAAATCCCATCCCATTTGATCCCAGCCCACGAACCACAACCCGCGGACCGCGGACCGCGGCTCAGCGGGCCAAAGATCAAGGTCCAAGGGTCAAGGCCTGCGGGTCAAAGCCTGCGGGTCAAGGCTCAAGCACAAGGCCCCCCGGCCCCCCTCCCCCCTCATCATCATCATCATCATCACCATCATCACTAGCCGCGGGCTTGGCGCGCTCGCGCGGGCGTCGAAAGCGTACGTACGGCACGGCACGTACACACGCGCCCGAACAGGCAAGAGCGGGCTTTCCTCTCGCTCGCTCTCCTTAAGGCGCGCGCGCGCCCGCGTGTGTGTGTGTGTGTGTGTGTGTGTGTGTGTGTGGCTGAAGCAACCCTACCTACCTACCTAGCGGGAGATACGACGGTACGACGATTCGACGACGAAAGTTGAAAGGGCGAGGCTGCGCGGATGGGCGGGCCGGAAGGTGTTGCGCGCCCGCGCGGCTGTGCAAGTCCACGTCCCAGTCCATGTCCAAGTGCGATGCGGTGCGATGCGGTGCGATGCTCTAGAGGAGGGTATTGGTTAGGTAGGCCTTTTCCACGTTGGGGCGGATGCATGACGTCTTCGGCGTGCCGTACTACGTACTCCGAGTAAGTTTTAGGCTTGCGATGATGATGTTGCTGCTGCTAAAATGCTGATGATGAGCGTTGATGAGCGTTGATGAGCGCTGATGATGTTGCTGATGATGAGTGATGTGCGATGTGCGATGGAGACGATGGTGGCGGTGACCGCGTTGGTTATTATTATTACATAGTAGAGCTGCAGCAATGCGTAAGTAGGTTACTGCGCCACGGCGATCGTCTGCAGAAGAAAAAGAGAGAGAGAGCGCGGGGACCAGCGGGTTTGGCGGTAGTAGTCGAGGCTTTTCAAGCGCGCAGGCGTCTCGTCCATCTGCCTGCGCCTCTCCCCCTCTCTCCTCATCTCTTTCTCTCACTGCTCTTCATATATAAAATGTACAGAAAGTACAATGGTAGCGATAGTGATGATTGATGATGAATGGGTGGGCCAAAATAAAAAGCAGTGCGACGTTGGACGCCCAAAATCCTTCGCGGACGAACAAAAAATAATCGCAGCTTGCCCCCCGGCGTTCTAGAATGGTGCGATTCGAAAAAGCTATACACGCGACACGCGTACATTTGGTATAATGGGTGGTAAACGAGAAGGACTAGGTTTAGACAGAATAGAAGAAGAAAAAAAAGTAAGGTTGTAGTTGGGTATAGTGCAGTGATCAACGAATGCGGTGAAATGAAGACCTCTTGCAAGAGCCGTTGCCGCGCGTGGGCGGCGACAGGGGTATCGCTGCTTGCGAAGGGAAAATCAAAAAGAAGAAGAAAAAAGAAGCCAGATGTAAAGAAGAAAAAAAGTAGGAACATCAAGCGTGAAAATCAGATGGCCACTCTGTCTCTCTCCCCGCAGAAGGGTAGGGTATCAAAACAAAAAGGAAGACCGTCAAGAGAAGAAAAAAGGAAAGGGAAAAAAGAGGGTATGAAGCAAGCAAATACGAGAAAATATCCAATCTTTCGGATTGCGCCGCACCTCCGGGCGGCAGCTGGCGCGCGTTGGCCAAATTGCCGCCCTCCCGAACAAAAGCACCGTCTCAACTCCTCCAGAAACCGTCCGTCCGTCCGTCCGTGATTCGTTCGCCGTTCCCACCTGTTGTTTCCCTTCATTTACACCTTTCCGACGGAATCTTGCATGTATGTGACAAAGTATGTGGTTGTTGGTCTTTATGTACGGGGTGACGCGCGCGCGCTGATTATGTTGCGGTTGTGGCTGTTGTATTACAAGGGCCCGGGGCGGCCGGGCGCAGAGGTAGGAGGCCAGCTCCTGTCAGGCCGCTCGAAGGCGTACGGGCTGGAAAAGCCTGGCTGGTGGGGCGGCGGAGGCGGGGGCGGCGGCTGCTGCAGGATGGGCGGCGTGCGAGAGCCCGAGACAGAAGACGCGGCCACGAGCGGCGGGTACGAGGTCGGCGGGAAGGGCATCGACGAAGGCTGCTGCTGCGCGGCCTGCGGGGCCGGAAGGTAGCTGCTAGTGCGGCGACGGACGTTGCGTTCGGTCTCGGCTACGCGCTGCGGTTGGCTTGGCTGGTCCGAGGGGAAGTTGGAGTAGGCGCCAGGCGTGCTGGCGGCCGAGGCGCCTGAGCCACTCGACGTCTGCAGCGACACTCTGCGTCGGTGAGGCGACGGCGGCCGAGGAAAGTGCCGGTCGCCGCCCGGTGAGTTGTACACGACCTGGGCGAGGTAGTCGCGCTCGCGCCGGTAAAACTCCATGTCTTCCGTCGCGTCGCGAAGTTGCTGCTCCAAGCGCGAAATCGTCGTCGACGCCTCCTTCTCTTTCTCCTTGCGCCGCGCCCGGAACCGCGCCGACGCTCCCGCGTTGCGCTTGCGCTTCTCGTCGGCCATCTTCGACGCTGCCTGCACGTCGACGGGGATCTGGACGTGGCCCTGGTTCGTCTCCAGCGTCAGGAGCTGGTAGTTGCTCTGGCCCGTCGACGCGACCGGGATGCCGAAAGGACGGTGCTCGGCCTCGTGGTAGACGGGCGAATAGGGCGCTGGCGACCTTGGGCGAGGCAGCTCCCCGAGCGGCTGCGCGGGCGAATTGAGTGCCCCGGGCCCGTAGGGCGCCATGCTCGGGCTCGCGCTGGCCGAGTGCGAGAGATGCGAGAAGTTGGCGCTGGTCTGTCGCGAGTGGCCCGGGTTGATTGGCGGGGTCGGCACCGGCGGGGGTGGCGGGAAGCTGTGCCCCGCTCGCTGGGCTGCCGGAGGCGTGGGCAACGGCGGATTGGGAGCAGAGCCGGGCTCGACCATGTACTCTCTGGAGTTGGGCGAGAGGAAGGGCGTTTCCTGGGCACTGATGGTGCCGGTCGGCGCACGAATCCGGTTCAGGCTGTGGGAGCGAAACAGCGGCGATCGGGGGCTCAGAATGCGTCTCTGAGAGCTGTCGCCCGTTATGACTTGCGACTGCGGACGGCGTGAAGCGTCGTGTGCGTGGTGGTGGTGGTGGTGGTGGTGGCCGCCGAAATAGCCACCCTGGTTCGACGTCGGCCCTTGGAATCGATCGACGGGAGACGGCGACTCCATCTCGGCGGCGGTGCGTCTCTGGCCCTTGGCCTCGGGAGCTTCAGCCTGAGGCGGATTCAGGATCGAGTGCACACCGAGGGCCCGCGGGGTGCGCCCCTCGGAGCGGGGCGGGGCGGGGTCGGCGGGCGGGTGGATGGGCGGGAGGGCAGGACCACGGCTCATGGGCAGCTCAAACCGCGGGCCTGAGGGAGTCGTGTGAGAGCGAGCGGGAGAGGGACGGACGACGGTGGCGGACGACGGACCTGACCCAGTGCCATGTTGCCGTGACATGGGGTCCTTGTCCTCTGGGGCGTCTACGCCTCGATATCCCGACCATGAGCGGCCGCGCAGGTGGCGCAGATCCAGAGGGTGTTGGAGACGCAGGGCGGGGCGGAGGTCGAGGTGGTGGGTTTGGGGTGGCAGGTGGTGGGGGGTATGGGAGGAGTAGCGAAGGGCGAGGTCCGGGGCAGCCAGGGTGACGGAAGAAGAGGGGCGGGGGGAGGGCCCTTCTTAGTATGGTATGGTATGGGTTGGTTGGTTGGTAGTGTGTATAGCAACGAGGGGAGTAGTAGTGTAAAAAAAAACCAAAAAATAAAAAATAAAAAAAAAGAGGATAAGAGGATTTTAGGTAGAAGAATCAGAAGGTCGGGGGGGTGTGTTATGGGTGGGTGGGGAAGGGGGACATGGCTCTGGGCGGACAATATAACGAGTTGCGGTGAAAATTGAAGTCCAGCGGCGGAGGATTGAGAGGACTGGTGCGACGGCCTAGCATGGCCAGCGTGGCCAGGCATGTTGCTAGCCGCCAACCTTCCTTCTTCTCGGGGAGCCTTATGCACACGCCGCACCCGTTCCCATTTGAGCTGTCGATCCCCGCGTTCCAGACTGCGACGTGGAGTCTGCCGACTTGTCGGGCGAGGGCATCCCTGCCCGCATGGCGGCCGCGGTCATGTGTGCGTGCGCGTACTGGCCCTGACTCGTTCAGCCCAGCCCGCCTCGACGGATCCCGCGCTTTCGTCACCGAGAGAAGGCCGCCCGGCCTATCCTCATCTCCAGCCCGCGCCGATCAAACCACCATAATTTTGAGCCCTATCGGAAATCACTGCCCATCCCTGTGCAGCACGCCATGTACCCGTATCGAACCCCCCGCATGCACGAAATTTCAACATGACGACACCCAGAAGCCCCGGCTCATATATGATCCCAACCCCTCGTACCAGCATGAATGCTACCCTTCCATAGCCACCACCTGCCTAGCCAGGCAGCTAATCACCACTCTCTGAACTCCCTCCTCCCTCTCTATCCCATCCTACAAACAGCCACAAAGCAACCGCAACCCCACAATATCCCTTCTCCCGCCCGCTCGCCCATTCCGGCACCGCCAGCATCGTCGTGGCGCGAGTGTCTCAGGTCAGGGCGGGCGTGCGTGTGCAGGGAGAGAGAGAGTAGAGAGAGTGTGTGTATGTGGGGGCGCACGCAACGCCCACTCACAGCACCAGCACCAGCACCTACCTACCACTCTACTAGTGTGTATCTATTTTTGCCATTCAAGCACGCGAGATGGCGTACTAGCTCACTAGCTCGTTCGCTCCCTCCCTCCCTCCCTCTCTCTCTCTCTCTCTCTCTCTCTCGCACTAGCTCGCTCGCAAAGAAAGAGAAAGGGAGCGGCGCGTTTGGGGTAAAGGCCCAGGGGCCTCCCGCATGTTTGAGCTTCGAGCACGCGAGCGAACGTGTGGAGTAAAGTAAGGTGCTAGGTGCGCATCTATGCGGCACAAGACTGTTGTATGTGCGTGGAGCGCTGGGAGCGAATATAGGTCCTATGCGTTTACTATGCGTGGGCACGCAAGCACAGGCGCAAGAGCAAGAGCAAGAGCAAGAGCAAGAGCTAGCGACTGATCGCCTCCTAGGTCAGGTCGCTCGCGAGAGCGAAAGAGAGGGCGAGCGTGAGAGCTACCCACCTATTCATCCTAAGCTACCTAGCGCTAGCTACCTAGCCCTCCTCATCACTCTCGCCTGCTCCGCTCCTCGCGTCGCGTCGCGTCGCCTACCTAACCGCTCGAATCGAGCCACCAGGCCCGCCTTATCCATTCGCTTACTTGCCTCACTCACGCAATGCGGTTCGGCTCGCTCGTCTCGTCTCGCCTCGTTAAGAGCCGTCTCGTTAAAACTTAAGGGGCGGGGGCGAAGGCGTCAGCGCCTTGCTCAGGAACGAACCTTACGAGCGATGCGCGCTCGCGTCCGAACGTAGCAAGCGAGGGCAGCTGCCTGTGCCTGTGACCTGCCCTAGCACCTCGCTACAATATACGCAGTAGAGCAGAGCAGAGCAGCACGCAAGCCACAGAGCGCTGCGCTCGTCTCTCGTGCGCCTTATATCGCGCCCCTCTTATGCCTGTCTGTGTGTCCTGTGTCCTGTGGCCTATACGTGCGCGGCCAGTGCCGTTAGACGAGCGAGCGTGAGCGCTTCGAAACGGCGTTGTTGCTTACTTGTGTGTGTATAGGTATATATATGTGCGTGTGCGTGTGCGTGTGCGTATATATGTATATGTATATGTATACAGGTATATATATATATATAGATACCTAGGTCATAAACTCCTAGTCCTCCGTCGTCGCTACCTAGGTACGTCGTCGACGGTGCTCCCGCCCGGGCAAAGTCGGGGCAAAGGTTAGGGCGGCCCGCATCCGCGGCGCGCGCTCCCGGCGCCGGCGGGACGGGTCGGGTCGGGCCCCGGGACCTACGGGACGGGTGCGCGCGCGGGCGAGTGGATATGATATGCCGTCGTCCCACGTGGCGGCGGAGCCGACAAGCCTTTTTAACTGAAATCGCCTTGTCTTAGTTCTTAGTCTTAGTTCTTGGTCTTGTCTTGTCTTATCTCTGTCTATTCGCTAGGTAGGGTAGGGTAGGTGGGGTAACCGTGGGCTTGTTGTTTCGGGCGCGCGCGCCTCATCCTTCCTCCTCTCCGCTAGCTTCTTCCCTTCTCTGCTGCTGCTGCTGCCGCCGCCACTAACTACCGCGCGCCCTGCCGCCGCCGCTGCCGTCACAGCGGCCCACTCACTCTCTACGGCAGCTCGCCCGAGTACTTGAACTTGTTGAGCGGGGCGCCGCGCACGCCGACGTGCACCTTGAAGACGGAGCCGTGCAGGCGCGTGCTCTCGGGGAACTGGTCGGGCATCTCCTCCTCGGCGCTGGTGATGTACAGGTCCTCGCCCGCGAAGGCGGGGCACGTGGGGCAGCGGGTAGGGACGCGGATCTCGGCCACGACGTCGCCGCGCGGCGACACGCGCACCACCTTGCCTGTGCCGTGCATGGCGCACCACATGTAGCCCTCGGCGTCGAGCGCGTGCCCGTCCGGCACGCCGTGCTCCTCCGACACGCGGAAGAAGGGCCGCTTGTTGCTGAACCCGCCCGTCGCCGCGTCAAAGTCGTACGCCCATACCGTCTTGGTCGGCGAGTCCGCAAAGTACATCGTCTTGTTGTCCGTCGTCCAGCTGATGCCGTTGGGGATCGCCACGCCCTCGAGCATGCGCTGCAGCTTGCCGTCTGGGTCGAGCCGGAAAAGCGTGCCTGGTGTGCGTCAGCGACGAGCTCTGCGACTGACTGCCCGCCAGCCAGAGAGCTAGCTCACCTTCAGCCTCTGGGGCCTTGACCAGCGGGTCGTTCATGGTGCCGACCCAATACCGGCCCTGCGTGTCAATAGCGCCGTCGTTGCCGCGCATGAGCTTCTCCTTGCCGGCCGCGACCTCCTGCTCGTTCCAATACTTCTGGATGTAACGGTATGCGCCCGTCGCACGATTGTAGACGCCGTAACCATGCTTGCCGCCAAAGACAAAGTGCGTGTCGTTGCCCTCAATGTCGCCCGTGGTCCTGCGCGCGCGCATCAGCCCCGCCACTCTACCCTGTCTGCCCCTCTCCCGCCAAGAAGCCCTACCCGATGGAGATGTCGAGGTGCGTCGTCTTGAGCGATTCAGGGCCCTTGTTCAGGTCGACGGTGAATACGTTCTGCTTGATAATGTCGACGAAGCGCAGGGTGTTGGTCTTTTGCTCCCAGTAGGGAGCCTCGCCGAGGCCGCAATCGATCTTGAGCCAGGGCTGCGTGGCAGAGCGGGGTTGTCAGCGCGAATTCTTGTGCAGGAGAGTAGCGGCAGGCAGCTGAGTTGGGGTTACCTCGTCAACGGTGTAGACTTTGATGTCGCTCATAGTAATGACCGGGTAGTTGTAGTAATGGTAGGTTGTGTCTGCAGCATGGAAACGACGGAGCGACGCGGGGCTTCGCGGTCCCGCAGCGGGCACGTCCCCCTCGGTGATATCATGGTGAAGGCATCCCGTCTCTCGGCCCGTCCGCGACGGGCTGGCGGACCGCGTTGCCAGTGCTAGGCAGCTCACGTGACGGCGGTTAAACGCACATTTGTCCATCCATGATCCATCCATTGTCTGCTGCTGCATGCGTCCCATCCCCAGGCCCCGGCTGCATATGTGACAGATCCCACACGCGACGGCGCACGTCTGCATGCATGCAATGCATGCACGCACGCACGCACGCACGCACACGCGCATTGCACGCACGACGAAACGCTCCGCGCGTGCAGTGCCACCACCACCACCACCATCGGGGCCGGGTACCTTGCAGCAGCAAGGCGAATTGAAATCCTGCTGCATGACACGCGAGGCCATCATGCATCTAAGTTCATGTCTGCCTATATTGCTTGCTTACCGAGCCCCCAAGCCCTTTTGCCGCTTCCGTCGGCTCCGTTTCTATACACGCATATCCCGTACATATACATACATATAGCACGCGCCTGTGTGTCTGTGTGTCTGTCTGTGTGTGTGTGTGTGTGTGTGCGCGCGTGTGTGCGAGCAGCCACCCGTCAAGTCCATGTGGCACAGCATGCGCGTCTTCCAAAGCAGGGCGTCGGCGCGCCCGACTGTCAACGCGTTGGTTCCCATTGCTTTTGCCGCGTCCGCCCACGCGCCCCCGTCGCACCTGGGAACTCCGGCCCCGTCTCTCGAGCCAATGGGGTCCGTCTCCGCGGAGCCTAACGGCGCGGCCGGGTGCGCTGCGGCTCCGTCTGCCTCTGTAACGTAACTGGGCCTCTGCCCCGTGGCGCTGAGACAGGCGCAGCTCCTCCTGTGCGAGGCTCATGGCTGCTGTACCACCCGACCGGCCTGGGTCGCTGTGCTTTCTCGGGGCGCGGGTGCGCGACGGTCCGGCTGCGCGCCGCTTCCCACCCACATGGCGGGGGCTGACTTTAGTTGCCGCGTTGCCTGTTTCTACCTTTATTGGGATGCGTTTGCCCATGCCGCTAGGTAACTATGTCCTCGCCAATGTCCTCGTTTTTCTCCATCCGTTTCCGATACCCGATGCTTCAGAAGCATGGTAAGCGAGCATGCAGTTTCAAGTTGCTTTCTTGGGGCTTTGCCATGCTGTGCGATATTACCACGCCCTCTACTTTCATCGTCATACGAGAAGGGGGCTCGCCTATTCCATTGCATGCTGCCTGCGCTCACTGTGCCGTCCTTGGTACTGGCGGCTGACTGCCGCCCGGTCGAGCTATGGATTGACGGTGGTGGTGGCAAGCATCACTATCGACCGGGAAAGAAGATTTGGATCATTCTCAAGTGTGAAACAGAAGCCGCAGGCCCCCACCGCACGCCTAGCGCCTGCTTTCTATCCCTTCCTGAAATGCCCTAGCTCGCTGACAACATGCTTTAGGGGCGTAGCTGGTTACGCACCGAGTATGTATGTACGGAAGCGTCTTGCAAAAGAAATGGCCCCTCTGTTTCACTTACCCCCGGTCTTCTATTGACCGACTTTTCTATCGAGCACCTTCCCAAAGGAGCGCGTGTCTGGAGTACGCTAATTTGCAACCTATAGTACGACCAACGCTAAGGGGGGCTTAAATAAACAACGAGAGAACATGGAATGAAACCAGCCAATAGAAGCACGGACTATATTATGACGTCTCTACTATAGTTTCAGGACTCATTGGACAGTCAGTGGTTTGGACGCAGAGTGTAGTTGGTAGAAGGAACTGGTAGTGATGCATCGTCCTTAGTGACTCTGCTTCCTCACTGTTCGGCAGTTAAATCTCTCCGTTTGAACAAGAAATGACAAACACCTATTTCTTACCTGTACTAGCAAGCCGAGCACCGTGAGTGATAGAGAGCCAAAACGTCCTGATTTATCTTGTCGACAATCTCACCATACAGCGGCACCCGCATGCGTCAAAGGTTGCAACAGATACTCTTTTGTCGAGGGGATGAACGTATTTATCTACATGACCGTGCAGTTCTGGTGTGTGAGATCTGTACAACAAACAGCTGGGTCAGCAATTTAAACTACGCGTGAACGAAAGGAAAAGGAATACGGTACATCTAACGGCATTCTTGACCCGCGAGCTGCCGGTAGGTTTCATAGATGCTTGAGTGGACATGGTCGTTAAGGTGGTCGTTAAGATGGTCGTGAGTTGGTCGTGAGTTGGTTTGGTTCTGAGCTTAAAAGAGCCACGGAACTGATGCAAGATATCGACACTATATACCCAACACTTAACGTAGAAATAGCAGCAGAGGCTTGAAGTGGCGTTTTGAGTGTGAGTAGTTTCACAATGGACAAACGAGCTGTTGTTCTAGCGCTGAGGGCTTTCATGCAGCATTCCGTACAGACAAAGAAAAAGCTTGGATAAAGCGTCGTGAGGTGGACTAGCTGCGGCTTCCCGTCGGCAACGCTCAGACTTTTCGATCCTGATGTTGCATCTTTAAACATCTTATTGGTTAACACGTTCACGGTACATGATGACCCCATCATGGAACCGCTAAGCAGTCCAATATGGTCGCGGTAGACGCGGCCATGCGCAGTGTTTGACTGGCAAAGGCCTGTTATCAACAAAGAGCTCTGTGTGAAGTTCTTTGACACTGTGCCTATAGATGCACACCATGTGCGCCTCGTGGTCCTCATGCTTTGTTCCGATCATCCGCTGCCTTTGTTGACGAACCAGAGACATTGATGTCTGGTGAATGGCATTATCACCGCATGACGTGTACTCTCCCGAAAACCCTTTTCTTGTAGACGAACGCCAAAACCTGGGCTCAGAGAATCAGGTCATTTGCAGGGCAACCTTGGGTAGGCAAACGGCGGAGAGCAGATCCAATCGCATATATCACCAGCTGAAGAGTACCCAGTGATCGTGCTCAGCAACATTTCTCCACCACAGCTCACAATAGACCTCCAGGTCCCTTTCGAGCGGCGCCGCAAAAATCGCCTACCGGCAGCAACTTCGGTAGCGATGTTGCGCTCGCGAATCGAGCAAAACATTCCCCTCCCCGACACGCCCGAAGACTTCCTCACGCGCGGCGTCTACGCTCTGGCCATAGACCGGCTCCCCGCCGACAGCCACGAATGCCCCATCTGTCTGATCGGCTACAACGAACCGCAAGACAACCGACCCGCCGGCGAGGGCGCGGTGCTGATCCGCCGATGCGGCCACGCCATCGGGTGGGAGTGTCTGAAGCGCCAGGTCGCCATGGGCGCGGATCCGCGCCGCTGCCCCATGTGCCGCGACAGCCTGTACGCGCTGCCTGAGCGACGGACTGCGCCCGCCTCTTGGGCCCCGGATGCCCCACCGCGCCCTCCTGTGCGCGCCTCCTCGACCGTGCTGCAGCGCACCCGCGCCCGCGACTCCGAGCCTGCTTCCCTCTCTATCCGCGACTACGTGTTTAATATCCCTGAGCAGGCTGTCTTTTCTTTTATCCGTCTCGAATATGACGACGGAACCTCGCCCGTCTACTACAGAGTCACCGGCTATATGATGCCTGACGGCAGCGGCGTGGCGTCGCTTCGCGACAACGACAATACGGCGCTCCAATATCCCCCGGGGACTTTTTCGGCGCCGAATGCTGGTGCGACGCAGACTAACGGGGATTATCTGATCATAACTCATGAGCAAGTCGCCGAGGCCGCTGCCCGAGGCAATGGGGCTTGGGACGCCGACTTGAATTTGGACTTTCTGATGGAGCCTGGTCCCGTGCTGTGCATTTGGGAGAGCGAGGACCGGTACATCAGTCCTCTTCTCATCGGCCGCAACCCAAATTTTCGTACCGCTATCAATGCTCCCGAGACAAACATTGCCATCACCTTGATGGATCGGCTTTTTGAGTCTCGCCGCGTGAGACAGTATCTGGAGTGGAGGATGAAGGGATCAGAACTCCGGAATCTTTTGATGGGTGCAGCCACACAGGTGGAAACACAGTTCAATGGCTTGCCGGAGCACGTTTGGATGTACTTGGAAGCTGTGGTGGAGATCCTTGTGAACTGGTTAGCCTTCACCAACGGTTCTAGGTGATCAAACGTGGATATGCTCACGTATTATGGACGGCTCCTCACGAAAATCGGGGAAGTTGAAGAGGAAGGACGCCTATAAAAAAAAGGTTAATGAAGGCAGAAAGAGTAGAGATGAGTGGAAGACGAGCGGTTGAACCAGGGCCCAATCCAAAAGTTGTAATGCAATTTTGATTCTGATACGAGCATCGATGTTAGGTCCCCTCTTGGCCTAAATTGCAGCTCGACTCCTTTTGCAATCAAAAACCTAGAGACTAAATCACGATAGTTGAATGGATATTTTTCCAAGTAGGGCCACGCACCTTTTAAAGACATAATGATTGGATTGTTTAATAGGTTCCTTTGCTTGGGGAATAACCAGTGTTATGGCCGGATTAAATCCTGGCCGACAGCCCTTTATGTATTTTTATTCGATTGTGGGGTTTCGTTGTCGAAGTGACAGGACTCGTCGACCTGGTCGTGAACTATATCTTGTTTTCCAGCAAAGTAGCATGGACCTGTGCTTGATAACGAGACAATATAGGAGGATACAGAAACGTGCTTCCAAGGGAAAGAGATTGCCTACCTGAGACGTCCTGGACGGTATGTTGTGGCGCGATTAACGCTCCTCATCGTCAAGAGCTTCACTGTTCAGCGAGATGAGGATGGAAATAGGCAGTCCCTATGAAGTAATCCTTGTCTAGCTACTTACCTGAGTCCTGGATATGAGTGAGAAGATCTTAACAGGGTTTTGTGCCCACTCCGTTCAGACGTCGTTGTTCCGTTAGGTGGTGAATTTCGTTGGCAGCGACGAATACTATTTCAATCAATCGATCAAGAGAACAGGAGAATGCTGTTCCGCTTGATGAACATGTTTTCTTCGCTTTTTTGGGAAATATAGAATCCATTTTGACGGACAAGGTGCTTTTGGGTATTTTTTAAGTTCGTGGTAGCTTCTATAAGGCGGCAACTGGTTACCTCTGCTGCTTTCAGGTCTACTTCCACGATGCGATCCGAAGGAATTTGGTGTGGAGTGACGGCAATAGCAAGGTTCTGAGATCGTGTCGATTGTGCCTTATACCAGGGGCGGTACGACCTCTACAGCCGTGAGATTTTAGGCCTTCTTTGGACGCAGGGCATACGTGCGGACCGGGTATAGGCTTTTAGGGAACCCCCTTTGCAACTCAGTAGCAGCAATGTCCAACCCCGCCTCCTCGAAGAGCTTCCGGAACTTCTCGTCCGTCCTGGTAACGCTGCTGTCCTCATCGTCGAAGATGTCTTCTCCTTGAATGCTCGTGCTCTGGTTTTCCTTGACCACAATCCAGCCGCCCTCTGCCAAGTACTCGTGACATCTCTTGAAGTATTCGACGAGCTGCAAGTCTGTGAGGTGCCCCACACACCATTGGTTCCATATTAAATCGTACTTGTACGGTGCAGTTGATACCCAATTTTCCAGGCCGGTGACTTTGATGTCCCCAATACGGCCAGCTTCAGCCAGCTCCTTGAAACCCTCCGTCTCTTTCAGCTGCTCGGTGAACTTCCCCACAGGCTCAACAATATCGACCTGTTGTGCCACTTTGAGCAGAAAGCCGAAGGTAATGCGTCCGATGCCTGCTCCACAGTCGAGTGCGTGGGGGAGGAGGCCCGTATTCGCATCCCCGCGCGCCCGGCGCAGCTTGGCGAGAAAATTGGACGATCCCTGAAGATCTATGCGGGAGATTTGGGGGAAGCCTCCCAACATGCCGTTGACGGTGGGCGGCACCGAATTCCAGTAGTCGATGGCGGCTGCATGGTCGATGGCGGCATCCGGAGCGTCTGCCATGGTGTCGCCTAGGATGTCGAAGGCGGATTTGTGCTCCAATTGCATCCACGTGAGGCGGGGTTGCGGTTGTGGGAGTTTGATAATGACAAAGCACGTCTGTCGAATTTGATCACGGGTGGAGCTCAGGTCGGCGAGCGGAAGCAAGGGCCCCGTCATGATGCGCAGCACCTATACCCGGAACGGCAATTATACCCGCCCGTGCAACCAATAACCCCCAACCGTCGTCAACGGCGGGGCACATCAGAGGTGGGGAGGGGTGTCGTGCCTTGGGGAACCGCATCCCGGTTTATAATCTCAACCTATCTGCACCGGCTACTGCCCCTCTTTCCCGATGCTTTTATTCAGGTCTTTTGCGCGCTCTCTGCCCTCTTTTCCACAGCACAAACCTGCTCCATTCATCCTCCGTTCCTTACTCTTCTGTCCGCGAAGAAACTTCAGCGCCATGTCCGACCTCACTGTTGACCTCACGGCCCCCAATGGGGTCAAGTATGCGCAGCCCATTGGCTTGTTCATCAACAACGAATGGGTCAAGTCTGCAAAGGGCGAGAAGCTCGTTAGCATAAACCCTACGTATGTTAATCTTTCTTGCTCCGTTCGATTTGTTTCTAACCTGCCAAGTGACGAGAGCGAGATTGTGTCAGTGTATGCCGCAGATGAGGAAGACGTCGACAGCGCTGTCAAGGCGGCACGCAAAGCCTTTAAAGACCCTTCATGGCGGGACATTTCAAGCACTGAGCGTGGTGATCTCCTGTTCAAGCTGGTGGCCCTTTGCGAAGAGCACAAGGAAGTTCTTGCAACCATTGAGACTTGGGATAACGGTCAGCGCAATCTTTTCTCTTCATCTATCTCAGCAGCATCTCCTAACCCTAGAAACAGGAAAGCCATACCAAGTTGCGCTCAACGAGGACCTGGCGGAAGTCACGGGGACGCTGAAGTACTTCGCTGGTTATGCGGACAAGATCCATGGACAGGTCATTGACACTACATCCGCAAAACTTGCCTACACAATCCGCGAGCCCATTGGCGTTTGTGGTCAAATCATTCCGTAAGTGCCCCATGACTAATTCCTAAGTTCCTAACTGACAATTGCTAGTTGGAACTATCCCCTGGCGATGGCAGCTTGGAAGCTCGGTCCAGCACTCGCCGCTGGCAACACTGTTGTCATTAAGGCTGCTGAGCAGACGCCGCTCTCCATTCTCTACTTCGCTAACCTGATAAAGAAGGCTGGCTTCCCTCCTGGTATGAATGCAGACAGACCACATGCTCAAAACATTTACTGACAACATGTCAGGTGTTGTCAATATCCTCAACGGCTACGGCCGTAAAGCCGGAGCTGCCATTGCCTCGCACATGGATATCGATAAGATCGCCTTCACTGGCAGCACGCCCACGGGTAGAGAGATTATGAAGATGGCGGCTGGTAACTTGAAGAACATTACTCTTGAGACGGGCGGCAAGTCCCCTCTGCTCGTATTCGACGACGCCGATTTGGACCAAGCCGTCAAGTGGGCACATGTTGGTATCATGTCCAACATGGGACAGATCTGCTCTGCTACCTCCCGTGTTCTGGTTCAGGAAGGTGTCTATGACAAGTTCATCTCCATGTTCAAGGAGTTTTGCAAGACCACCAGCAAGGTCGGCAACCCCTTCGAGGATGACACTTTCCAGGGTCCTCAGGTCACCAAGGCTCAGTACGAGCGCGTGCTTTCGTACATTGAGTCAGGCAAGTCTGAAGGCGCAACTTTGGCAGCTGGCGGTGAGCCACACAAGAACGTCAACGGCAAGGGTTTCTTCATCGCCCCAACCATCTTCACGGATGTCAAGGATGACATGAAGATTTTCCGCGAAGAGATCTTCGGTCCTTTCGTCGTCATCAGTTCATTCAAGACAGAAGAAGAGGCCATTGACCGCGCAAACGATACCACCTACGGCCTCGGCAGTGCTCTTTTCACACAAGACATTACCCGAGGCCACAGGGTGGCAAGGAAAATCGAGGCCGGCATGGTTTGGATCAACTCTAGCAATGATAGTGACTTCAGGGTATGTGAGCCTGCTTTGATTGACATTTCCTCGTTTGCTAACATGACCGGCAACAGATTCCGTTTGGAGGTGTCAAGCAAAGCGGCATCGGCAGAGAATTGGGCGAAGCTGGACTTGAGGCCTACACAAACAAAAAGGCGGTGCACGTCAACCTTGGGACTAAGCTGTAAGAAATTGACGAGCTCTCTTTTGTTTGCACTGTACGATACCGTCACATTTCCTGGGGTAGCTGAAGGGTATCTTGGTCAATGCCGGCGTAGGTATTCGTAGTAGTCCAGGAGGCGATAATACGAAGCCGGTATAGGAAGGTGAGGGATTCTTCTAACGTGGTACGTGTGCGATTGGCAGTGGAGCTAGCTCATATCCGCGGGACCGCGGAAAACTCTTCTCCAGAGTGGTAGGAATTGATTCAGCCGCATGTTATCCCTGTCCCAGCAGCCCTATGTCGAGAAAAACCCGGGCCTGGAGCACCCATGATGCCTGAAAAACAGCAGGGGTGGGAGCAGTCTCCAGCCCGACGAAGGGAGTGCAAAGGCAGTGGTGGCCAAGCTTTGTGCCAAGAGCAGCGTGCGCGGCCAGATGACCCACGGGCATATGTGGCGGTGCAGAGAGGAGCTGGCGGGCACTGCAAAAGCAGTCATGCGTGAATTGGACGAGGGGGAAAAGGCACCTCTAGACCGTGGGATGGATCTGCTCGTACGTGCGACAAAGGCCGTGCCGCGGGCTGGGAAAATGTCAAAGCTCGGCCCCGGCCTCCGCCAAGCTCGACATCACTGTCCTAGTGCCTGCCCGCTCGTCACTGCCTCAACTCACTCAACCCCAGCACACGCACCCGCCGGGAGCCAAATCATCCTGATCTGCTGCAACGCCTCGCTTCGCCCGTCTACTCATGTCCGCTCGCGACGGCCCCTAACACTCTCCGCCCCGCACGCTTCTCGATCTGGCTCGACGACGGCTCAATCGTCCCTCTTCGCCCGACCCGCCTCCAACCCTCACCACCGGTTCTTGCCCTGTGCACACGATCTGCACACTTTCGGTCGAGGGCTGCTTCCTCTCCTTCCTCTCGCGACTCTATCGGCCTCCATAATATCCACCCATCCCTCCCATCGCTCATCCCACCCCGCGATCTGTCGTCGTCCCGCGCATCATGGGCAACGCGCCGTCCAAGAAGGGTGACGGCACCGGCCCCTCGCTCGATCGCGAGGGTTACGCCTCGTTCTCCAGGTCCGACACCAAGGACTCATCAAGGTCCTTGAGGAACTCGATCCGCAACAAGATCCCCGGCACCAGCTCCAGGACCGACAGCCCGCGAGCTTCCATATCCGCCATCAGCGGCGAGAGCTCCACGAGCCTCAACAATATGGACAAGCTGGAGAAGACCGAGTCAGCATCTGCCAAGTCGGCCGTCAACAGCGCTGCCGCTGCCCAGAAGCGAAATTCCATCGCGTCGCAATCCACCCCCGCCTCGCCGGCGGGAGAGAATGGTCCAAACGACCTAACGTCAGACAGCCCGCAGCCACCACCGTCTCCCACTCAGTCAGCCACCGTCGGCCACGGTCATGAATCCGTCGATCAAGCTCAACGAACCGGTGAGGTAGATCATGTCTCAGATGTACCGCCGACCGGCGTGCCGCCGCCTTCGGCCATGCAGAAACCCAAGGAGTCGATTTTGGTCAAGAACGACCAGCCAATACCCAGAGCGGAGGAGGTCCATCCGGAAACCGGATCCCCAACAATGGAGCTGAGTGCGCCGAAGGCCATCGATCTCGATGACATGATTTCGCGGTTGCTGGACGCTGGATACTCGGCAAAGGTCACAAAGACCGTCTGTCTTAAAAACGCCGAGATTTTTGCCATCTGTCAAGCTGCACGTGAAGTCTTCCTCTCACAACCAGCCTTGCTGGAACTCTCAGCGCCGGTCAAGATCGTCGGTGATGTGCACGGGCAATACACAGACCTTATCAGAATGTTCGAGATGTGCGGATTTCCACCGAGCTCGAACTACCTGTTCCTGGGTGATTACGTTGACCGAGGAAAGCAGAGTTTGGAAACCATTCTACTGCTCCTTTGTTACAAGCTCAAGTTTCCCGAGAACTTCTTCCTTCTCCGCGGCAACCATGAATGCGCTAATGTCACGCGTGTCTACGGTTTCTATGATGAGTGCAAGCGCAGGTGTAATGTCAAGGTGTGGAAGGCGTTCGTTGACACGTTCAACACTCTGCCCATTGCAGCCATTGTAGCCGGGAAGATCTTCTGTGTCCACGGAGGCCTATCTCCCAGTCTCTCCCACATGGACGACATTCGCCAGATTGCCAGACCCACCGATGTTCCCGACTACGGGCTGCTGAACGATTTGCTTTGGAGTGACCCAGCGGACATGGATAACGATTGGGAAGCAAACGAGAGAGGTGTAAGCTACTGCTTTGGCAAAAAGGTCATTATGGAATTCTTGCATCGGCACGATTTTGATCTCGTTTGTCGAGCGCACATGGTTGTTGAAGACGGATACGAGTTCTTCAATGACCGCATTCTGGTCACTGTCTTTTCCGCGCCGAACGTAAGTCAAATACAGAAATTGCATCTTTTTCGGTGGCTTGTACTAACCCGATTTCAGTACTGCGGCGAATTTGATAACTGGGGAGCGGTCATGTCGGTGTCCTCGGAGCTACTGTGCAGTTTTGAGCTGCTGAAGCCCTTGGATTCCAGTGCGCTGAAGAGCCACATCAAGAAGGGCAGGAACAAGAGGCAGAGCATGCTGAACAGTCCGGTAAGTTTTGTGTTGCCTCGATATTGTAACAAAACCCAAGCAGATACATCTAACACTAGCTTGCAGCCCGCGAACCAATATCCGCAATCCTACTGAGATGGATCCTCGGAATTCTCACACAATCGCCACGCGTTGGCATTTATGTACAAGGACGAGCGACAGTCCCACGTATAATGGCTCTATGGAGATACGCTTCCCTGCTGGTATTGCGAGGGTTATACGTTTTCTGAAGACTTAGGTCTCACCACCAAGTTCTACGTCTCGCTTAGTATACGACGGACCGGCCGGCGATGTACGAGTTGGGTAGAAGGTGGAAGAAAGACGAAGGCACGACGGCGCGGGGTCTTACTGCGATTTTCTTTGTTTTCGAGTCGACACAGTGCTTCACCCCCTTGGCGGCGCGGGGGCGTCTATTATTATTCTTGGCTTTTCTTCGAAGCGGTGGTGTGGCGCAGGAATGGGCGTGCTTACGATAATTGCGAGCGCGACACGGGCTTCTCCGATGCGATGGTAGTTTATAAGAGCCTTGCGACGTTTGCTTGAATCCTAACTCCCGAAGTAAGAATGGTATAAATCGTTGAGGCGAAGTGAGCTGAGCATTGGCCGAGTGGAGAGGTCGCGGAGCCGTGCCATACCCGATTGGGTTAATCGGATTTTCACACAGCCGAAGCGCACGAAACCACCAAATTCACAGAGCGACCTCCAACCGACGAGACGACGCGACCAGCCAGCAACAGATTCAAGTACGTCCACCCGCCCCCTCGGCAGTACAACCCGCCTTCTCTACAAAGCCATTGGGCTAACCATTGCGCTCGCCTTTACCTACAGCAGCCGGATCCCCTCCGAATCCAAATAGACAAAATGGCCGACGCACCCGCACCCGCTCGTGGAGGTTTCGGTAGCCGTGGCGACCGCGGTGGTCCTCGTGGTCGTGGCCGTGGCCGTGGCCGTCGTGGCGGCAAGCAGAACGAGGAGAAGGAGTGGCAGCCCGTCACCAAGCTCGGCCGTCTCGTCAAGGCTGGCAAGATCAAGAGCATGGAGGAGATCTACCTCCACTCTCTGCCCATCAAGGAGTACCAGATTGTCGACTTCTTCCTGCCCAAGCTGAAGGATGAGGTCATGAAGGTGAGAAAAACCAACCGCCTTTTTTTCCTGATGCGCTCGGAATTTTCGCGACGGAGGAAGCGGGGTTTGTGGGAGGTTGGGAGCACACAAAACGCGGGTTTTTGGAGCGGGATTGGACGAGCTTGCGGGCTATCGTCCAGGACACTGGCTAACGTGTCTCGCAAAACAGATCAAGCCCGTCCAGAAGCAGACCCGTGCCGGTCAGCGCACCCGCTTCAAGGCCATCGTCGTCATCGGTGACGCTGAGGGCCACATTGGTCTCGGTATCAAGACCTCCAAGGAAGTCGCGACCGCCATCCGCGCCGCCATCATCATTGCCAAGCTCAGCGTTGTGCCCATCCGGAGAGGTTACTGGGGTACCAACCTCGGTGAGCCGCACTCTCTGCCCGTCAAGGAGTCCGGCAAGTGCGGTTCCGTCACCGTCAGGGTATGTTTTTCAGCTCTCGAATCCGCGAGCACGCACGCATTTACGTGTGCGTGCCGTTTGCCCCGACCAAAAACACTGACATGGCTCTGCAGCTGATCCCCGCCCCCCGCGGTACCGGTCTCGTTGCCTCCCCCGCCGTCAAGCGCCTGTTGCAGCTTGCCGGTGTCCAGGACATCTACACTGCGTCCTCCGGTTCCACCAAGACGCTTGAGAACACGCTCAAGGCCACCTTCACCGCCGTCACCAACTCCTACGGCTTCCTGACGCCCAACCTCTGGAAGGAGACCAAGCTCACCAGGAGCCCGCTCGAGGAGTTCAGCGACATCCTCCGCGAGGGCAAGCGCTACTAAGCGTAGCCATGTTTAGATGAATGGTTTTAACGGGGAGGGGGTTCAATCAAAGGTTTTTCAACTGGCTTGTTCTTTGTTGTACGTGCCCTGCATGGAGTTGCGAGGTCATGAGGCCGTCCTGGCACAAGCAACCTAGGTCGTTCTCAAAAAATGATATTCCACAATGCGAGGCTTGAGCAAGGCTCTGCGCCGGCTCTTTTATGATGTGTTCGTTGAGCTTTGCTGAGTGGGCCCCTTGACGTTAGGCGGTATTAGCGGCGTGGACGCGGTCTCATCTGGATCTGTTGTCCAACGTATTTTACACGCTGGTCAAGCTACGTAAACGCGGGATCCCTTAACCCCACCCCATCAGCCACTGCTTTCCTACTCAAATATACCGTTGTAGCTAAATATCCCAGCATCTTTAATGCCCACTATCGTTCGTTCATTCCAAAGCATTTATCAAAAACGATGTCTCAAACACATCAATCAATCTAGCCACAAGCTATCGCTTTCTACGCATCTCACGCCCTCACTCGCAACCCTACACACACACAAACACACACAAACACAAACACCACCCCCTCACCCCTCACGCAATCACACAAAACACAAACAAACACGTAGAAAAAGAAAAAGGAAACTCGTTAAACTCGTTATCCCCATCCGCCCATGACACTCATCACTCTGCCCAAGCCAGCAGCCAGACTCAGTGCCAGCTACCTACCTAGGTACAAAGACCTACCAAGCACGCGGCCAAGCGCGCCGTCTCTCATCTCTGCCCCTGCACAACACAACACAACACAACACCCTGCTCTACGCTCTACGCCCTGCAAGGATGAACGCACTAACGAGCTAGCAATGCCTGTCTCCTGTCTCCTGAACCTCCTCTTTACGTGACGCAGGGCTAGAAACCCCGCCAACTAGGCAAGCAAGCAAGCAAGCAATCGACCAAGCAGGCTGTCAGGTTGCGCGATGTCGTATCCAACGCCACGCACGCTGCTGTCGCTGATGGTGATGTGCCTCCGCTCCCCTACCCTCCACCCCCCTCCCCACGCACGCACTCACTCGTCATCCGTATCCTGGTGCGAGATCAACAACTCCGGGTCCGGCTCGTCCTCATCCGTATGGTACTCATGTCTGATAGGGCGCGCAGGAGGGACGCGCTTCTCAGCCTCCGACTCAACAGCAGCAGCACGGGGCTCATCGGCCTCAGCTTCGCCCTCACCACTAGCACTCGCGCTATCACCACTACCACCACCGCCGCCCATACTCGGCCTAAACGCCACATCGACGTCGCGCTCCTGCAGCGCCTTGCCGTCTTCGCCGTCTCCTGCCTCGCCTCCTCCCCCTCTTCCTCCTCCTCCTGCCGCCTTCAGCATCCCCTCCAGGATGCCCCGCCCCTGGTGCAGCGCGCTCAACTCCGCGCCAATGCAGCACACGAGCAGCGTCCAGCCCTTGTCCTGCGCGGCCTCGTGGCGCGCGTCCACGGCTGCAATCGTGCGCTCCAGCTCCGCGAGGAGGAGCCTTGCCTCGGCGAGCGCGTCGGCCGCGTGCGCCTGCGTCGCCGCTGCTATCTTGCGCTCAAAGTCACTGACTGTGCGCACGATCTCGGTCCAGATCAGCGCGCCTTCGTCCAGCGCTGCCCGCTCGGTCTCGATGGCTGTTTGTTGCGTTGACAGCGTCGTTAGTGCGTCTTGGAAGTGCTCTTTTGCCATGCTGAGCGTGCGTCGTTTCGGGTGCACACTGTAGAAGGGGGCGGCCTCGGGGGTGGTGCCCGCGTCGGGGGAGCGCGGCCGCTTGCTTTGAAGGAACGTGTTGATGTCCGATTCGAGGAGGGATAGGGACGTCTTGTACGAGGACAGTTTCGACTGCACTGCGTTCTCGATGTCGCTGATCTCCGTCACCAGGCTGCGGTGTCTGGTCTTCATGTCGCGTAGCTTCTGCTCGAGCTCCTGGATCTCGCCTTCCAGCGTGTGTGCTTCCTCTCTAAGGGCGTCGGTTCTGGACCCCTCATTGCCATATTCCTCAATGTCGTGTATCTGCTTCTCCAACCCTCCTCTCTGCTCCTCCCACGTAGCTAGCTTCTCCAGTACCGCGTTGTTCTTCGTTTTGTTTGCATCGAGCAAATATCCCTCTTCATCCTTCACGGCCGCCAGCTGCCGCATAGCCTTCCGGATTCCTTTTCTGGCGCTGCCAATTCCAATATTGCGATTGCGGCTACGGCGAGATTGCTGCTGCTGCTCTAAGGCGTTGCCTTTGCTTCCCGTTAAGCTCTGTACAGTAGGCGTGAGGCTCCCACTGCTCAGCCCCATATCGTCTCCTTCTCGCCCTGCATCGCCGCCGATTGACTCCCGGCTCAGTGCCTCTTCCTGTGCGTCCAGCAAGTCTTGCAATTCCGCATGGAGCTGCTTCTCGCGCCGTCGCAGCAGAAGCATCGCATCTGGCAATGCACGCGTCTGCTTCAGGCGCACGGTTGACGCGTGCACGCTGGCTGTCACGGGAGCGGGAGGTATAGTCGGGCGGGGCGGAGGTGGTGGAGACATGGGCGGAGAGGGGGAGAAGGACGGAGACATTTTGCCGTTGGTGTTGTTTGTGCTGGTCTTGCTGCTTAAAGAGTTGTTGTGGTACAAATGCGGCAGCTCATGCTCGCGTCGGTCGTCGTGGTGCTCGGTGGGGAAGGCTAGAAAGCTAGAGGAAGCTTGGTGCAGCCAGGACCTGAGAGCCATGGCGGTTAGCGAGGAGGCGAGAGGAACGAGGGGGAGAAGGGCGAGACTCACCTCGGGGGCGAGGGGGAAAGTATGGCAGTTGGCAGGGCACGCGGACTGAGGTGCGTCGTGGTGGGTCGAGTGACGAGGGCTCCCGAGTCCCATGTGCATCGCAGCTGCCTTCGGGTCCGGGGAAATGCCGCTAGCCCGATTGGAATAGCTCTCATGACTCGTGACGAGATCACATCTCAAACATGCATCGCCTCTACAGGCAATAGCTGGCATTTTCTCAATGACTTTGTGCGCGTGCTGTTTCTCCAAACAAACTAGCAAGGAACCCTTTTTTTACCTCGTCCCAACATTCCAGTCTGCCATGCAATATTTGGTCGATCCTATTGCTTACTGGCTGGCTCTGCTCATCTCCAACCCCAACCAAGCGGAATGTAGAAACGCAAAATTAAGGAACGAACTGAAACAATCATAAGCGCCGGAGAAATAAAAAATATATATTCTCGACGATCTTCGTAGTGGGAGTGTGTGATTATGCAGAATGCGGGAGGGGCAAATGAAGATACAGCAAGAACTAAGAAAGCTGAACACGCAATGCCCAAATCAAGTGAGCGATGGTCTCTGAGTAATACGACTTTGAAGAGTGCAAATTTTTCCATGGCTGTAGCAGCGAACAGGAACCGGGTGCGGAGACAGACGGCAATTTTGCTGCGACAGATTCGTAGGAGCCTGGACTTTGTGAGCGAATAGAAGACCATTTACCAAGCGCCGAGACTATTTTTGTTTCATGTGGAAATGCTAGTGGCGGTACGGCAGAACAAGATAGGTGGCATCCAAGAAATAAGACACCCTGATTATTCTTAGGTTCACCAGGATGGCCATTGATAACCAGTCGTTGTGGACCGAAGCAGAACGGATGGCTCTAAGCGGTTGGCCTGTGTGCCCGTAAGAAAGTGGGTTTCATGTGCATGTTGACTCCATAGCATGCTCGCTGTCGGTTGCAAGCTACCAGGTGGATTCAGACCTTCCACCCGGGGAGGACATCCACTGCGCCAATTAAATCCTCTACTATTTCCCGCTGTGCTCGGGACATCTCCTCACAACCCACTTTTCCCACAATTTCCGTTGCGCATTGGAAACGAAAATTCCGTCGTCGCCCAGCGCTTCGGGGCTCTCGAGGAACGAATTTCTTCCACAATTGCACCAGGGGACGGAAGACGGCGTATCAGGCGAGATCATTGGGAAGTCCATTCCCTCCTCTTCAGGTCCGTTGTCGTCATCCGAACGCTCGTTTTCCGAATCGCTAGGGTCCGTCTCTTCACCGAGTGAACTGTCATAACCAGCCATATCTGCTCCAGCGTGCGGGTCCCAGTCGTCGATATCGCTTTCGTCGTCGCTTTCGCTAGCGCCTCCGGGTGGATCATCTGGAACCTCGGCGCCGGCGACGGCCCACTGCTCATCGAAATGTTTCGCATAACCGATGCGTCGCAGGGATACCCAGTCTAGCCGGAACATGTCATCGCGCAGGTAAGCCAGAACGTCCTTCCACATGCTGCCATCCTTCAAAAGAACATCGCGTAGTCGAAGGCCCTTCAAACGATCCCGATGCCGCTGGGCGAGAGCAATGATCTCGTCTGCATCCAGTTTCCAAGCCTGAATACCAAATGCCAGAAGTTTATCCCAGCGTACATTGTGGAAGATTTCCTCTAGCCTCAAGCTCAGGGGTCTGTGTGAGGGGAATCCTACATGCACTGCTTGCATGTTTTTGGCCGCTGTAAAGACGGTGTGAAAGAGGCCTGAGAGTTCCCGCATTTTGGCGTCCAGGTCCGAGCCATCATCAAAATGCAGCTCCAGACATGTCAGCCGCTCCGCTAACGAGGTAAACGCCTGCGGCGGATGCGCTGCCAGCACGATCGCGCTTTGCGGGCTGAGCATTGGCGACGAGAACCGCGAGCAAGGTGATTTGGAGGCCAACAATGCGGCGCCAATGGTTTTGGCGCTGTGTGAACAGGCCGGATCCCACCGTAACTCGACAAACTGATTGAGGTTGTCATGTTGGCGGATGTAGGATATGAGCGCGCCCGTCTCTTGGTCTTGAACTCGAAGGATCTGAACGTGCTGCAGAGAGGTAAAAGCCGAGAGGGCTTTCTTTAATACGCGTTCGTCTTCTCCCGTTGCCACCAACTCTTTCTGTTCGTTGATCTTCCGTACGAAATGCCGCACATCCAATAAGCCCAGACTATCCTGCAAGGTCGGCAAAAGCTGCTGAACGCGCTCTCTTCCTATGAAGCACGTCAGTCATGGCGCGCTGGCACGAATCACGGTAGTTGTGGAGGACCCTCTACGTAGAAGTACGGCACCATGTAACTGAACTTCTTGACATGCTGGGAAAGATGGGGTTGGCCCGCAATGTTCTCCAGCCGCTTGAAGCCCTTGCGCGAGAATCGGGTCGTGACGCGGGCAAATTGATGGATGGCGCCTAATTCGGAAAACCTCTTACACGTGAGGCGGAAATGGCCGACGTCCTGGGCCTGGTTCGGGGCCGGCAGTGGCGGGGGCTTGAAGCTTTCCTGCGAGAGATAGGCGCGGCGGTCGAGATTGACGAGTTTCTCCGGATCGGCCTCGATGTGGTCGAGGATCTCGCGCAGAAGCTCGTTGGAGAGGCTCAGAAGGCCAGCTCCGCTAACGGAGGCCATGCCGGAGGATCACGCGGGGTAAAGGTGCGCATCCACCGGGTCAAGTGACCACGACGGCGGCGCAGACGCAGCTCCAACGGCCTGAGGAGCAGGGTGGGGATCGGAGGGGGCGGTCGAGGGCGAGGCGAAGAGAGTGGCGGACTTGAGAGAGAGCGGGGGCGAGGGAAGAAGAGCGGACGGATGGGGGAGCTGGGCGGCGCATATTAAGGTGGCCGCGACATCAGGAAAAAGCAGCAGCAGATGGCAGAGGCAGATGCAGGCGTGTCAGCCGAGCGCTATCGCATCGTGGGTGGAGTGCGGACAAGGAGAGGGCAAGGCCAATGGAGCGGGCAGTCGAGCGAGGCCTGAAGCCCATTGCGGCCTAGGGCGTCACCTGATTGATTCTTGCTGCATTTGCCCGCAGCAGAGCACACGGATGCAGCCGGGCGGAGCGATGCGTTGCCAACGAAGCGCTGCATGCTCGCCCTTGCACTGGACCAGATCGACACCCAGGGCGCGAAGAGGCCTGGCGCTGGCCCTCCCGCTCCCGTGGCGCCCTCGTTAAAAAGGGCGTCCCACCGCCGTACAACTTCCAAGTCACACACGTCCGCAACTGAAACCCCCGGTGTCAGCCGACGACTGCGCGGAGGCGGCTCAGTGGCCAAAAGAAGCACGAGGTACCTACCGACATCAGCCGAACGAAACTCGGTACCACTGTAACGGGGATCCAAAGGACCAAACCCGCAAACAGGCAGGTAGATGGGCCGTAGTCGGATCTTGCACCCCGGTCCCCATGTACCTTGACGTTTCGATTACGATATCCTTCTTCTACGCCAGAAGACGTCTTTCTGCTGTGTGGGGGGACAAAGCTAGCTAAAGACTCACGAGTCGACGATGCTACATGGATACCTAGGGCAACAACAATGATTTCTGCAACGTTGCTAATCACTCCATGAAACCCTGTGGCGAAATATTATAGTTAGCTTTGCATTTATGTTTCACGTTTTCGGGGTGTAGGAAAACATCTTAACCGGTGCCTACATGATACTTCAATATATCGAACAGTTCCCTTAGCTTAGACCCTTGATTAACCGCTAACCTATTTGGTTTTACAATAGACAGCTGGCTACCTACTGCTACATGTACGTACTATGACGCCAATGTTATAATATCAAATGCCCAGAACTTGAGGCCTATGGTTAGCTTTACAGTAGCCTCCTAACTCATACGAAAGTTGGCTTTTCTAATGCCTCCAATAGGAAGCAAGATGACACGTGCGTCGACGACTCCTCTAGTATATAATTGATATCTTCTTTTATAGCAATAACGCAGTTCAACATTGCAAAACCAATGACTAGAATGTACTTGGGTGCGAAAACGACAACAAGCGGAAGTGCCAGGTAGGTAACAGGATGGCAGAGTCGTGGAGTTGCAGGGACTGTCAAGAGTGACGCGGCCTACCTAGCCAGGCAGCCAGGCATGGAATCTGACGGCGGAGACGGCGGCGGTGGAAGCAAAAGGCAGAGAGCAGGCCTGTGATCTTCCACTAGAACCCGTGGCGGAAAGTGATGGACGGGAGCAGACTTCACGAAATAACGTTGGGTTGTCGGCGCAATGGAGTAGGCCAAAATTGGGCAGCTCGTTGCAACAACATGAGCTCCGACCCCCGCGCCCAAGCATCCCCTTCGCGTCGGCCGGTGTACAGTCAGCGGCCATCATCCCTACACGGCAATCACTTGGCCCTTGTCTGTTACAGATTCGCAGGTAACGCTCCCACCCTCTCCCCACTCGTTCCCTCTCTGCCCTTCTTCCCCTCGGCCCTGGGCGCTATCCAGGCCTCGCCCGCGGGCACCATGCCGTTCCACTCGCACCACCATACGCCCAACGCGGCCAGCGGCACAGGAGCCGCCCACGGCATCTACCACGCTGCCCAGGCTTTGAGCGCCATCGGCGCGCCCCAAGGCAAGCGCGTCGCGGCGTCTGGCACTACGGCCGCCGGCACTGACGCTCTCACGCCTGGCAGCGGCAACGACCCAGGCTTTCACAGCGGAGGGCACACCGCCCCACCCGCTGCTTCGGGCCTACCTGGGCCTGGCGTTGCAGCTGGAGGAGCGGCAGCGAATCCGCGGCGGCCCATGACGTTGGGCAGAGCGCCAGAGGAATTGCATATCCCAAGCTCTATGGCTGGTCAGCAGCAGTTGTACAACTCACCGGACCAATACTCGCCTGCCGTCAACCTCCACCACGCCGCTTCGCAACTTCAGGACACTCATTTTGCTAATCCGCAGTCAACCAGCAGTGGCGTCCCCGGCAGCCTCCAGCCCGGCATCGCGCAACGGCCAGGCCCTTCCTCGTCCTTCACCGCGCCCATCACAGTGCCGACTATGCCTCAGGTTAACTCAAACGCCCAGCAATACACCTTACCTACGCGCTCCAACACCATGAGCCAGCACTCCCACAGCTATTCGCGATCGAGCCCAGCTGGTCTGGACCAGAAATATATCCCTTTTTCCTCGACCGCGCAGACGCCCGACGTTCCAAAGTACGCGCAGACCCCGAGCCAGCCACAGCGACATTATGCGCCACCCACTCCGCAAGCTGGTGCCGCCTCCAACTCGCCCTTGGGGCTAGCAGACATACGGCCGCGGGCCAACTCGAACATTGGGGAGGAATCGGCGTCTGGAACAACCATCTTCTCAGAGTTGGACAATCGGCCGCCTGGAAACAGCAACTACCTGGCGCCATGGGCCGTCTATGCATTCGATTGGTGCAAATGGCCTGTGCAAGGAGGAAACAGCGCTGGAAAGATGGCTGTTGGAAGCTATCTGGAAGATCCCCATAACTTTGTGAGTATTCCAATGCGCTATGAAGAGCTGCATCCGGCGGAAAAGAGACTTTCGGGAAGAGACCGACATTATCCTTCTCGGGATCTTGCAATTGGCCATCCGGGCCCCATATACCGTCTCATGGGTGTTATGCGAGATGCTTTTCCGCCAAAGATAGTTGAGCAACCGAGTCCTAACCGCTATACCAGATCCAAATCCTGGATACCCAGGTCGCTCCCCAAGAAGCTACAACGCCTGGCGCACCAGGATATGGCATCGAGTATACTCGTGTCGCTGAGGCGACATGTTCCTACCCCGTGACTCGGATACTATGGGAGCCTCCGTCGTCGCAAAAGCAATCTACGGACCTTCTAGCAACCTCCGGCGATCATCTTCGGCTGTGGTCGCTGCCGCAAGCAACCGCCAACCAGGCCAGCAACACTATCACTCGTTCCTCCAATGTCAACCAGAGAGAACCTCCTGTCCAAAAGCTGACGCCTCTGGCTCTGCTCTCGAACTCCAAGTCTCCGGAACACACTGCGCCTCTGACTTCCCTGGACTGGAACACGCTCTCCCCTAAACTCATTATCACGTCAAGTATCGACACTACCTGCACGATATGGGATATACCAACTCTTACCGCGAAGACGCAGCTCATTGCTCATGACAAAGAAGTTTTTGATGTCCGATTCTGTGCCGGCAGCGTTGATGTCTTTGTCAGTTGTGGAGCAGATGGCAGCGTCCGGATGTTCGATCTTCGTAGCTTAGAGCATTCTACGATTATTTATGAGCCCACGGAAAAGAAGGAAGAGAAGGGTGAGTGTTCAATAGACGATACGATTCAGTCCCAGCTACTGATGCTCCATTTCTAGGATCTCCTGGCCGAATGTCCCCCACCAAAGCGCAACAAATGATGTCTTATGCGCCTCCGCTTCTCCGACTAGCTGCATCTCCTCACGATGCGCACCTCCTCGCAACCTTTGCTTCAGACAGCAACATCATCCGAATCCTCGACGTCCGGCAGCCCGGCCAAGCCCTTCTAGAACTGAGAGGCCACCAAGCACCCCTTAACAGTATCGACTGGTCTCCAACCCGTCGCGGCATGCTCGCATCTGGAGCTGACGACAACCTTGTTATGGTCTGGGACCTTCTCCATTCGCAGAACGGGGCCCAACTGAACGCCTCCGACGCCACTGTCACCACGACTGTGGGCAATGGCACGTCTGGCCAAGCTTCGGGATCCGGTAACGTGAACATGAAGGGGCCATGCGCAAGCTGGAAGTGCGACTACGAGGTCGGCAATCTAAGCTGGGCTCCGCAAAGTGCTTTGACGGCCCAGGGCGGCGAATGGCTTGGCGTCAGCGGCGGAAGGGGAGTTTGGGGCGTCAAGCTATGAGGAGGGACATGCTGGACTTGAAAACAGGAAGACAAGACATGTGTATGTATGATGCTTCTGCCAGCAACGGTGGGATGACGAGAGACGAGGTACGCATTTGACGGCGTATGGGACGATTAATCAATGGGTGATAGTGGTTTCTTATCCCACTTTTTTCATTTCCAAGCCTAGATACCTCCCAAGAAGCAGTTTGAATAACACGCGCGCCAAGAGTGGGGACCGCTGGGGGCGCTGCTGATTGAGTTTTTGCTTTGAAGCCTCGATACAGACAACTCTGTGTTTGGCAATCTATGATGTCCCCACACACGCCGCCGAACTGCTGGTTCGAGCACCTCCTCCCGACAATGGAACCGTGGGTATTGCCCCATTCAGACAAGGCGCGGGTAAAGCCGAGGCGAGACCGCGTGAAGCACAAAGCGCCAATGTCGCAACGCGGCGCACGATTAAGGCGCAATGGCTGCAAAGGGTTAGCATTGCAGCGGCAGAACAGAGATACGGCGGCTGACGCACGGAACGGACGTGGGCGGATCGAGAGCACGACATCACGGCAGATGGAGTCGCAACGGCAGACCAGCGACGATCCCGAGAGGAGCGACTCGGTACAAAAAAGCCCGCCGCACGCGTGTTCCCGCCCGCTGCCATGGTCCAACTGCTGCACGCCCAGAGAGGAGCACGCGAGTGATCTGAAGTCCTGAGAGACGCCTCACCACCATGCCGCACGCGTCCAACGGCCACGTGCCCTCCGAAACCTCGCCGCTCCTGCCCAAGCACGATGCCGACGACCTCCAGCACATCCCGCCACAGCCCATAGACCCCAGCGCCGGCCTGGTCCCCGAGGGCGCCGACGCCAATGGCTCATACGAAATCGACGAGGACGAATATGCCACCGAGGACGCGGCCACCGAGGATGGCGGCGACCTGGAGAGACAGCTCAGCAACATCGACCGCATGAAGCAGTACCAGGGTCTGCCCGATGTCAAGGCACGCATGAAGTATATTATGCCGGCGATAGCGGTGGGCATATTCCTGGCTGCGGCGGACCAGACTATCATTGTGAGCAGCTACGGAAGGATTGGTTCGGATTTGGGCGCGTTGAGCAACACGTCCTGGATTGCTACGGCGTAAGAGCGGCCAGGTCTTTATTGCCACGCATATATACTGATCGTGCGACAGGTATTTCTTGACCCTCACGTCCTTCCAACCCCTCTACGGCAAGCTCTCCGACATCTTCGGCCGCAAATCATGCCTCCTCTTCGCTTACACCATCTTTGGGATCGGATGTTTGTTCTGCGGTCTTGCCAAAGATATAAATCAGCTGATTGCCGCGCGAGCATTTGCCGGCATCGGCGGTGGCGGCATGACAACCGTTGTGTCCATCCTAATGTCGGATGTGGTATCGCTGCGGGAGCGCGGCAAGTGGCAGGGCTACATCAACATCATCTTCGCCTCTGGAGCGGGTTGCGGTGCACCGCTGGGCGGAATCATGTCTGATTTCATCGGCTGGCGATGGGTCTTCCTTGTACAACCGCCGCTCTGCCTCGTTGCCTTCGCGGCTGTCAGCTTTGTGCTCAAGCTCCCCAAGCAGGATCACAGTCATTGGAAGGAGAAGCTGCGCCGCATCGACTTCCTGGGCGCCATTGTCCTGATCTCGGCAGTTTTTGCGCTGTTGTTAGGTCTCGATCACGGCTCAAATGTTGCGTGGTCAAATAAAATGACTATCATCGCACTCAGCTGCTCGCTGCCCCTCTTCCTCATCTTCATCTTCGTCGAGATCAAGATTGCCTCAGAGCCGTTCGCGCCAGGCCACATCATCTTCGAGCGCTCCCTCGTAGCATGCTACTTCTGCAACTTCTTCTCCTTCAGTGGCTACATGGCCGCGCTGTTCTACGTCCCGCTGTACTTCCAAGTAGTCGACGGCAACACGGCCACCGAAGCCGGTGTGCGCCTCATCCCTGGCATCATCGCCGGCGTCTCCGGAAGCCTGTTTGGTGGCTTCTACATGCAGCGGACAGGGAAATACTACTGGATCACAGTGTGCGGATACAGCGGGCTTGTCGTCGGCGCCGCCACGATCCTGCTCTCCACAGGCATCCTCGCCAGCACAACCCTCGGCATCATTATCGGCCTCATGATCTCCGGCTTCTCGAACGGCATTGGCGTAACCACCTCGCTCATCGGCCTGAGTAAGTGTCCTCCCCTCCCCAAACCACACACATACACACATACAGAACCCCTAACTAACCACACCCTCTTTTCCAGTCGCCAATTCCGCGCACTCAGACCAAGCCGTCTCGACCGCATGCTCCTACCTCTTCCGCAGCCTGGGCTCCGTCTTCGGCGTCTCGGTCGCAGCAACCCTAGTCAACCAATCGCTGCGGGCACGACTTGAGACGGCACTGGGCGCCGGCGACGAGGCCGCGCATATTGCTGAGCGCGTGCGCCAGAGCATCGAGTATATCCGCACGCTGGAGCCGGGCGTCAGGGAACTGGTCCGCACGTGCTATGCCCAGAGCACACGGTATGCGTTTGCGCTGCAGATTGCGCTGGTGGCGGGAGCGGCGGTGAGCGCGTGGTTTGTGAGGGAGAAGAAGCTGAGTCGCTAAGTAGGGGATGTGGGTGTGGGGTGGTGTGGTGGGGGAGGATGGAGGTATTGGTGTGGGGGTTGGGGGTTGGTTAGGGGTGATGAGTTATGATGTCTGAGATGTTGACCATGAAAATGAAAATTCTTAGTTGTTGATAGACCTTAAAACTCATCATTACTATCTAAAAAACAAGCTCTGCCAGGACGACGATATCAAAACATTACCCTCCCCCAGAGAAAAGCATCATCATTACTAACCTCGAATCACTCACAAAAAGTACACTATATATACTAAGCCAACAAGTTCAATTTTCAATCACGTGATAGAACCAATCCATCACGCAGCCCAGAACTTCCTCCGTGGCGCAATTGGCTAGCGCGTCTGACTGTTAAGAGCATCCGCACGGATCGCTTGGCTATCAGGAGGTTGACAGTTCAAGCCTGTCCGGGGGAGTTATAGTCTTTTGCTTTTTTTATTTTTTATTTTGTCAGTTCGTGCTTGGTCCCTACGAGGAAGGCTCACACGCTCTCTCATTGCATGCATGTAATTTTCTGCAGCGGGGGTTTTGCGTTTTTGGTAGGGGACTGGACTGGGGGGATGCGCGTATTGGTGCATGGGGCTGGGTTGGGGTTGGGGTAGGGGATAGGGAATGGAAGCGGTTAAGGACGCGGAAGCGGATGCGGGTGCGCGCCCGCTCGGATATGCTCGGCTGCTGGGGTGTCCTGTTGCTTCTGCTCCTGCTGCCGCTGCTGCTGCTGTAGCTGCTGCTGCTGCGGTGCGAGGGCTTGCAGCGGACGGGCGGATGGATGGCCTGATGAGTTGGGATGGGATGGGTCGGTTTGGGTAGGTGCTGCGGCGTGGGCTTGCGTGCATGGCGCATGGCGCATGGGTGGATCGGATGGATTGGATGGATTAATTCCATGGCGGGTTTGGGGCATACGCGTATATGTATGTAGGTGCGAGTGCGTCACCAGCGTGGTGATTACTTATCAAATAATCCGTACCCAGGCGTGCTGGGTCGGTGTGGTGGGCGTGTTTGGTGGATAGACGGGGGTTGGGGTGGTGCTGCTTTTGGGGGTTTCTGTTGTCGGGTGTGGGGGTGGGTGGGAGTTTGGATGAGGTTACTTACTGGTGGGTTTTTGGGTGCGTTGTTGGGTTTACCCAGGAAATTTGCAAACAATACCACAATTTACTAAGTCACCAGAAGTAAAACATACAGTGTATACGGTATATGTCTTTAATCTCATTCAACGTTTACAGCCATCTCTCATGAAGCTATATCATCCCTTTTTGTTTAATTCGTGTCATACATCCCAATCCCTACATCATGATCATTAAAAGATCGTACTTTTGAAGAAAAAATGTGCTTCAATCCAATAAAACGTAGGTAGGTAAGCGATGGCAAGAGAAGAAGAAGAAGTGCTCCAAGACAGATACGACCAAGAAGCCTCAACAGCACTCACTCTGCACCAGTCGCTAACACGGCACCGCTATCCCAGCCGTCAGCAAGCCAGTCTAGCACACCGTGACAAACAAGCCCAACGGGCTCGGGTTATAGTCCTGGAAAAACGTCAAGTCCAGCGCGCCAGTAGCAGCCAGCTCAAAGCCGACAGCCTGGCCAGCCGGGCACGCAAAACTCGCCAGCGCATACGCGCTGCCCGGAACAAGGCTGTGCACGTCACCGATCTGGGTGCGCGCAGGCACAGTCGCGAAGCTCGTGTCCGCGGCCGCGGGGCTCGCCAGCTTGTACGCGGCCACGCCGCCCGCGCCGCTGAGCGTGTAGTTGCTGGTTTCGAGCTGCGCCTGCTGCGGGAACAGGAACGTGAGCGTGCATGTCTTGCCTGCGTCGCTGGAGGGGATGTCGAAGTTGAAGAGCGACGAGATGCTGCTGCTGATGGTGCCGTATTCGCTGATGCCGGAGGATTTGGTCGGCGCGGTGGCGTCGACCGGCACGATTAGGTGCGGGTATTCGTAGGCCCCGGAGAGGTCCGCGGGGCATGCGCTGCTGGATGCTGCGGGTGCGGAGGCTGCGGGTGCTGACGCCGCGGGTGCTGTGCCTGCCGGAGCAGAAACCGCGGGAGCGGGAGCCGCAGGTGCAGTGCCCGCCGGAGCAGAAGCAGCGGGAGCAGACGCAGCAGGAGCAGAGCCCGCGCCAGAGCCAACGACAGAAGTAGCAAAAGAGACCGAAGTAGTCATAGGCGTAGTCCTCGCAATAGTCTCAGTGACACCACCCGGCGTGGGACAGTACGTAGTGTAGAAAGTGAGCATGACCGTAGTGACTTCCACAGCTCCCTGGGGCTGGCCGGCCTGGGGCTGGCCAGCAGCAGCTGATGAGCCCGCTGCAGAGGCAGCCGCAGAAGCACTGGCGGCGGCACCGGTTGGAGCAGCGCCCGACGCGGCTTTGGATGCTGCGCCAGAGGCGACACCCGTAGGGGCACCGCCGGAAGCACCGCTGGAAGCACTGCCAGGTGCTGCACCAGGTGCAGAGCCGGTGGCAGCGACGTCAGAGGCAGCGTTAGAAGCGGCACCCGTGGGAGCAGACCCAGGAGCAGCACCGGCGGCACTTCCGGAGACAGCACCAGACGCGCCGGTAGCAACAACGCCAGGGGCAGCACCAGAGGCAGCGTTAGAAGCGGCACCCGTAGGAGCAGGGCCAGGAGCAGCACCGGCGGCACTGCCGGAGGCAGCAGCAGGAGCGCCGGTAGCAGCGATGCCAGAAGCACCGGCGGACGCGGCACCAGACGCGGCACCAGCACCAGAAGCTGCAACAGAGGCACCAGCAGTGGCACCCGAGGCGGCACCAGAAGCCGGGCCAGAAGAGGCATAATTAGCGCCCGGAATCGGGGCATTGCTAACCGCCTGTGAAGTAACTAGAGATCCGGTATTACGGCTAGGCGGAGCAACAGTCGAAGACGAGGGGACCTGGGTATCGACCGACGCCGAGGAAGCATTCGAGTCCGCGCCGCAGCTCAAGTCGTAAAGAGGCGTCGTGCTCAGGTCGGAGCCAACGAGGCCGAAGCTCGGGCTCGGCGTGCCCGGCGCCGCGTCCTGGAGCGTGTACCACCAGGTGTTGACGGAGCCGAAGAGGTTCTGGCAGCCGACTTGGTTCCAGTACGTTTGGGCGTGGTCGAGGCCGGGCACGGCGAGGTTCTCGGTGGGGCCTGAGACGGGCCAGCCGCTGTGATAGTGTTAGTTGTCTGCTGGTCTGGGATTTAGTGGATGTATATAAGGGTGCTTACGTCTCGGTTACCCAGACCGGCTTGTTGCCTGCGTGGTTCTTGGTCTGCTGGAAGGCGTCGTTGAAGAGGCTTTGGCCTTGTGCGATGCCGTTGGCCATGGTGTTCTGGAAGTAGGGGTACGCGTCCATGCCGAGGAAGTCTGAGGCGTCGATGACGGCGCTGTTGGAGTCGTTGACGTAGGCTGTCCAGGTGTCGACATGGCCGACGGGGAGGGCGGAGCCTGCGGTTCCGGAGAGAGCAGACTTGACTCTCTGGATATAGCCCACGATGACGGTGGGGTCAGCGCCAATGCCTGACTTGTTGATGATACCTGTCACGGAGTTGCGGTAGAGGTCCTCCGAGCCGACTGAAATGCCGATGATGAGTTCAGTGAGCTGCGAACCATACTGTTTGATGGCATTGTTGAGAGTGTTCAGCTCATTCTGAAAGGCAGCATCGCCGCCGGAAGCCCAGAGACCAAGGAGAAGAGAAGTTTTGGTGTTGATGGCAGCGGGAATGGCAGAGATTATGTCGCTAGAAGTGCCTCCCTGGATCATGGTGTAGAGCCGAGCACTGGTGAAGCCAGAGGCGCCAGACAGGCCTTTAGCAGTGTTGAAATCATTTACGAAATCAGCCTGCTGCTTGGCGGATCCGTCGGTAAAGGTGCTGCCGTAATTGAAGCCTTTGATCTGCGCAGCAGCAGTCGAAAGGGAGGCCGCAAGGGCCAGAAGTGTAGAAGAATGCATTCTGATTCTGGAGAGATAGGAAACAAACGAATGTCTAGAATCTTCAACAAGTGACAGAACGAAAAGAAAAAAGAAAAAAAAAAAAAAGGACAAGGGCGGAAGGGTCTTATATCCCGCAGATCAGTGCCCGGCCGAAGGCGAGCGTGGCCAACTGGGATGAGTAGCGGCTGCCCGTAAAAGTCTGCCGATTTCCAGCAATGTGTTTTGCTCTTGACGTATGAGCATGAGCCGCAGGGACAGCCGGACAGGTACCGACACTCAACGGAGCCGATGGCGTTGACAGCCGTTCCTGGACGATAGCCACTCTTGGCCTGGGGCGCTATGATTAGACAGCCTTGCAGTGCGTGATTTGCGGAGGAGACAGCCACAATGACAGGAGCCCCGCAAAACGAGCCATCGCACCGTCATCCTGGAGACCCCGGGCTAGACGATACCGCCAACATCGGCGCCTGGTGTGATCGTCATAGAGTAGGTTGTTCTATTCTCATGCTCCCGACGTCTCCGATCTCTGCATTAGCGGCGAGCACGGCAGCTGTCGTCGTGGGCTGACCGGAATCGTGCCAAATACTCACTGGACCTTGTGCAGAACGCCGCTGTGTCATTGCTTCAATGGTTGCGTCCTGTCTCGCATGGTGTATCGCATGGCGGGGAAGCTGTTGTCCTGGGAAGAACGCGAATCAATATTGCGCTAGCGCCGGATCGGGAAAGGCCGCAACGAGATGGTGACATATTCCGCCAACGTCTGGACCTTTCAGATCGCAAAAGCCTTTTCCAGACGGGCGCTTCTGCGGACGTGGCCTCCTCAGCTTTGGAAGGCTAACAACCTTGTTTTGTCCGCCTTCCATCGAGTTGCTTTTTACAGCAACCGCTAATCTCCAGCAATACGACCAGAATCTCATCGATTGAGCTTCTAAATTTATATGCACGGTGATGCGTCACCTTGAAAAATCAATGCCGAGGGCTGCTGAAGCAATGTGTACGCTGTCGTAAATCGGACGTCGTTGTTGCTCTTGGTCGAATGCGGCTTCATGGAGAGCCGCTCCCGGAAGTCCGCATTGCGTAAGTATTACTCGCTCAGATATGGGTTGCTTCTCCCTGGAATAAGGAAGCAATTCGGCCATTGTTCGAGCTTGAAAAATAAAGCTTTTCCTATAAGATGGATCAGAATTGCATATCGATGTACACCTTTCCCGGATGGTGGGAACTTACTGGACAAGGCCATTGTCTTGCGTAGGCGAGCTTTGTATGTGCGATTGAGCGGACTTTCTAAACCACGAAAGCGGAGAACCTCATACGGGTGTCGCGCTTGTCACTGATCAGCTCTCTCAGCGCTACCCACTCAGACCTGTTCATCCCCCTACGTATTTTCAGTGCCCGCTATCGGAGGGATGCATTACTTTGGCTTGCCCAGTAGGAAATAAGAGTGCTCGCTAGGTAGGTGGACGATCTCGGCTCTCGATTTCCTCGTCACAATATTATAGGACTCATTGTGGCCGTCACCGGGTTCCGCTTAAGATGACTCTGAGCTGTCATTCGCCGCGGAAATTCTCCGGGAGCGACCATCTGCTGAGAGACCAACATGACGGGCTTAAATTTCTATAAAAGTGTCTGCTTAGCCTCGGATGTAGATGTAAAATGATTACCTTCCGCTCTCTCTCCAAGGGAATTTTTGCGTTCTTTATCACGTTTTCGATACTTTTCTGCAAAGAATTGAGCGTATGGATAACCCCCAGCATCCAATACCTCAAAGCAAGTTAGTTGGCTTGTTTGATATTAGAGCCTTTTAGTTTTGCATTGACTTGTTCCAAAAATTGTTTGTACGAAAAATGGAAGCTCGTGCCGCTTTATTTCCAGCCGTCTACCTTTGTGCTTTTTCTTCGTCGTTGCCAGGAAATGATTGTTCTCTGGTCAGTAACAATCAGACCTTCTCTCCGGCCGCAGCCTCATTGTTCCTACGCGATCTGACATCAACGCCCTCAATAACGCTTTCTCGCTGCCCAACAACCAAATTTTGACCAGTAGCATACCTAACAAAGCGGAGAATCGATGCTCGACCTTCCCAGATCGGGTAACATGTAATAGCTATAGAAGCAAAGAACGCCCACAAGAAAACGACGACAATCCAACCACGGAAGAAGGATTTAGAGAAGACTGGACGGTGTGTGAGCGAATGACACAAGCTGCCAGTGACGAGTAATGAGCAGACGTACCGTATCCGGAGCCATACATCGGGATAGGCCATAATATGCAGAAAACAAGACACAAAAGAACACAGCAAGCGGAGGCCTTCTTGTGCGCGCGCAAAAGCTTGCAGTCCTCTTCTGCAACCTGCTCTACCGCCGCTCCAGCCGCGCAAGTGATATTCCCCTGCGCAAGCTTCGGTTCTTCCAACGCGCCCTCATCGCTCTTAATCGCCTTGAAGACCTCCCAGTCGAAGTCATTCGGTTTTATGTACGTGATCAAAGGCGTCAGAACCATGGGTCCGCAGATCGACATCATGTTCCCGGCAACCAGGGGAATGGGCTGGCTGGTTGTGCTGATGGTCACTGCGCCGTAGTGCGTGTACGCGGTGAGGAACCAGGCTATTGCCGCCGCGACCGTGCCACAGAGTGGTGAGAGGACGACGGCGGCGAGGGACTGCTTCTTCCATGTGATTGTGCAGGCCATGGGTACGATGGCCGAGTCGACGAAGATGCCGATGCTTGTGATGAGGTAGTTTACTGATTCTCCATCAGCACGTGGGGATTATTGTACGTAGAGATGTTGAGAGTAGGTACCGCTGAAGCCTGCGTGATTGAAAGCAACGGCGATTGCTGCGACTACGATGCCAAAAGCAACAACGATGCAGTGGGATACCCGAACGAGTTGGTTGGAGTTTGCGGAGGGGTTGATGTATGCTTTGTAAATATCGTAAGTTCCAAGTGCAGCTGTAGCAACCGTTTCTGAAGACATCTGTATCGGCAGTTAGCGATCCAACATTCCACAACATCAGCAACGTACACTTTCTGATCTTGCTACCCATCACAGAACAATTTAGGTCTAGAAAAGACTTTCTTACCGCAGAAGTGACAGCCATAAACGTCATCAAAAGAACAGCGACAACACCCCCCTTCCCCATCACCGCATAAGCAGCATACGGCATAGCCATCCCAGCCGCAACTTCCTCCTCCGACATTCTCTCCGGATATGTTGGGAAAACAGGCAAATGCTCTGTCGCCGCAGCGGCAAGCCCAAACGTACTAGCCAAAACAAACGGAATCGTAAACCAGCAAAGGCCACCAAGCATATAGCCCGGATAAGTTGCCGACGGATCAGCCGCAATAGCTTTCTGAAAAAGCTGTGAATCGACACAAGAAGCGAACGAAGCGCCCACAAATATCAACCCAATATATCCGCCCCCAGGGCTCTTCATCGTCAAGTACTCGCCGTCCTGGTTGCCGTCCACCGGGTGCAGTGTTGCGGCCTTTTTGAGCAGCTCCCACATCCTGTCCGGAGAGCCAATGGTGTCGGATGTGGTGTAGGCCATGAAGAGGGTTGTGAGCATGACGATGTAAATGATGACGGTGTGGGCCCAGTCGGTCAAGAATGTGGCTTTTATGCCCCCGAAGAGCGTGTAAATGAGCACGCCAATGGGGAAGAGGAAGCATGCTGCGTCTCTGTTCATTCCTGTCATTGAAGAATAAAGCGTGCTTCCGCCAACGAGCAGGTTGACGGTTGTGAATATTTGGAAAATCAGTGAGTAGCACATTAGCGTGATATGACCAGCTGGTCCGTATCTCGTCTTGACGACCTCAAGGAATGTATGTGCTCTTGGTGCTTTCCTCTTGAGCTCAATGGCTATGAAACATCAGCTGAACCATCTCGTACTTCCGTTGCATAGAGGACATACCGGCCAGAGCAAACATGAAGATCTGGAACGTAGCTCCAGCGCCGTACCAAAAGGGGCCGCTGACACCATACTGATATCCATCTATGCGATATTTGCATTAATAGGCATCCTTTATGCAAGAAGACAGCTTACCAGTCGTAGAGCTGAGAAGGGTAGCGGCTATAGTCCAAGAAGACACTACAGCCGTAGCCACAAGCCCAGTTTTGACGGAATGTTTGGCAGTCATGTACATCTCTGATGTCTGTACTTCTGCCATGTACCGCGAGAGGCCCCAGGAGAGCAGTGACATGCCGATGGCGAAAGCGGAACCAAGACCTATGATCATCCCATAGCCCACGCTGGGCTCGAAGAACAAGGGAGTGCCCATTTGAGACAGGCTCATGTGGTGAACGAATGGAAAGTTTGAAAGGCCCGTTGAACCGAGATGAGAAAGTCGAGAAAGGAGGTGGGACTTATGCGAGTTCAGACGAGAGTAAAGCCTGGAGAGATAATGACGTCTCGAAGAATCGGAACAGCGTCAAGCTTGCATGTTGTGTACCCACCGGTTGGTCTTGAACCTGCTTATATCCCAAACTCCTGAGATTTCCAACTACTGATAGGTTCAAGATGAGCGAAATGCATCATAGACATGAATAAGGCGTGATAAGATAGGAGGAATTCAACCGGTGGACTATTACCGAGTATCTGTTAAGTGTTGATCGGCAAGAGAACGCGATCTACGCGACGCTTCCGACGCAAGGTCTTTGATAACTGTGCTCTACCAGAGTTGTCAGTACCGGGTTACGAGACTTATGTCTTGATACGGTCATATGATACTATTAGGAAAACTTCGAAATCAGTTTTCCTTTGAATGCGATATACTACCTGAGGAATTGGGCCGAGGTGGTGGGCAAGAGTGGGAGAGAATACTGTTATCGTGAAGCTTTGATAAGAGCATGAAAGATGAAATGGGGTGCTTCAAACTTCAAATACAAACCAACGACATACCAATTAGACATCATACTTCATCAATGTTGTCGAATGAAGCCCGAATAAAGTTATCTGATCTTAACTGAAAGGGTTGAATGACCGAGGCGTAAAACCAGAGAAACAATACAAATTATTCCTTTCAAACCTCTGGTCTTAGTCAACCACTTCGTTAGGCGTACGTTGTACGATGCACCTCGCTAGAAAAGGCAGATACATCCCAAAATATGTCATCGGTTGCTGTAGTTCGTAAATTGGGTCACCAGACCATCTATCCAACGCCGTAGATTTCCATTGTCGCCAAAAACGCCGAAAGTTGCAGTCCGAATCCATTAGGTTAGTGCCAATCTCCACTGTCGTCGACTGAGCACGTCCAGCCAGTCCACTCTCTTTTGTCCGGTGCCAGGAGTACCGCCAGCACGCAAACGCCAGAGTTCGTCGAGGACAGCTAATGCGACATCGACGTTCCGGAAATGCCTGTACTGCACGATATCCAACAACCTCTGACGGATGGCCCGGACTTGGTTTTCGTCGTCTGTTTCTCCTCCCGCCATGAACAATGGAAACAAAATCGTCGTCTCAGGCAAACACCGAAGCGGCATCTTCTCTGCGTTCTCAATGATTGCTTGTACTGGTCCAGCAATCTTTCGGTCCAGTGTGGGCGCCATATCGGGCAAATGCCGCCGAATGACGCGGTATAAATGAATTAGTGCAGCGCTCCGATACGCCTCTGCCATGGCCATTAAGTGGATATCTTGCGTTTCTGAACATTTCCATTCTGAGAGCTGGCTCTCGAGTCGGTATGCTCGGCTGGAAAAGTCGGATCTTGATACATTGTGTTCTTGGTAATCCACCCAGGGTAGTATTGGCTGGACATCATGAATCTCATACGTTTGTATAGCTTCCTCTTCTTCTTCAATCTCTTCGTCCATGAATATAGCAGTTGGTGGCGTTGATTGGGTTGCAGAAAGAGTGGCGGATTCCGCCATGTCTGCATTCAGAACGCTAATTTCAGAAATGAGGTGAATGATTTTCGACCCCAGACCGAAGTAGGGGTCTGCATCCTCAGTGTCAGATTGCCAATAGTAGCCTGATATCAAAGGTCGTGTATCCATGGTGACGGAATGCAGGACGTCGTGGAACGCAAAGTTACGTTTCAGCCATTGGCCTTCGAAGCTGTTGAAAGAATTTTGCAAATCCTCTGCTGATAGTTGACCGGTACTAGCAGAGGTAGAGGATGCTGTGATGATTTGGGAGGCACCTAAAAGGTGGTTATACCATTTACTAGTGTCTCCAAGAATGGACTCCATAGAGCAAAGAATCAAACAGCATGATAAATCCAGCTCGGAGTCACGATTCTGAGAGGATAATGAGGAGGAAAGGGAGCTAAGAGCATCGCAGCGGCTTTGCAATGCTAATATCTCATAAGAACTATCGCGTAAGGCGAGATGGGAAGACGAGTGAGCGATGATAGCGTTAAGCAACATGGGAGACTCAGTCGCCATGGGCAGAAAAACTGGATGGGCATGTCAGTTGAAACATTTTAAGGTATCACTTTACGTGCTTACCAGAGGCAAAACAATTGTTTTCAAGCGTAGTGGTAAGTAGAGTAGATAGCGTCTGGAGATAATAGCGCATCAGGAATCTTCGACTGGTCGCAGGCGTACCACTGCCAGCCGTTCCAGGCCAACTAGCCACCGGGTCAAGCGAGAGAATGGGTGCAATCCAAGTTGATGACGGAACCGGTAGGACGGTAGCAGACGACGTCGCTAACATGGTCGTTTCGCCAACCGAGGACGTGGCGCCACCATCGGCAGCATCTGCCACAGCTTTATTTGTGGCAGCAGCCGGTCGTGGCTCCTCGCGGACGCATTCGAAATTAAGGCGTCTACAGTGGTTGCAGACGGGGTATCCCCCATCGCACTTCTTCTTTCTACAACAGGACGTAAGCCCGGCTTGCCTACTGACGACTCACACGCTGGGGCCCACACACCGGCGGCGGCAAGTAACACATCCGGTCCTTTCTCTGGTCGTGCCCGTCCTCTTTTTAATGCGTCTCTTGGTAGGTGCACCAGGCTCGGTAGTGGTGGTGGTAGTGGACATCATCACATCCTGCGGGGTTCCGGTTCCGGGCGGTTATCGATAGGGCTGTGGGGTCTCCAGATTCCGGGAAGGGCGCAGCGACCAAGCCGTTGCAGATGATCCAAGGAGAGTGGAGGAAATGCGGCAAACAAGGGATGGCATGGACTGTGTCACGGGTGTTGGGCGGCAAGGGCGGAACGGACTCTGATTTAACGTCCAAGGTATACGCAATGACTAATCCCCTTATCGCGCTAGAACCTTTCCGCCATCCTTGCATTGCAGCTTTCCTATCGCCCATCTCCACAACCACACGATCATGGACTGACTGCCATATACACTGCACCGCTTGAAGCCGGTCTAGACGGGGTTTGGCCGAGGCGAGATCTCGCGTGGCTTCCGATATTAGCGCCGCGTCCCCAGCCAGTGGAAAGCAAACGCTACAGGGCTGCGTTTGATTGGGGCTGTTCCGCGTATGTAGTAGAGTTGTCGGTTCAGACTAACCCGACGAGGAGGGGGCTCCAATGATAAACATGGCGGACGTCGTTGGTGTTTCTCCCGCACAGCCCGCGGCGCGGTGACGTGGGGTGCGCTGCGCAAGTGGTCGCTCCGGCCCGCCGTGACTTGCTCGGCCCATCATCGATTCGCTGCCATGCCTTTTGCTACCACGAGAACCGGCGAGCAATGATTCTCCGACCTCCTCTGCTGCGGCCATTCGCGCCGTTGCAGGACACTAGCACCGTCTGTCTGCGCTGCCTGCGCAGAATCAATCGCAGCCCTCCCCAAGCGCGACGGCTTCTCTCTACTACTACGCCAACCAAGGATGCCGCCATCTTGACGCGAAACTCCCGCAGCACCTTTAAGCGGGAATACTTTTGGGCCAATGGCATACTAGATGATGTCCTGGTTGGTGCTAGACGAGGTGTTTGGAACAATGCCGCGGCAGGAAGTAAAGAGATGGAGAGCGCGGCGCCGTCGACGCTGCACCAGCAGCCCAAGCTCACGCAGACGGTTGGCGGCAGTAACGCCGGAGCAGGCACAGAGCTTGTCGACGAGCTTCCCCATCGGCGGAGGAAGCGGCTGCGTGAGGAGGCCAAGGATGCGACATCCGACACGGCATTGCGACCAGATGCCTCTGCCAGGCTATCGAACAGCGCGCAATCTCTCCCAATGCAATCACTGCGTCGTCGCTGGCTTACCTACCTCGCCCTCTCGAAGCCGCAACTTTCCTTCCTCATCGTGCTCACCACCGCCGCAACCTACGCCATATACCCGGTCCCCGCGCTCCTGGCACCCGCTGCCACTGCCACGCCCTCCCTCTCGACCCTCACACTTTTCTTCCTAACTACCGGTACCGCGCTCGCATCCGCCTCCGCCAATGCCTTCAATATGCTTTTTGAGCCGGCACACGATGCCAAAATGAGCAGGACGAGAAACCGGCCATTGGTCCGCGGTCTGATCAGCAAGCCTAGCGCGCTGCTTTTCGCATTGGCGACAGGCGCTACTGGTGTCGCCTCGCTCTACTTCGGCGTCAACCCTACAACGGCTTTTCTCGGTGGTCTGAACATCTTCATCTATGCGGGCTGCTACACACCAATGAAGCGGGTTTCGGTCATCAACACTTGGGTCGGGGCCATCGTCGGCGGCATTCCCCCGCTGATGGGCTGGACGGCAGCCGCAGGCCAGTGCGCCATCGGTGGCGGCACATGGCAGGAACTGCTGCTTGGGCCGGAGTCACTTGGCGGTTGGCTTGTCGCAGCACTGCTGTTCGCGTGGCAATTCCCGCACTTCAACGCGCTGAGCTGGACAATTCGCGAGGAGTACAAGAACGCTGGTTACCGCATGCTGGCGTGGACGAACCCGCGCAGAAACGGCCGCGTCGCCCTGCGCTACAGCTTCCTCATGTTCCCTATCTGCATTGGCCTTGCCTACGTTGGCGTCACGGACTGGGGCTTTATCGCAACGAGCTCCGCCATCAATGGCTGGATGACGTATCAGGCAGTGCGGTTTTGGAAATATGAAGGCACAAAAGGCACCGCTAGGGGTCTGTTCTGGGCGAGTGTTTGGCACCTGCCTATCGTGCTGGTTTTGGCCATGGCGCACAAGAAGGGATTGTGGGAGAGGGTCTGGCGGGCAGTGACCGGCGGTGCCCCACTGGAGGAAGAATACTGGGAAGATGATGAAGAGGAAGATGAACAGGTGATGAAGAGGCCTGCGCCTGAAGCTTCTATGGCTATCATCACGAGGTGATTTTGGAAAAATAAATGGCAGCTTTCAACCGATGCGCTTTGTTCCAGGAATTTGTCTGCGCGTCGTTTTCTTTTGCGCGTGTATATATATAGTATTGCGCATGCATTCACGGCATACAGTTGAGCAGTGTCTTCACCTTGCCAATGTTATGGTCCAATTCAAAAATTCAACTGTGATTGACTGGTGACTCCGCTTATTACTACCTGGCAGGTATTGCTATATTTTACATATCCTCATAAGCAGCGTATCTAGCTACAGACTCAAAGTCTACCAGAGTGACCTGTATGGAGCTTTGTAGAGGTGTCAAAAGCATATGTACATACACATTCCTATAATTGTCGCTAATATTTAAGTTTAGAACGACTTGACATGCTTTCGCTGGGATACGAACAATGTCTTCCTCTGACTGCACCACAGCTGCTGTCTATTTCCATTCCAGCCACCGCGAGACGAATGGAAGACCGAGCGCCTTGCAAGCAAGTTTTGACGTCAACAAAAAAGAGAGAGGGCCGAGGAGCTTTGACCCCCATCCCACGCAGCCGACGCGCGCGACGCGACCCGCACCACCACCCATCTACCCAGACTCCGCCTCATCGACCACGACCTCACAACCACAACCATCGCACCCAACGCGCCGTTCACGCATCGCCTAAAACACCACTCTCCCGCGACTCGCATTCTTTGGCAGCGCAAGCATGCCGCCCAAAGCGCGCAAAGCGGCTGCGGCGCCGAGCAAGACGCGCGCAAACGCGACTCCGGCCGCGCGCTTTATGCGCGGTAGCGCCGCCACTGCAACGCCGGCTGAGCCCGCTTCGGCGAAGAAGACTAGGGGCGCGAAGAGCGACGCCGCTGCCCCTGCTACTACTTCTGCTGTCTCTGCCGCTGCTGCGCCGGCGAAGGGCCGTCGTGGCCGCCAGCCGAAGCAGCAGACCGCTGAAGAAGATGGCGATGTGAGCGAGGAGGTTGAGCAGCCCACGCCGGTGAAGAAGAAGGGTGGGAGGCCGTCGAAGAAGGTTGCGCCGCCTGAGCCTGAGCCTGAGAGTGAGAGTGAGGTGCAGGAGGTGCCGAAGAAGAAGACCGATCGGCCGTCTAAGAAGACTGTGGCGGTTGAGCCTGTTGTTGAAGTGGAAGCACCGAAGCGCGGTCGTGGTAGGGCTGCTAAGTCGACTGCGCCGGTTGAGGAGGAGGTCCTCGAGGAAGCACCGAAACGTGGCCGTGGCAAGGCTGCTAAGCCTGCTGCGCCGGCTGAACCTGAGGTGCAGGAGGATGCGCCTAAGCGTGGTCGTGGTAGAGGAGCAAAAGCAGCTGCACCGGCTGAAGCAGAGGTTCAACAGGAGGCACCTAAGCGTGGTCGAGGCAAAGGTGCCAAGGCTACTGCATCTGCGCCAGCCGAGGAGGAGGTTCAGGCAGAGGCACCTAAGTGGGGTCGGGGGAAAGCTGCGACAAAGACAGCGGACAAAACTCCTGCTACCCCCTCAAAGCGCACTCGGCGTGGTGCTGATACAATGCTCATCTCGGAAGGCTCAGTACTTTCGAGGCGCACCAAGAGAACCGCCGCACAAACCCCACGCAGAGAAGCTGAATCTGTCCCAGCGCCGAAAAAGCGTGGACGCGCGGCTAACAGTGCAGTTAGAGCAGTGTCTGAACCGCCTAAGAAGGGCAGGAAGTCTGCTTCTAAGGTTGCAGAAGCACCAGAGCCGCCGAAGAAACGTGGCAGAGCAGCAAAGGTGGCAGAAGAACCCGCCGATGAAAAACCGCCTAAGAAGGGCAGGAAGCCTGGTTCTAAGGTTGCGGAGGAGGCTCCGGAGCCGCCCAAGAAGCGCGGAAGGGCTGCTACCAAATCAACCACAGAGACAACTGAACCCCCAACGAAACGCGGACGGGTTGCATCCAAAGCAACAGAGCCTGCGAAGCCGTCAACGACTGCCGTCCGGAAAGGCCGAGGTGCAGCTGCTACGAAGGTTACTAACGCTACGCCTAAGCGCTGCGGGAGTGATTTGAGGACTGATCCGATTGTCATCATCTCTCCACCTGACCATAGGACTGGTACTAAGCGAGGCCGGCAAGCCAACGATGTAGAAATTGATGAAGAACCAGCTCCAAAGCGTCGCGGACCCGCGCCCAAGGCCAAGACCGGTAAAGCAGCTGCCCCTCCAAAAGCGACGAAGGCCACCAAGCCTGCCGCAAAGACTGCTACGAAAACTGCTGCGAAACCAAAGGCAGCTGCCGTACGTCCAAGGCTTCGTGGTGGTGAGGCGCAATCTCCCGAACCCAGTGAGGATGTTGCGGAAGATAATGGGCCAGAAGTGGCTCCTGGTGGACATACCTACTGGCTCATGAAAGCTGAGCCTGAGTCCCGCATTGATAAAGGCAAGGATGTCAAGTTCTCTATCGACGATCTCGCTGCCGCAACGGAGCCGGAGGCTTGGGACGGTGTGCGCAATCACGTCGCAAAGAACAACATGAAGGCCATGAAGAAGGGTGATCTGGCTTTCTTCTACCATTCCAACTGCAAAGACCCTGGTATCGTTGGCATTATGGAAATCATGGAGGAAGCCCAGCCCGACGAGAGCGCCTTCGATCCGGACCACCCCTATTACGACGAGAAGTCAAGCCGCGACAACCCGGTATGGTACTGTGTCAAGGTCGGATTCCGCAGCAAGTTTAGCGATCCACAAAGTGTCAATTTGCGCACGATTAGGTCGCTGGCTGGTGAGGGTGGAATGCTGACCGACATACAGCTCGTCAAGCTGGCTCGCTTGAGCGTCACTAAGGTTAGCAAGAAGGAATGGGACTTTATTCTTAAGGTTGCTGGCGAGGTCGAGCCGGAACGTACCACCGAGGCGGCTGAGGCAGATGCTTTAATTGCTGAGCAAGCCACTGCTGGAGCGGATGATGAAGAGGAAGAAGTGGCGGAACAGCCTGAGGAGCAGCCTGAAGAGCAGTCTGAAAAGCATACGGATCAGGAGCTTGAAGAGCAGCTTCAAGAACACCTTCAGGAGCAATTCCAAGAGCAGCCGCAAGAAGAGCCAGGTCAGCCCGCAGTCGAGACCAGCAAAGAAGCCCCGGCCCAAGAACCTGAAGTCGCTGACGAGGATGCTGACGGCTCCAGCGAGCCCAGCGAACCTGATGAGCCTATGCCTGACGATGACGCTTTGGGACTTACTATTGGTACACCAAAGGGCGCTGCTGCATTGTTGGATGGCGGTGCATTTCCATCTCCCCTTGAGAGAAATGAGGATATGGAAACATCGGTTGTCACGCAAGATACACTCATCATCGAAAACAACAATGTCATCGAAACAACAGAGGAGACCACTATCGAAAAAGTCCCCTCTCGCGCCGCATCACGCCAACCCCTTGCCGCACGAAGTGCCTTCCATGGCCCAACTGCCGAGGCGACGACCAGTCCTGCACCCGCCAGTGCCATTCGCGGCACCTCACGCCAACCCTCGCATGCGCCCTCCCGTCCGCACTCACGCGCCGAGTCTCGCCCACCAACGCGCGCCTCGTCCCGTCCGCCCTCGCGTCCCGCGTCCCGTCGCCCCTCAGAGCAAAGCACGGCACCAGAGTCGACCGCTACCACAGCCCCCAACCGCAGCTCGTCCCGCGCGCCATCCGTCACCCGCTCCGTCCGGCACTCGTCCCGCGCCCCCTCGGTGAGCCGCAGCGTCCGCGCCGGCTCAGCCCCCCGCGGCGCGCGCGGCAGCTCGGCCTTCGGCGGCGACCACACCTTTACGCTCGACACGACGCTCGAGGTCGACGACATGTCGTTCGAGATGACGGATCCGGGCGCGCCGGCCGCGGTGCACCATCATGTCGTGGAGTCGTCGGGTGCCGGTATGGGCGATACGTCGCTGTTCTCGGAAGGCGGCAGCGCGCCGCTCCCGTCGGTTGAGGAGCAGCAGCAGCAGCAGCACCACCACCACCACCACCATCATCATCATTTCCCTGCTTCTGTGGCTGACGAGGGACATCACTTCAATGCTGCTGCTGCGTCGGCTCCTAGCTTGGATCTGGATCTGAGTTTGGCGGAGGAAGAGGCCGCGCGCGCTATGATGGAGGGGTTTGGGCCGATGTAGATGTCGCGGCGGAGGTGCGCTAAACGTGGTTGCTATTTGTATGAGGGAGAGTTAGGGACGCGGGTCTCGTGGATAGCAGCGAGTGGCTTGGAAACGAATGAGGCAGAGAGACGGGGCGTGGAAACTAGCTAATACCTTTGCTTGCTTGCTTGCTTGCTTGCGGCGTATTTTGCTCGGTGGACTGCTCCAGAGCTGCGTCTCTTTGCGCGTTGGATGGCGAGGGCTTCTGCATCGCTTCTCTTTGAGTTGAGCGGTGGCAAGGCCTTCTCTTTCTTCACGGATGGGTACTGAAGGGAGTGCCTGCGGGTTTGCTAATGGCTTGGGTCAATGGTGTGTGTGGAGTGGTGGGATCTTTTTATTCGTAGTACTAGGAATGCGAATGCTTTGGTTTGCTTGTGTTGATGATTGGGGAGGGGGCTTGGTGTGCTGTAGTGTGCTTTGATGGTGATTGTTGTGGGATGGGGTTTGAGGAGCAGTTTTCGCGCTGTGTGAAGCTGAAACACGGCCCGAAGCTGGTTATAGGTTATATTTACGACGGTATTGAGGCGCTTTCAGATTCTGATATCGGATTGATGATGCTGACAAGGAGACTGTCCAGGGCCGTCGCCATGGAATGATCTCATTAACGCGGAAGAAGTTTGTGGGAAGCTGAGACGTTGGAAGATGCACAGTAAACGCAACAATGCTTACCAGAAGCGGAGAAGAGTATACCGCGCAGGTTTCACGGGGTCGACAAGCTAGCAGATATCAAAGAATCCGCCTTAGTTACTATCGATGTAGGTAGCACCTAAATGGAATCGCGCCCGTCTCTACTCACTTATGTTTGCCGAGCAGTATTGCTGTATCATGGTGGTGATCAACATCTGCATCAAATAGTGACTTGTGTATATATTCTTTAACTGCGGAATATTTATCTCTATAACTAACATTAGGCTGACATTTAGGTTATCGTCAGTGGATGCACATACCGCCGCTGTAATATTTGACTGCAACAAGTAAATATCGCATTCCAGAGTCCGGTCGGTGTTGAAGTAGAAGTTGAAGTGTATCTGCCTTGGCTGGAGACTTTTATATGTCCGTTGTGGTGATTAGTTTATCTCTGACTGCTATTTTCTCGGCTTGCCAGTGAGATAGACGTCTTAGCGGGAGTACTACCTCAGTGGTTCTTCACCCTTCCTCCCTATAGCAGATACTTTGGGTTTGGAAACGATGCTGGTATAGAAAATGCATAGGTGATGGAGTAAAAAGAGTACCACATCATGGCACACGTCGACCGTGATCATGCTATGGTATGGATTTGTATTGGTACCGCCTCAATGCGACTACGGATTCGGATATAAAAGGATGGGCGCATACAATGTCCAGTTCTCCACGGCCACATCTTTTATTATTCGGACATAGCCGACAAACATCGGAACGGTCGCTTACAATGTCCTTCAAAACCCTTGCTTTCTCTCTGGACTTTAGTGTCAAATACTAAAATACTGATTTTCACATTCTTCGTAACCCACAACATACATCGTTGATGTGCAGTATCTCCAGACAGAATCCCTCACCATCATTATTCGCCAATACTAATGTACGGTATAGGTGCACTGTTTGTTCCATGGAAGTTCCAGAATCATTAGCCTGATCGTGCGGTTGATAGTTCCGCGATCTAGGGGGATGAGCAATCCTTCGTCCTGGAGAAGCTGGCAGAGCCACAACATCGTCGAGATCTTTCCTCTAACAGTCGGCGGCTCGAGCAGTCGAATGCTGAGGAGCGGATTGATCGTCAGGTCCATGTCGCCTACACCGTTGCCGTCTAGGAGGATCAGTACAGTGTCCTCTGGATCATTCAAACTGCTAATTGCCGCCTCACGGTAGTCCTCGTCGTCGCTATCAAGTTGGTCTGGAGAGCACCCCATCAGTTTACTGGTCTGACCATCTGTCGTCCGCATCCCGGAAAAAGGCAGCCTTTGGAAACTCTGTCTCACCGGTGGCTTCATAAAACTCAGCTTGCTTATCGGAGACAACGACAGCGAACTTGCCTTAATCACTGCGTAGCTGGCTATCGTGGTGTGTTTGCTCCCTTCCAAGCAAGTATAAAGCCGAAACCATCTTAGTATCTGTTCTACAGCTGGCACGCTTCCCAAACAACCTAACAGGGACAGAGGATACCGGTAAAATCCTGACGTACCATAGTTACAGACAAGCGAAGGACCAAACTACACGCGATCAACACAACGGCTGTGCACATCATCGACGTACCCGTTGTCGCAGTGTATATTGTCGAAGCGCAACACCCCCAAACGGCGACTCTCATCACCACCACGCACCAGTGCCGCTACACAACAAACCCTCCCTCCCCACCCCAACTCCCCTCCACCAGCCCGAGTTCCTGTCCACAGTTCCTCGTCACCTGCACCGTGCAACCGGTTTCTTTGTCCTGGTTCTGTGAGTTCGGTCTTGACCGGCAGTACGGAGAGGGGAGGTCGGGAGGGAGAAATTAGTCGAGGGTAGATGGGAGAGGAGATGCTTGGGGTTTAGGGGCTTGGGGTTTGTGTTGCTTGGTGCTGTTGGTTGGTAGGGTTTGGGGGGTGGGGGTTAGGGGGTTGGTGGTGGTGTTGTTGTTGTTGTGAAGGTCTTGCATTTGGTGAGGGCTCTGTGAAAGCCGTGTTGGTATGGTAGTTTAGTGATTTGGAGGGTCGGATGCACTAAATGTAGGAAGGCATTCATGTGTTCTTAGCCGGAGTCGAGTCGTTGGGGGGTTTTGTCTGTCTTTTTGGAAGCTAGGTTTCGTTCCCTAGCTGGCCAAGTTACTTGGGCTGGTGCTGTAGACTTTGTAGGTAGGGTAGCGCTTGAACGTGCTTTTGACCTTGCTTGCTCCGCCTAGGCTTCGTCTTCCTATGGGCATAACTGGCCAGTGCAATGCCATTCCTCTTGCATAACATCGAGTCCAAAAGCGAGCAGGCGGATCTCCGTGTCTATTCTGTCGTGTGGAAGTGTGTATAGATCGTAGGAGAAGGAAACCGGCGTGGCAACGGACCAGGACGGTGCTTATTTTCCCTTGAGCAGAGGTACAAGATTGTTGACAGGAAGCCTCCAGCTGTGGCGTCCCATTGGATCAAAGAAACCATGACAAGGGTCATGACAGAACAGGTACCCACCAAAAAAGAAAAATCCTTCAAACAGGCTGGAAGATTCATCCCATGACCGTAGTGTGGAGCTGCTTCGTACATGGGGGCCACGCATACATTGGCACTAACGTGCTCAACTGGCCTAAGCCATTTCTCCGCGCCCGAAAGGCCCCATTTAGTAGGCACTGAATGCGTGTGCCCAGTACACGACGCTAGAGACGACGAGAATAGCCTTGGATCTGGTACTTGTAGCAGCTAGTATGGTAGCAGCTGTTACGGTAGGAGATGGAGATGGTGAGAGGAGTACGATGTCCCTCCTTGCTGAAGGCCTGCGGTTTAGTGCTTACAGTCTTTGTTTGATACTTCAACGCCATCACCATCATCATCCTCTCATCCTCTCATCATATCATCATAAAAAACACAATAATTAAATTCCAGGCGCTGTGCCATTGCACACAAGCTTTATTGTTTGTCAATGCCATGCCCCAAGCCAGATCACACTGGCGTTTCATAGCGTCCACTGAGATCCAGGTGTCAGCCTGAAGAACTCTCATGCAAGAGGAAATGTTCACACACAAGCGAGCCTTGAACTTGGATGTGTTTATTGACAAGAAGGACCTCTGAACCAAATCTTGTAAGGGTTGTAATCGTGTATTTGGTATGAAGGCTCTATCTAGAGGGCGGCGGCACAACGTTGTAGGTAGGTCGTGGAGTGGCGTGAGGGTGTGTGTTTGTGTGTGCGGTGCTACGTGGTACATTATGCCTGTTGTCTGTCAGCTACACACGAGTGTGCCTTTCCCCGCGTGTTTTCTGTGTGTGTATCATTAAATAGATGCGTGCAGCTGCGATCTGTGATGTTCCGGAGGAGTGGACTGGTGGTCGGTGGGTTTCTTTTCTGGTGCTGCCTTATCCTGCACTAGCTCAATGACGCTGTGGCATGTAGGCAGCAGCTTCTGAACTGATAGAAGATATTTGAATCTCTGATGGATGTACAAAGAGACAGGCGGAACACTTTGGTAACCCGGGCGAGGCGGCGACCATACCCTTGAAAGAATCTTCTCTCAGTGACTTGTGACACCTCAGAGAAAGGGGCAAGACAACAAGCCGCTCGCGTCTTTCCCTGCAAGGTTCCTTGCAAAAATACGGGCCGAACATCAAGGTGCTGATGCAAAAGTTCAGTGAAATGGTCGTCGTATTCATTAGGGACGTCGGTTGCAATCCCGCCTGGCTTACCATGTCCCCACGGCGCTTTGGCTCGCGGGAAAGAGTCTGCTTTCGTTCCCACACTACGAGCATCATCTCCGCGTACTATCCTTGTGATGATGGTCTGGAATCCTTCTCACAGCGCCTCGGTTCTCTCCATCCACTTGGCACAAGTGCAGGTGACTGCATCAATGTCGATGTCCAGGCGTGCTGTCCGGCTCTCGGGACGTTGCACAAATCCTCCATATCTGATGTTCGTCAATGCAAGATGATGCGGGCAGAGCATGTTGTGACACGGAAGTGGCATGCCTAGCGACACGCTTGGCGGGGCGGGAGAAAACCAGCGACCTCGACTCTCACACGCAGACACCCGTCAGCAGCAACCCCCACCGATGGGCCGGCTCTGTACAGTGTACCTCTTGCACCTGGAGAACCGCCTTCCGGTAGCGGCGGTTACGATCCGTCATGGAAGCTTCCGCCCGCGACGCACCACCCACCGCCTCGGCGCGAGTCTTGTCTGCGCCACGGCGGCAGGGCAATGACACAAACACACGATGGGCGACCTGACACGCCGCATGAAAAATTTAATGGCGCAGAGGGGAAACGGCGATTCTCAGGGTGGCACGGTGTAGTTTCTCGTTTGGAGTTTGGGCAGATCTCAGGTCCACCTCGCAGCAGCAGTGGCCGAGAATAGCAACGACGGCGGTGGACATGCATGCCGTCAGACGCAGAGTCGTCAAGTACAGAGGTAAATTTGCGGACGCGGCTGCATTGCTCCCGACTAACTTGTCTGGTCAGGTAAAGGCGGACACTGTGATGTCCTGGGACGAAGCAAGCGGCAGAAGAAGCATCGATTCCTGCTTACGCCAAGGCCAAGGTTGCAAACAGCGGGGGCCTAGGGCCTGTGCCGCCGGACAATGGCCGTCTCTCGCGTGTCAGCAGCATCGCAGCAGCTGACAGCCAACGGCGCGCAACCAGCGAGTGGGCGGGCGTCAGGGCATGAAGGGCTGCACGACACACACACACACACACGCACGCGGGCACGGCGCCTGCGACAGACGAGCGGATGAAGGCGCGAGCCAAGTTGGAACCGTGGTGGATCCTGCGGTTTCGGCCTAGCGTGCGAAAACCATCAAGGTGCTCAACGCAGAACCTCTTCGCGCCAGCAATCTCTCTCGCTCTCGAGCCCTTTACTAAAGCGCGCAGGCCCCCCATCACTTCGTCCTACATCGTCACCTCTTCTGCCCGCGCGCGCCGTTCTTTGCTCTCGACGCCCTACCCCTGCACCTTCCCTCAATGGCGACCTTTCAAGACATCGCCCACTCGGTCCTCCGTCGGGCCGCCGTGGAGGACGGCGACAGCCTTATCGGCTCCCCGGGCCATTGCGACACCAGTAACGAGTTTGACGGCCGCATCGGCGTCCGCGTCTCGTCCATCTTCGTCATCCTGGTCGGCTCCTTCGTGGGTGAGTTACTTTGTACCGTCCTGTCTCTTGTCGTTTCCTCTCACTGACTTGCCCAGGCGCTTGGTTTCCCGTCTTCGCCCGCAGACACAAGGGAGTTGGCGTACCGGAATGGGCCTTCTTCGTTGCGAAATACTTCGGTTCTGGCGTCATCATAGCCACGGCGTTTATCCATGTTGGTCCCGACTCAACCAAACACTTCGACCCTTCCTCATGACTGACCAAAACCACAGTTGCTTGCACCCGCCCACGAGGCTCTCGGCGATGAATGTCTTACTGGGCCCATCACCGAGTACAGCTGGGTCGAGGGCATTGTCCTCATGGCCATTTTCGTCTTGTTCTTCGTGGAGCTCATGACGATGCGTTTTTTCAGCGTCGGTGGACACGACCACTTCTCTGATGAAGAACATGGCCACGGCCACAACCATTCTGGCTCCACCTCTGGTCCGGCCGACTCGGATTCCATAGTGGAAGCACGCAAGACGTACGGCAACGAACACCCCCACCCGACCATGCCGGCCCCTGGCGAAGACCACCTCGGCCACTCGCGCGACCATACGGCTAACGAGGACCTCAGCGCAGACTGGGAGCACGAAGGACTGAGCCCCGAATCGTTCGCCGCGCAACTGACGGCCGTGTTCGTTCTGGAATTCGGCGTCATCTTCCACTCGATTTTCATCGGCCTGACGCTCGCCGTGTCGGGTGAGGAGTTCAACACGCTGTACGTGGTTCTGGTCTTCCACCAAACGTTCGAAGGGCTGGGACTGGGAGCGCGGCTGTCGGCAGTGCCCTGGCCCAAGTCGAAGCGCTGGACGCCGTACTTGCTGGCCGCGGGATACGGCATCAGCACGCCCATTGCCATTGCCATCGGACTCGGCGTGCGCCAATCGTACCCGCCCGGCAGCGCGACGACGCTCATCGCCAACGGCGTCTTCGACTCCATCTCGGCGGGCATCCTCATCTACACGGGCCTGGTGGAGCTCATGGCGCACGAGTTCATGTTCTCTCCCTACATGAGCAAGGCGCCCGTGAAGATTGTTCTCTCGGCCTTTGTGCTCATGTGCCTGGGCGGTGGCCTCATGGCGCTGCTGGGCAAGTGGGCGTGAGCGCCAGCACGACGTCGTACGATGATTTTGCGTTTTCGACGCCCTGCGTGCCCAAGAGCTCGGCTGCCGGCGCTTTTTCGGTCGCGGGTGGCTGCCGCTTGGGTGCTCCACCTACGTGGTACTACGTAGGCTGGGGGCTGGGGAGGCAGGAGAGTGGTCACCTACTCACTTCTTTTCTTTTTTTTTTTCTTTTTTTTTTTTCCATGTTACCACTCCGAACCATGGGATTAGCGTGCACTGGGAACGAAAAAGTCAGGGTTATTGGTACAGCGACGGGGGGCATTTCTGGGTTCTTCTTGTTTCTTCTTCTTCTTCTTTTCCTTCCTAAAGACCTCCTTTTTCTGCTGCTTTTTCGACTTTCACGACTTTTTTTTTTTTTTTTTGCTGGCGAGCACGGCACAGCGGGCGGTGAGATTTTTTCTTTTGCGGTTCGGGCTGAGCTGGGCTGGTCTGGCAGGGCTTGTTTACGACTGACTGACTACTACTGCTGCTGCTTCTCTTGCGCACAGATACCTCTAGAGCTTGGATGCATGGCATTGCTTTTCTTTTTTTTGGGAGCGCGGGAAAATGGGCGAGTGTGGGGTCGGCGTTAATATTATATGCTTGGGTAGAGGGTTTCTTTCCCTCTGGGCTGCTGCTACTTTCTTTGCTTTGTGCTGTGTGTGTGTTGCCCCGGCTGTGCGTCTTCTGGGTTGAGGGGAGGGGGGTGTTGCTTACTAGGTACTGGTGGTTGGTAGGCCGGTGATTGGTTGGTTGCTGCTGCTGAGCCGTGCCTGCTGATACTTGCTTGGTAGCCTGATGTGGTGTGCCAATGCTTGCGTGCTGTTGCTGGACTAGGTGGTTGGCACGCTGGGTGGACGAAGATTCGAGTTCGAGACTACGGGGCAGAGATGTCGGCATCTTGGTTTAGGTATGTATAAAAGCGCGCTAGAAGGGGCAGTTCTCCTTGTAACTGCTAGGAGACGAGTCTTTCAGCGGGAATTGATCATTTCCTAACACCCGCTCATGTGGGACCGGAATGGATCAAACACACCCGCTTTGCGGAGAGTTGAGCCCTGACCACTTTGAGGGTGCTGGTGCTGGTTTTGCGGCACGCTGAGGTGGTGATGATGCTGGTGAGCGAGACGGGCGAGTATTGTTGATTGTGGAGGTTGTGCTGGGATGACGATGAGCATTTTTCTTTTTTTTGAGAACCATGGAACGGAGGTGCTCGACCACGAACTGGGTATCGAAACGCGGAGGGGAGCGTGTCGAGTGCAGTCGAAAAAGGAACTTTGCCGTCCGCTGCCGGGAATATGACTTGCTTATGGCGGGTTGGATGTTAGAGGTTGGAGGTTGGAGGTTAGAGGTTGGGGAAGGGTTGGCGTGCCTGGATTGGTTTGCTGTTTGCTGTTTGTTGATACTTGTTTTTTGTTCTTCGGGGAGTGAATGTTTTGCATGGGTCTGAGGATGTGGGGAATGGATTGGGTGGTTGGGTAAGATGCGTTACTGCACATTGCGCTTAGGCCTGATGCCGTCGTGAGTTGGTGCTGTATTACCTAGGAGGTATGGGCAAGCCGTGCTGTCATGCGGCGTTATATGTTACTGGCAGTGACTGATTGCTTGTTGATCGAGTGCTGAGAGCAGACAAAAGGCCTCCAGTCAAGCTGAATGCGGCGCTTGCGTTATCAGGACAAAGTACTGCTATCATTGAGATTGGTGGTTGTGGAAGGGTCTGCTTATCTGCGGTGGTGGTGGTGGTCGTCGTCGGGGAAGAAATCGTGCTCCCCGACCGCGCACAGGGCCAACCCAGCCGCAGGCCTGCTCTCCCACGTGCTCGCACAACAAGCACAAAGCACAAACAAAGCCGCGGTATCGGTACCTATCGGTCTCCACGCCATCAAGCTCTCACAAAGAAAACGCTTCCCTCCCGTCATCCCGTCAGCATCGCAACGTACGCAATCCACCTCGCCGCCAGAAGACCTCCAGCCGGGTAAATAGCAAACACAAGGCGTAGCATAGGTATCATCCGACATGGAAGGGCGGCTGCCTAGCTCTCCTCCCCGCAGTGGCTCGACGCCGCAAAAAGGCCTGCGCGGCGTGCATACGTCGTCGCGCTTTTAGCCGGCCCACGGGTACAGTAGGTAGTTACCTGCCCCACGAACTGGCGACGTACATCGGCGGGCCCGGGAAGTCGCCGGTTGCGGAGCGTGCCGCACGTGCGGATCCGACGGGGCGGGCGCTGGATTGAGAGTGCGTACGGGACGAGTTGGCGCGGCTGTTTGCTTGATGTCTGTAGTTGTGTGCTGCGGCGTAGCACGTAGGTACGTACGGTACAACGCCCGAGTGCCACGATGGCGACGGCACAGTACGCGCAGTACTGTACGCAGATGGCGAGCGGCTCGCTGCTTCGGTCGTCGCCACGAGAGCTCCGGCACAGCGCCTCGCCCGCAAACCGTTCCATGGCTCGCGGCATCATCATGGAGATAGCAGCAAAACGTGCGAATTTTTTGTGGCTCGAATCACAGGTTGCTTGCTGCTTGGAGCCGTTCGCAAGATACCCCAGAAATCCCCCAGGTTTTCTCGATTTAGCCGGCGACTTTACCCGCCGCGCTATCTGATACGCGGGACCTGGGGTAAGCTGCTGGAGAGAGAGAGAGCTCGCGCAGGCGCTATGGGACTTCGACTTTTGCATTTCTGCCGCCAGCCGCAGATCCGGGGTGTGAGGTGGGGAGTATATATACGGGTGACAGAGCGCTGCATGTGAGATTTTGGGGTATTGCAGCAGCCGGCAGAAGCTGCGTTTTTCTTTGGAGCTCTCTTTCTCTACTTTTTCCTCTTCTTCAACAACTTATTTTGTTCATCTGAACCAATTCTCTTCAAACAACTTAGAACATTCTTCCATCATGGCCCCTGTTGGTGGTGGGGCTTCTGAGTTCGACTCCGCGGCTCTGGCTCGTCGCCAGCAGCTCGTCGGAGGGTCCGGCCCTGCGGCTTTGCTCAAGAACTTGAAGGTCTTCGGTATTGCTTGCTTCGCCTGTCTAGGCGGCCTGGTTTATGGTTACAACCAAGGCGTTTTCAGTGGTGTTCTGACTATGAACTCTTTCGAGCGCGGTGAGTGCTATAATTTTTATTACCCTAGTGCCATCCTTTTCATGACTATTGGCTAATTTCTATATCTTTTCGTTAGCAATGCCCGACTGGACCGGCGATAACACTTCGCGCATGGGCTGGCTGACCAGTATCCTCGAGCTCGGCGCTTGGTTCGGTACAATGTACAGCGGGTTCCTGGCAGAGATTCTATCGCGGAAGTACTCGATCCTGATAAACGTCTTCATCTTTATCATTGGCGTCATCATTCAGACGACTGCTGGGGCGGGCGGAGGACATTCGTCTATATTGGGTGGACGGTTCATCACTGGTGAGTTTCCAGCTCTCAAGCAACATAACATGCCCCAATATTACCGGTCCTGCAACAAAACTAACAAAAACGCCTCGCAGGTATGGGCGTCGGCTCCCTCTCCATGATCGTCCCCATGTACAACGCCGAGATTGCGCCACCAGAAGTGCGAGGAGCCCTTGTCGGCCTCCAACAGCTCTCCATCACGCTGGGCATCATGGTGTCATTCTGGATCGACTACGGCTGCAACTACATTGGCGGGACGGGCGACGGCCAGCAAAAGACGGCGTGGCTGCTCCCGCTGTCGCTGCAGCTGGTGCCGGCCGTGCTGCTCGGCGTCGGCATGGTGTTCATGCCCTTCAGCCCCCGCTGGCTGGTCCACCACGACAGGGAGGCGGAGGCGAGGAGAGTGCTTGCGGGCCTGAGAAACCTGCCGCAGGAGCACGAGCTTATTGAGCTCGAGTTTGCGGAGATTCGTGCGCAGAGCCTGTTTGAGAAGAAGACGCTTGCGGAGAAGTTCCCTCACTTGAAGGAGATGACGCCGTGGAATACGATAAAGCTGTAAGTGGCTGTCCCCCTTCTCAGCAAGCTGTAGAAGATCCCTTTGGACATGTTCGTATCAGTCTTTTACGAAGCTGTTGCTGACCCCGAGACAGGCAGTTCGTCGCCATCGGCTCACTGTTCAAGACGATGCCGATGTTCCGGCGCGTCATCGTCGCAACCGTGACCATGTTCTTCCAACAATGGACAGGCATCAACGCGATTCTGTACTACGCGCCCCGCATCTTTCAGAACCTCGGGCTTTCCGGAAACACCATCTCACTACTAGCGACCGGGGTAGTCGGCATCGTGATGTTCATCGTAAGCCACGCCAACCCAGCCACCCACCCCTACAAACAGACAAACTAACACAACACCCCACACCCCCAGGCCACCATCCCCGCCGTAATGTACGTCGACAAGCTCGGCCGCAAGCCCGTCCTCTTCGTCGGCGCCATCGGCATGGCCACCTGCCACATGATCATCGCCGTCATCGTCGCCAAGAACCAGCACCAGTGGCCGACGCACCAGGGCGCCGGCTGGGCCGCTGTGGCTATGGTGTGGCTGTTCGTCATCCACTTTGGCTACTCGTGGGGCCCTTGCGCTTGGATCGTCATCGCGGAGGTGTGGCCCCTCTCGAATCGCCCGTATGGCATCGCGCTGGGTGCGAGCTCGAATTGGATGAACAATTTTATTGTCGGCCAGGTCACCCCCGATATGCTGTCCAGTATGACGTATGGCACTTATATCTTTTTTGGGCTGTTGACGTTTTTGGGCGCGGTTTTGTAAGTGCTTCTTCCTTGCCCCTGCCTACTTGTTGCTTTCGTGTTTTTTCTTCTGTTTGGCCAAGGTTCTGTGCTAAATACTATCCGCAGTGTCTTTTTCATCGTCCCGGAAACGAAAGGCCTCTCGCTCGAAGAAATGGACATCCTCTTCGGGAGCCAGGGCACCGCGCTGGCAGACAAGGAGAGGATGGAGGAGGTTTACAGGGAGGTCGGCTTGGTGCATATGGTCAAGAACTCATCGGTTGATACGGGGCGGATCGAGAAGCAGGAGGTCTTGCATGAGAAGAATGAGTTTGGCACTTAGGGCTCTGGAGATGCTCTCGTCTGCGAGTTTGAATTAATGAAATGCTGTGTTATGTGTTTATACGATCTTGCTGTGTAAGTGTTGATGCGTGGCTATGAGAATGCTACTATACTGGGATTTGTATGGAGAGGTGTTGGTCGCTGGATCAACACGCCTAATTGCGTAACTAGTCAGTCACGTTTTAGACTGGCCAACAGACTTCTTTAAATACAATGAAGCCGCTATCTGATATTCTCTTTCATTGAACAAGGAGCTTGACTCCTATAGTGGCAATCGGCCTATACAAACAAAAGAAAATCATCGTAGGGGGTCTGCAAATAAACCACAACTCACAACAACCTTTCCTTTCCAACTCGAAAGGCCAAGCATGAGCCGCATTGAATCGTAGTTCTATACAACTACACTGCAGTGATGAACGCTATCATCATCGTACCCTGCCACTTAACATCATCTTTGTTTCCGTACAATTACATCCTGAGGAAATGCTTTCTAGTCATTATTTTGAAAAGGATATGTTTGGGACTGAAAGAGATCAGGAACGTACCCAACACATGCATTTGAAGCGTTTTGTACCAGTTGAATGTTGGTGTGGGTGCGAAGTGGCGGATGGAGGGTGTGTAGCAGGCAGTGACGCTTTATAAACAAAGGTGCTCAAGCGCACACACGTTTCCAGCCCGTGCGCACGATAGGCAGATCATTTGGAAGTAAAGGGTAACAAGTGGCTCTTCGGGTCTAGTTACCAAGACTCTGGACCATTCTTAATTAGTACTAGAGACCGGTTTCAGTGTTCCACGTGCCTGTCCGCACGGTGGGAAACCTTAGGCACAACTACAAATACGTGCACTCACTCTGCTAGACTAAGCACCACTCACCGGTATGCAGTGAGGCACAGTGCGGATCAAGTTAGATCGAATCTCATAACTCGATTGTTTTATCTGTGTTTAGGTTGGCATTGTACCCCCAACCCAACACGCCCGTATATCCAGTTCTTTGTCCTTGAATATCTTACAATGAACCATCCAATCCGTTAGTATACACCACCACCCGCCACTCACCACTCACCACCCCCCACGTCTCATCTACTTCTTCTCTCCCTCACCTTACTCGTCCTTCTCCGCGACCATGGCCGTGCCAACCACGTCACGCGCAACAACGCGTCCACGCCTCAGCTCCACAACCGCCAAGTCGCGGGGCACCATGCGCACGGGCAGCGCGGAGTTCACGACCGGAGTACGGTGGGAATGCTGGTTGCGGCGGTGGCGACGGGGCAGCGCCGCCGAGCCCGTCGTCGGCGTGGCGTGAGTGTAAACCGGAGAAGGGAAGGCGGGCAGCAGCTGGCGAGGACCCGGAACCGCAGCAGCAGTAGAAGCAGCAGGACCGAAGCCCGGGTGCATCTGCATGCTATCCTCGCTGTCTTCGTGCTCAACCTCAGCCTTCATCTTTCCCTTCGATGGCTTCTTCGTCGACTTCTTCGTCGGAGTCGTGGCGACTTCTTCAACACCTTCGCTGACTTCGTTAATGTTGCTCATCATACCATGGACCTGCTGCATCAGCGCAGCAGACTGCTCGCGCTTCTTCAACAGCTCGGCGTCACGATCCGCGCTCTGCTCCTCCGTCGTCACCATCCTAACGACATCAGCGCGCAGGCTGGCGAGGCTGTTGAGCGTCTCATCGATAGCTGCATTACGCTGACAGCGTGCATCAATATTCGCATCGATAGCTACGCGCTCGGACACCTTAGCCGCGATGGCCAGGTCGAGAGGGTTCTGCTGAGGACGGTTCGTAGGAACGGCAACAGCGCTGCTAGTGTTAGTAGGGGCAACGAGGGGGACGCGTGGGCGAGGTCCTCTATCAATGAGGCCGGTTTTCGGATTGAGCTGCGTGAGGGCTTCCATGAGTCCGAGGGACTCCGAGCTATGGCTCTTCTGGACGCGAGGCTTACGCTGGTTCTGGTGGCCGCCGGTGGTGGACGGACCGCCGTCCTCCAGCTGGCCGGTCTCGGGGTTGAGACGCGTGATGGCGTCGATGATGTCAATGGACTGCGGCGCGCTGGACGTGGTGCTCGAGCGGGCGCGCAGCGATGTAGTGCGACGAGGCCAGCCCGTCTGTGGGTTGACCGGGAAGCCTGATAGAGGGTGGATGGAGCCTGCACCGCTGCTGCTGCTGCCGCCGACATTACCGCTACATAGCAGGCTGGAATTCGGGACGCTATCAGTAGAAACCTTTATGTTCGAAACGGGCTTGACGCGGGAAAAATACTCGGAGGCCTTCCGTGCGAAGCGTTTGCCGAGCGACGGGCGTGCTGTGTCGTCACCAGCTGCCGAAGTGCGGTTGGTGGTCTCGACGTCCTGGTCCTGGTAGGTCGACGGGAGAAGCATCTCAGTCGAATCGCGAACATTCTCGGTGAGCAGCACATTCTTCAGAGGGAGAGAAGGGTCCGAAGTGCTTGTGAGAGACGACGGAGGTAGAAGCAAGCGCTCGTCAAACGTAGCTGGCTGGGGGTGCGAAGATGGCAACGCAGTGATAGAGTCAGACTCATCAGAAGACATAGCCCTGGTGTTGAAGGTTAAGCAAGCGAATGAACTGTTGGCACCGGAGGCCTCCTTACGGGCGCGTTCGCGGGCGCGTTTCTGACGACGCTTCTTCTGCGACTTCGTGAGGTTCTCCTCAGTAAGCATGTCGTCCGGCTTCTCGTTGCGACCGCCGACTGAGGAGGAATGGAAAGTCGGCATTTTGGTTGTTGCTAGAGGTCTTCCTTGCAGGCTGATGTGTGATAGTAAGTGTGTAGAGTTGTCCGAGAACTTTGTTTTTGTGGGCAGACTGACGTACCTGAAGTGAAAGGTGAAAGGTGAAAAGTGAAAATCGACAATTTGGGAAGCGCAAACGCACAGCGGATGCACTGTGCAGGTAGATTGTAGAGTGAAAGCTAGTGAAAGCGAGGTGAAAGGAAGGACTGGGGTTGGAGGTCGACGGTGGTGGAAAGGTGACCGTAGTGTGTGGTGGGTCAAGGAAATTGGCGGGTGAAAACAAATGTAAACGGACTCTTCACGCGCGCTCAACAAGCCCAGCTTCGAAAGTCTTCCATCCATATTTCAGTCACGTCAGTCTCACTGCAGCCACCTACCTACTACCTACCAGTGCCTGCACATCTACCTCTTGTTCTTTAAAGCGGTTCCAAGTTCCAAGTAACATCAGATCGCAATGACAGAATTTGACAGTCAAATGAACGAAGCGAGCATAGGTAAGGTACCCACACAGACCATGCAGGGCCATGGCTATGCGATTGGTGCATTCTCAGAACCAACCTTCACACACGCTATGAGCATGGACATCCCTAGCTCGGCGAGGCGGATAAGGTGACATTTCCAATCTTATGAAGGCCTGAATCCTGTGCTGTTCTCTTGTCAGAGACATGGTGTAAAAAACATAATAATCGATCATTGAAACAGTGCTTAGGTTTCGAGTCCGTTACGGCCGCGCAAGCATCTGACACTCTGGACTCAAGGACTCAAGGCGCAAACAGTGCACACATGGCTTCTTACTCAGCTGGAAAATTCGGCGACACCGATCCGTGTCACTACAAGGGGACGAAAAGAAGCAACAAATGAGGCGAGTCCACTCTACAGGTTGAAAAAGGTCAAACAAATATTCCGAGAAGCGAGTTGTGTCGTGAGAATGCATGAGGCGGAGAAAGATATTTTCCGAATCCTCGCGTAGGAACGACAGCCCGGGGTACGAGAACAAAGAAAGGAATCTTCTGGTCAAGGCCGGGTCAGCGCAGGCGGATGAGGGGGAGGTAGCGAGGCTGCATAAGATAAAGTACGTAGTACAAGGCGCAGGACTCAACGCTCGTCCAATGTCCAGGCTATTGGCCTGAGAGCATGGCATCCCGGTGGCTTGACGGCGGACTAGTGGAGACTGACAGGCAATAGTCGGGAAAGATGGGCGGCAGCAAGAGAGAGAAAAACATCATTCCGACGTCTGCGATTACACGGCATGGGTGTATCACCTGAGGGCTCGGAGTGTTGTTGAAGCGCGAGAGCCGGACGCGTCTGATCGCTGCTGGGACGCACGAGCCGCCTGGCGATCAGCGGACTACCGCACCCGGTTTGGCACTAGTCCCGACGCGAACTGGCGCCTTCCGCATTGATGACGTCGAGCACGTAGTTGCGGGCGGGGGTGCAGGCGCCCGTGAAGCTGCGGCAAGCTCGTCCAAGAGGTACTTGTTTCGCCGTTGCCGTTGCTGCCTAGCTACTTACTTTCTCCTCACGCCTGTCAGACTTCCTCTTTCCTTCATCCCACTCCATCCAGCTGAGTGCTTAACAACAATCAATACCATCCACCATGATCCACCCCGAGCAAGTCGCCGACATGCTTCGCAAGTCCAGCAGCTCTCTGCTGCTCCCCACCTCCACTCTGCTGCCCGTGCCTACGAGGTACCTACCATCATTGCCTCTCTCCAAAGACTCCACGCTGATCTGTCCTCTAGCTCCACTAGCCCGAAGCCCATCGACCCCATTCCCACGGTCATTCGTACGTCTCCTTCAACTACCTTTGCCGCTCGCTGCTGACCGTGTAACAGCCGACCCTACGCACTATGAGAGTGCTGGCGAGGCCGGCATGAGGACGCTTTGGGTCGTCTTCGTGATCATGCTCGTTGCTTCGGCCGCCTTCGCTGCCATGTCCTGGACCATACCAGTTGTGAGTAGCCTTGATTCCGACCCCTCAATGCGTCAGCTGACACGCCCCAGCAACGCCGTCTCTACCATGTCATCACCACTCTGATTACGATCATTGCCTCCATCTCCTACTTTGCCATGGCTACCGGTCACGGAACTAGTTACCACCACATCCATGTCCGCGAGACGCACAACCACGTCCCTGACACCTACTACGACGTCTACCGCCAGGTCTACTGGGCCCGGTACGTTGACTGGAGCTTGACCACTCCCTTGCTGATCCTCGATCTCTGCCTCTTGGCTGGCATCGATGGTGCGCACACTCTGATGGCCATCGCTGCCGATCTAATCATGATTCTCACTGGCCTCTTCGCGGCATTTGGCCACGAGGGTACCCCACAGAAGTGGGGCTGGTATGCCATTGCGTGCATTTCCTACTTGTTCGTCATCTGGCACCTGGCTCTCCACGGGCGTGCCCGCGCTCTTAACAGGGGCAGCAAGGTTGCCAAATTGTTTGGCGCACTCGCTGGCTTCACCCTCATTCTCTGGACTGCCTACCCCATGTAAGTACTTCAATCAGTCGAGCGATTGCATCTGCTAACGCGAACAGTGTCTGGGGCATTGCCGATGGTGCGCGCAAGGCTTCCGTCAATTCCGAGATCATCGCCTACGCCGTCCTCGACATACTGGCCAAGCCTGTCTTCGGTCTCTGGCTGCTGCTCTCTCACTCGAGGATCCCTGAGACCAATGTCGACGTTGGCGGCTACTGGGCCCATGGATTGTCGTCCGAGGGCACTATCCGCGTCGGTGACGATGACGAGGGCGCTTAAACGCTATCGTACACCGATGGATGATGCATCAGTGCACTCATTGGTGCAGAATGAGCGCAGACAGGAAATTGAGAAGATCCCGAGGGATGACTAGCAACAGTTGCAGAAGATTGGCATTGGCTGGCCAAAGGCCAGCACCACTTACTTTAATCAGGGTTACGACTGGATATGTATACCAATGGGTATGAATAATGCAACACTCGCATGATCCATGAGACTTTTTCCGTGCCTGCATACCATGTCTACCTATCAACGAAAATCCCCATCTCCATCCCATCATTCGGCGAGGCAAACGGTCGTCTCACAAGCAAACAGGGCAGTTGACAAGCCAGTAAGCGCACGGCCCCACATCCGGCCGTAGCTCCATACTTCCTGCAGCCAAAATGCGGGGAAGCAAGGATTCTCAGATCGCGCGATTCCATTCTTGGTGCTTAGCCTAAAATACCCACATGACGACCTACGTTCGCAAAAAGAAAAAATTCGTACCTGTCCGCCTCTAGTTACTTCTATGTGGGCGAGTAGGTAGGTATGTGGCTTAAGTCGACTAAGAACTGATTTCAAGTCTACTACATATCTAGCAACATGGCCTCGCTCACGGAACACTAAGCTCACGAAGGGGGGTGGGTGTCTATGAAGCACACACATACACTACAGGTAAAGACAGGTAGTAAGGTATGGTAAGAACTATCAACTGCCTTGCCTTGCTAGATTTCTGGCTAACGACTTCGTACACCGTTCGTTGGTCTAGGCTCCTAGGAGTAGGATCATTTTCGCTGTTGTCGGAAGCACTAGTGGTGGTGCGAAGGGCGCGCGCGCGTTTACGTAACAGGCTGCTAACTGCTTATGGGACGGTGGGCGGGGCGCCTGTGTAGTGGACGCACGCGCTTGAGAGGTGCTGCGCTGTTTGGTGCTGCTTCTTCTGGTTTGGAAGGGGTGGTGGTGTGGTGGTGCATTCTGGCGCTAAGGAGCGGGCCGGTGCGCGCTGGGATGAGTTACCTAGTCAGTCAGTCAGGTCCTGGTATTTCTCTGCACTGCAGTCCAATCATGCTCCGAAGATGCAATTGGATAGGTAAGTGGATAGGTAGGTGGGCGAGGAAGGATGAGACAGAGTGAGGATACCGGTGCACTTAAAATGTTCTCGTAGCGGGACGGGTAATAGCTGGTAGACATTTGTTTGTCGTTGCCGGTGGCGGTGCTGTCAACGATCTCACTTCCCGCGTGAAGAACCGCTGGGGCAGGTCGCACGTGCGAAGGGCGAGTCTTGATGAGCTTGTCCAGGAGGTGGGTAAGGGGGATGGAGATGGGGATAGGTGAACTGAGGGGCGCTGAGTTTGTAAGGCGAGTACTGAGTGACGGCGAGTGACGGCGAGTGACGGCGATGTCGGAGTGAGGCAAGGTTCGTGAGTGACCTTTGAGTATGGCTGGATGGGTGTGTGGTGGCTCAGTGAATGGGTGGGAAGATTGGGCAAAAGAGGAAGGGTCGACCTACGGGTCGTTGGGAGGCAGGTATGTCTGTATCCTTGTTTGTCTACCTAATCGTCTGGCCTACCAATCCATCTATCTGAGTACCTATCTGCCTTTCCGTCTGTCCACCTCCTTCTCCCATTTTCTGCACGCCTATCAAGGTCCATACCTCTTACCTCACACCTCCTTCGTTTCCGTCTCCCCGTCGTTCTCGTAACTACTACCAGGACCACTACCAACCCCGCAATCTCCCACGAACATACCGCGATCCACCCCAGGCCTCGAAAGCTTAAACGTCATTCGTCAATGAATTGTCATCCGATTCAAGCCCAGGGCGGGCAAGGTCAGCAGGGCAAAGCAGAGAACGAGGACGCGGCACTAAGCAAATATCTCTGCCGATCCTGGGTTCTCCTCCAACGCGACTGGGTCAGGCGGCAGAGGATGGGCAGACGGTACGTCAGAGCTCGCAATATGCAGAGGCATGTTGCTGCACTGCTGCACACCTTGCCTAGCTGCCGAAGGATTTATTAACTGCGCTGCGCGCCTCGATTGATTCAGCATCTGCGAGACATCTCAACGACTTCGCTCGAGATCCCTCACAACTCACTTACTTCTTTCAACTCAGACCGGTCTATCACTATCGGCAACAATGGCGCGCATGACCATGATCTTGGCCGGCGCGGCTTTGCTCGCCGCTCAGGCGTAAGTTGCTATCTCCTCTGCATTTACTCCAGTGCTTTACTGATGTCTGTTTCTTCTGTGTTGCAGTGCAGCCATGCCCCTGGAGGGTGCAGCTGAAAGCCAGGCTGCCTACATCACTCCTGTAGAGAAATCGGCCCTGGAGGCCTCTGCCGAGGGCGAGGACCGCGGATACGGTGGCAGATACGGATATGGTGGAAACTACGGGAACTACGACGACCGCAACAGGGAAGGCAACAAGGAGAACTACCGCGATGGCGAGAATGGATACAAAGACGGCTACCGCAACGACAAGGACAACTACAGGTACGACGACAAGGACGGCAACAAGGACGGCAACAAGGACGGCAACAAGGACGGCTACAAGGACGGCAACAAGGACGGCTACAAGGACGGCAACAAGGACGGCTACAAGGACGGTAACAAGGAGGGCTACAAGGACGGCAACAAGGAGGGCTACAAGGACGGTAACAAGGAGGGCTACAAGGACGGTAACAAGGAGGGCTACAAGGACGGCAACAAAGAGGGCTACAAGCACGACGACAAGGAGGGCTACAAGCACGATGACAAGGAGGGTTACAACGGCAAGGAAGGAAACAAATACCTTGCCGCCCGCGCAGACGTAATCGAAGGCTCAGCTGTCGAAGGCTCCAGCGAGGGCAATCGGGGGGGCTTCAACTACGGCGGCAAGGATGGTGGCCGAAACAAGGATGGTCATCGCAACGGCTACTACAAAGATGGTCGCTACTACGACGAAAATGGCTACTACTACGAAAATGGTCGCTACTACGATGAATATGGCCGCTATTACGAAAATGGTCGCCACTACGACGAACATGGTCGCTACTACGGCGACAACAAGGAGGGCCACCGCGAAAACGACAACGGTCGTTACCACGGTGAATACGACCATGACCACTACGGCCACAAAGGCCAGTACGAGAAGGGCTACAACGGCGATCGTGAAGGAGGCAAGTATGACTTCAAAGGCGGAGAAGGAAGTATCGAAGGAATAGAAGGAAACGGTGGAGGTAATAATGGCGGCGGCAAGAACGGCGGCCACCAAAACGGCGGCGGTCACCAGGGTGGTCACCAAGGTGGCGGCGGTCACCAAGGTGGTCAGAACGGTGGTCATCAAGGCGGAGAGAACGGTGGTCACCAAGGTGGCGGTCACAAGGGTGGTGAGAACGGTGGCCACAATGGTGGTGAAAATGGCAAGGGAAACCTCGAAGCCCGCGCAGAAGCTGGCAATGGCGGTGGCTACGGCGGCGGCTACGGCGGCGGCTACGGCGGCGGCTACGGCGGCGGAAAGGGCCAAGGCAACAACCGCGGTGGCTATGGCTATGGCAATGGCAATCACAACGGTGGTTACGGCAACCACAACGGCGGCGGCAAGAATGGCGGCTACGGAGGAGGCTACGGAGGAGGCTACAACGGCGGGAACGGCAACAAGAATGGCGGCTACGGAGGCTACAACGGTGAAAACGGCAAGAATGGCGGCGGCCACGGAGGCTACAATGGCAACGGAGAACGCAAGGGCCTTGCCATCCGCGCCGAAGCCGAGAACAAAGCTGAAGCCGAGAACAAAGTCGAAACCGAGAACAAAGACGCAACTGGAGGAAAAGCTGTCGAAGGCGCGGCCGAAGGCGGAGGGCCCTTCGGTCACGGTCACGGTCACGGCTTCGGCCATGGCCCCTGGGGCTGGTGGAACTATTTCAAGCAAGGACAGCCTCCATACCCTCCGCAGCCCCCCCAAAACGGCCCTCCAAACCATCCGCCGTACCCTCCAAAAGATGACAAGGACTACGAGTGCGAAATTATCTTCAATGCCTACAAGCGGGCCTACTACGTCGATTACCAACAGGACTGCACGTACTACGAGGACCCCGTCTTTCAATATGTTGATATAGATTGCGACAGGTGCCATGTGAAGTACGTCGATAATCGGGATGTGAAGGAGGAGTATGGAAGAGCTGATGGCAAAGTAAGTGCGCGTGAGAGAAATTCAGAAGAATAATACTAACAACGATTGGCAGGATTGGAGGAAGGTGCAAGAGTGCACAACGACTTCGCCCAGCTCGAAAGTAATCTTCCCCGAGAGCACTGTCACTTTGTATAGGTGCAAGGCGGGTACTGGTGTCGATAGCACGGGTGGAAGCTCGGGTGAAAGCGCTTGCGATTGCAACTCGTCGCCGAATGATCCCTCGTGTTGCAGCTTCCCGACGGAGCCTCATCTGATCACTGAAGAGTGAGGCGGAAGAAGACTGAGAAATTGGAGTGGAGGAAGAGGAGGTGGCGAACTGGGGGCAAATGTTTGGGGGAAATATGAGGGGTCGGGGGATGCGCAAGCCAGTTACCATTCTTTTCAGTGGAAGCGAACTCTCAGCGCTGTAGCGTAGCTGTGTTGTAGTTTTAATTTTCTTTGGAATAAAAAGACAGCTACAGCTTAAAAAAAAAAAGATCAGATATGATTGATGCTGTGGATTGGCGGGCCGGAAGCGGGAAAGGAAGAGGCCGCGAACCGTTTGCGGGGGCGCGGCGCGCGCGACGGCGGTTGGCGGGCAGGGCGGGGGTGGTCTCGGTCCAGACACAGGCCCGCCATCAGCAGCATCCCGCGTCACCCTGACAGCACAGCACATGTCAGACAACGCATCAGCTCTGCACATCACCGGGTCAACGCCGTCCTGAAATCACCCGCAGGTACAAAGACGGCCGACCACCACCAGCTGAACAGTCCTGATCGCCTTACTGCAAACGCTTGCACCAGCCCGCTACCTCTACTCTACCTCGAGAACCTCCAGGACCACCAAGCCACACCCGCCGCTACATACCTACGTACAATACATACGAACGCACGACCCCGCTCGACCCATCGACAGACAGATTGAACCATTGCGACTGCCCGCCTGCCAGCCTGCCATATCATCACCATGTCTACCACGCTCGATACCTCTGCCGCCACGACCGAGGCGCCCGCTCCCGCCGTCGATACCACGCCTATCTCGCCCGTGCGCGAGGGCATGGAGCGCCGCAACTCGCTCGAGAAGCATCTAATGCATCGCCCGGACATGCAGGACTTGAAGAACAGGCATATTCTGCTGGACACGAACGCTGCGCCGTGAGTTGTTTTTTTTTTTTTTTTTTGGCCCTGGCTTTTTGTTGGATATGGTTGTCTCGCATTGCACCTGCTTCCGACATTGCCGCCCCGATCCGCCATGCACGCTTCTCCTACCTACCTACGCTTCCTTACAGTCTCACACTCGCGCTAACCAATCCCTCGCCACCTCCAGAGCCCTGCAAGCCGCGCAACTGGAGCTCGAGCGCCAAAAAGTCAGCGACAACCTGCGCAAGAACCTGTCGCACCGCCCCCCACGCGACGAGCTAGTCGAGCGCAACATCCTGCCCGACAGCACGGCGGCGCCCGCGCTGCAGGGCCACCAGAAGGAGCTCGAGCGCCATATGCGCGCCGACAGCCTCGAGAAGGCGCTGCTGAGCCGTCCGAAGCCCGACGAGCTCAAGGGTAAGGGCATTTTGCCTGAGGGGGCCGAGGCTGCGACTGCATAGATGATGGGTGGGGTGAGGAGGGATTTGAGAGGGTGGAGGTGATGAACGGAACGGTTGGTTGGTTGGTTGGTTGGTTTTGAGTGCGTGCGTGTGTGCGTGCAAGAGGGAGGTGTTGTGGTGATTTATCTGCTTATTGCGGCGGTGGATGGATGTATGGATGCATGCATGCATGGCACGCATGGCATGAGCGATGGACGAAGATGGAGAATGCGCGCCAGGCCCATCTCTTCTTCTTCACCATCATCACCATCACCATCACCATCCCCACCAGCCGACTTCGAAGACCAAGGAAAGCATCGGTCTTCGTTGTTTGTTTGTTTGTTTTTGCTCCAGGGCGTTTTTTCGGCGCCTCCGTCAACGACTACTACGCGTACGGGCCAGGAATGTTTTTCTCAATTATTTATCTTTTTTTTTTTTTCCTCCGCTTCGTCTTTTTTCTTGTCTTGTTGCGTCTCGTCTCGTTGCGTCTCGTCTCACCGTCCGATCCTGTCTGTCTCTTTTGCTCGCCGTGCTCTGCCTGTCTGTCTGTCTGGTTGCTGGCTTCTTCTTCTGCATCTTCTTTTTCGTCTCCTCCTTCTGTCAGTCAACAATGCGGAAACAGCAATACTGCGGCGGCAAGTACGGTAATGGACTGAGTAGGAATCGATTGTGTAGGTGCTGCTTCTGCTGCTGCCGTTGATGCTGGGTTTTCAAAGAGAGTGTGCGTGCGCGTGGTAGGCGGTGCAGGAGCTGGTGCGGATGAGTGCGGGTGCGGTTGTGGTGGTTGGTTGGTTGGTTGGTTGATCATCATGCTGTTGGCGCAGACACGGCGTACTTACCTACCGACTTTGCATCTACCTACACACACACACTCACACTCCTCTCCCGCACTCTGGTTCGCGCGCTACCTAGCTGTTCCATCTACCTGTCCTTCCCGCCGTGGGCTGCGGAGCCGCGCCTCTGTCGTGCTATTTATGCGAGCTCACTGCTGCTTGTCGCTGTGTTGCGTACCTACGCACCCACCTCTAAGTATCTACAATACCTACCTACATATGTGTATGCACGGTATCTATACGAATATGGACGCATGTGTATGCTCGCCTTGGGTGCTCTGGGTTGTCTGTCTGTCTGTGGGGGTTGTGGATGTGGATGGGTGCTGTGGTGTAAGCTAAGGTAGGGAAGGGTGCGGACGGGGTATGGTACCTATGCGGCGGCGGCGGCGGCGGTGGTGGTGGTGGTGGTGGTGGTGTGGGGAATGAATGGCATAGCAGAGCTTGTAGGCATGCATACACGGCAGCAGAAAAGGGAAAAGCCAAAGCCATGCGTCCACTCCGCACGCACAAAAACAAGCCCGCATCCCACAGCCACAGTCAACACACGGCGCACGCACGCCGCTCTCCGCACACGCCCTCCTCTTCCCTCCATACCTAAGCAGAGCAGACCAACAAACCCACCCCACCACGTGCACCCACATGCGGCACTACTTGATCAGCATTGTATTCATTGCCTATCTCGCTTCTTCTTGCGCGCCGCAGTTCGCGCCAGGCAGCGCAACGCAACGCAGGCGCGCGCGGCGCGCCGCCCGCCTGCCGCACGTGGGGGATGGGGTGGGCTGAGTATGGGGTGAGGTCGCGAGGAACGAGCTTAAGAGGAACGAGCTTACGGGGAACGAGCTTACGAGGGAAAAGGGACGAGCGAATGGGGAACGAGCTTACGGGGGACAAGCGATCAGCGCAGCCCTACGGAGTAATGCGGGTAAAGGCAAAGCGTAAAGCTCCACATGGCTCCGCAGGGAACCGCTCCGCTCAGCGAGGGGCAGATGGGGCCCGCAGAGATCTGTTCTACATACCATATATATCAGGGACCGGTCACAGGACCGCGGGCACGAACCGTGGGTACAGTATGGGTTTTTGTGGGGTTGCTGTGCCTGTGCCTGTGAGTGTGCCTGTGAGTGTGAGTGTGGATGGGGGTGGAGTGTGCTGCTGTGGGCTGTGCTGTGCGGAGTTGGATAGGAGGGAGGGTTGGGGTGGGCTGGTTTTGTTTCCATGCGTGGCTGTGTTTGTTTAGATCTTTTGTTTGTTGGGTTGCTTGCTTGTTTGGATAGATGTCTAGTTATCCCAACTACTACATACAACACACCCAGGCCGCAGGCGCGCACTACCTACTGCAAGTCGAGCCACAATAACAATACGCCAGGAGCCAAAGCGGAAGCCGAGCAAGTCTGTACCCAAAACCAAACCGAGCCGATGACGATGACGATAGTAGAATCACGCATGCTTATGTATGTATGCACCTAGGCAGTAGGTACCTAGGGAGTAAGCTCTTGAGGATATACCTATACCTATACCTACACTCTCCTATAATACAATGGTGGTATACACATGGTGGTATCACAAAACATGTACACGTACAAACACACACGTACATACTGTACCTACCTACTCGTGAACAACCCCGCCAACACTCCATCAGCCATCAGCCGACAGCCATCAGCGCAACCGCCCTCTCTTCAGCAGGCCCTCCCTCGCAGGCGGTCGACCTCTCTTCTTCCCACCTCCACTTCCACTCCCACCCGCAGCACCCGCAGCACCACCCGCCGCGCCCATCCGCATAAGCTCGAATGCCGTGGCCGGTCTCTCCCGACTCCGCGAGGGCACCGCGCCACCATCGTCAACACCAGCGCTGCCACCACCGACACCGCTAGCACTAGGCGCCTCATTCACCTGCCTCACCGTCGCCTTGATCTCGTCGCGCGAGAGGCAAAAGTCAATGTGCGAGTTGAAGGCGCGGTCGTTGGCGGGCTGGGGACGCTGGCAGATCGGACAGTCCCAGGCAGCGGGCACGGCGGCGAGTTGGGCAGCTGTGTCGGCAGCAGAAGCAGCAGCAGCAGCGACGGCGGCGGCTTCTTCGGCTTGTTCTTGTTGTTGCTGCTGTTGCTGCTGTTGCTGGCTCAGGCGCAACGTCTCGTGGAAGTCGGCCTCGCGCTCTTGGCGCGCGGCTTCTTCGAACTCTGCTTCTGGCCAGGTGGGGGCGTGGGGGTCGCCACCGCCGTCGTCGTCCTCGCCGTTGGCAGCGGTGACGGTGGTTGGGAATGGGAGGGGAAGCGCGTCGTCGGTGTCTGTGTCTGTGGTAGCGAGGGCCGAGTCGGTCGATGCCGTGCGCCGATTTAGGCCGAAGAAGTCGTCGGCAGAGCTTTTCTTGAGGCTGACAATGTGGGTCACTCGCAGGCCCATCAGACGCAGCGTCAGGCCCGGCATTTCCCTCTCCAACTTCGCCAGCATGGGTATCGCATACTTTTCGAGGTCGTCGGCGCGCCACACGGCAAAGGGCGGTGTCGTCTGGCGCGTCAGCACCTCATACGTGGCCAGCTTGACCTTGAGCACCAGCGTCCGGCCCTTGAAATGCGTGCGTTCCAGATCTTTTTCCAGCTCTTCGGCTATCTGACGTAGTTTCTTTCGGAGCCCTTCCTTGCCCGTTAGTTCGCGGAACGTACTCTCGGTACCTACGCTCTTCCGTTCGTACTCCTCTGCCGGCTGGATCTTGGTGCGCCCTAGGCCTAGATAGCACTGCATGAGGAATTGGAACGCCTTTTCGCCAAAAAGTTTGCTGAGGTAGGCGCGTTGGGCATAAATGTCGCCGCACGTCTTGATGCCCACGGCATCCAGCTCGCGCTCAAAAACCCGCCCGATGCCGTTTACCTTGCGCGTCGGGAGATCCTTCATGAACGCAATGATGGCGGCGCGAGAAGTCTCGAGCATAAACTGTCCGTTTGGTTTGTTCTTGTTGGAGCAAATCTTGGCCAGCTTGGCGTTGGCCGCGATGCCCGCGGACACGGTGATTTTTGTTTTTTCGTGCACCTCGGCACGCAGCTGCTGCACCACGTCCCAGGGCGACATATCATGCGCCTTGCAGTAGTCGGTAATGTTCAAGTAGGCCTCGTCAATGCTGGCGCTCTCAAAGCGGGAGTCGTACAGCTCGAGCACGGCTCGCACCTCGCGCGCCTTGGCCGTGTACTTGTCAAAGTTGAGCGGCAGGCAGATGAGCTCCGGACACAGTTTCATGGCCACGAAGCCGGCCATGCCGCTCCGACAGCCAAATTTGCGCGCATGGTAGTTGCACGTTGTCAAGACGCCCTTGCCCACGGCCATGGGCACGTCTTTCAACTCCGGCCGGTCCAGCTCCTCGACGGCGGCGTAGAAGGCATCGCAGTCGATGTGCACGACCGTCTGCGAAAGATCTCGGGAGAGCTCGAGCTCGGTGATGTAGTCGTCGGCGCGGCGCAGGTCGTGGTCGAGGTCGAGGCGCTCTAGCTGGCGCTTGCGGGCGAGGGTGCGGGCAATCTTTTCGGTGAGGTTCTTGTCCTTTTGCGACTCGTTGTTGAAGAACTTGGAGCCCTTGGAGGCATTGTAGATGATTTCGGCGACCTGGGGAGTCGTCGGTCAGGCCGCAGGGCAGGGCGTTCGGTAGGGCGATTGGGGACGCACCTTGGCCTGATCGACGCCATCTTGGCCGGATTTCTGCAGGGACGGGCCGAGGAGATGATGTTTGAGGCTGTCATTCATCGTCGTGATTGCAGGGTCGCCGACGATGGAGATCCCGAGGCTGTGGACGCACGCGCGTCCCGCGGGTTGGTCGGCGCGTCACGTCGCAGAGTCGGCAGAATTAACCATGGGAGAAGGCAGAAAGTCGTCGCAGTGGAATAAGTATTATGTATGGCCGTTTAAGCCAGGCTACGGTACGGGGATGGGCGCGGCTCAAGCTGCTGGGGCTTTGCTGGCATTTGGCGTCAGCTGCCACCGCCTCCCGGCGGCTGGCGGCCGAGCGAGATGAGAGTCGCTCCTCACCCCACCGAAAGGGTAATATATCAATTTCAGGCGCGCAAAGGGGATAATTACCTGAGCCCCCTCCACCACGACGACGGCCAAAAATACCTAGATTCACAAGACGACGGGTGGACGTGCCCGCTTCAGGTAAGGCGGGGAGCTGGGCGCATCGCTCTCCAAACCAAAGCATCCCAAACATCCAAAACAACCCACATCCACCGCCGTCCCCACCGCCACTATTCCCGCCCAACCCCAGCCCCTTCGCGGACAATGTCCAATGTGCTCTCCTAGACTCCAACCCTCCCACCACTGCGCCCGCGAGACATGCCTGCGTCCGACCGCCTGAACGCTGCCAATACCAATGGCAAGGCGCTCAGGCCGACCCTCGCATCCACCCGCACAACCAAAAGCACCCCCCTCACGCCTAAACTCGCCACGGCCTCGCCCAGCTTGACGCCGCAGTCTGCTCGCAGGAGTCAGGCCAGGGACGACTCGGCCACCTCGACGCCGCGCTCGTCGTCGAGGTCGCGAAAGACTCGCTCCAGCAGCACCCTCTCGACTCCGACCGCCACGCCCACGGCTGCCTCCCGTCACGATGCCTCTTCCGCCGGTCCGACGCTCAGCTCCTCCTTCTCCTCCTCCTCCACCTCCTCGCGACGCCCACGGAGCGTCGTCAGCTCCGTCGAGTCTTCTCGCTCCGCGCCGCGCCTGGCGCCCACATCCGCGGCCCATTCGCGGCCCAGCTCCGAGGTGGGCGCCCGCGACAAAGATGCCCGATTCTTCCACGCCAGCGAAGTGAGGTCGCCGGGTCCGACCAGCGCGCCAATGGCCAAGAAGGCCACTTCGGCCTTCTACCAGGCTAGCAATGCCCGCGAGGGCAGGAAATCCAGCAACGCCTCCTCAGGGGGCGCTGGCATGCCGTCCCCGCCGCTGTCCGCCGTTGAGCGCTCTCGCCCACGCTCAGGTAGCCAGTTCTTCCACGCCGACACCATTCCAGAAGCGCGCCACAATGCCGCACTACAGTCGCCCCCTATACTATCGCCCTCGTCGGACCCCTATTTCCCCCCACACTCGGCGCCGCCGCCGTCATCCGGGGGCAAGGATTCCCCGCTGCAGCCACAATCGCCCTCCAAGGACAGCATACACTTGTCATATAGGAAGGGGGCTTCGCAGGTAATACGACCGAACATGCACGGGCGGCCCCCGTCCTCGTCCATGTTCTCGCCGGTGGAGAACAGCACCCTGCAACGGAGAAGATCCAGCAACGAGAGCGGCTCCGCACGCTTCGCACACGGCAAAAACCCCAGCCTTTCGTCGATAGACTCGGTTACGACAAGCGGACGGCAAACAACGGGGACTGCGGACCATCCAGGATCTCCAGCGGGGCCGAGCCCACTACACGTCGACATTACGTCGCCGTCGACGGTGCATTCGCCAGGCTCGCGGGTAGCCAGAGCCAACGAAGACGGCGAGGAGAAGGAGCCAGCGGGACTGCAGTCTCCACTTTCGCTGCCTCAGAGTCCCGCACACGACCCACCGCAGAACCCGCTGCAAAAGATGAATGAGTTGGCAGCGAATGCCCGGAGAGAGCGGAAGGTGCTGGACTTGGAGATCAGCAATTCGTCATTGCTGGCGATCAACCGGCAGCTGGAGCGCGAAGTGCGGAAGCAAAAGGCGGAGTTGAAGCGGTTCCGGCGGCTAAGCAGGGCCGGGCGCCTTGCATCAGGCGCCGGTGCCGGCCGCTCATCATTACTGTCGTCGGTCACAGAAGGTGAAACGGCCGATTTCGAGGACGACAATGACGATCTCGAAGGCGGGGATGAAGGCGGGGACGAAAGAGAAGACGATGGAGAAGGACTACACGACGACGAGCATGACGACCACGAGGAACTATCCAGCGACGAGTCTTCGATTGATGAGGGGACTCTTAGCCCTAGCGCGCTCGCCGAGCGGGACGCCAAATACCGGCTGCAGGATCAGAAGCGGCTGCAGCTGGACCTGTCGAAGCACCGCGAGCTGCTGGGAGACAGCCAGAAGCTGAACCACAGCCTGAAGCGATGCATCGGGTGGACGGAGGACCTGATCAAGGAAGGACGGAAGGCGTTGGACTACCAGGTGCGCGCGAGCGACGTGCGGCTGGGCGGGCGGATCCTTACGCGCGAAGAAGAAGAGATGGACGACTCGTCGGAGGAGGAAGAAGGGCCGCACGGAGGCTCGTTGCTGAGCGCGTGGACGCCGCCAGACGGAGCGATGCGCAAGTCGGTGGAGTCGGAGCGGCTGACGGACCGGGACAGCGGTATTGAGCTGGAGGGCCCGGCCAAGTCCAAGCAAGACGTGGTGATGCCGGCCAAGGCGCAACAGCTGGGCCAGTCGTTCTGACTCCTTTACCTTCTCACAATCGCTTCTTCGTTTATTTTGTTTTTCGTCAGACTTTTGGAGCTGTTCTGACTAGCAGAGAGAAATACGCGTCGCATCGGCAAAGGCAAGGCGTTTGTGGGAAGGTGGCTGTGCTTTGAAGCATCATCCAAGAAGTCTTGTCGGTCGGTTTCGAGACCTCCTTGTTACTACTACTGACGACCAACAACACCAACACCATCACTATCAACATCATCATCACCATCACCATCACCATTACCATCACACCATCATACCATCATACCATCATACCATTTCACCCCACCATCACCTTTCAAAATACACTAGGTTACTACCTACCTTCTTTCTCTCCCTCTTCAACATCCTCCTCTTCCTCCTCTTCTTCCGCTTCCTTTCTTCATTGTCGATTTTTCATCTTCGCGTTTAGCCGTTCTTCTCATTGTCATTGCTGTTGCTGTTGCTGTTGTTGGTCTGCTTTCTTGTAGTTGGTCATCTCTCCTTGCATATCATATCTCTCCGGGGTCATCAGCCTTTTGTTTCTTTTCTTTTCTGCTTGCTTGCTTGCATGCTCGCATGGTTTGGTTTGGTTTGGTTTGGTTGGTTGCCTGCTTCATTCCGTCAGTTTTGTCAATTTCTCTCTGTCTGTTACTCTGCGTTACTTTTTTTGTTTTTTCTTCCTCTCTCTCCATCTCAGAGCTCTCTCTCGGTCTCTATCCCTCCCTCTCTCTCTCCCGTTACTACTACTATACTCCGTCCGCATCCGGCTAGTAGGGGTGGGTGTCTGTCCAACTTGTACTTGATTAGAGATACCCCAGCATTCAACCTCTCGTCAAAAATCCAGCCGCCGCGCTTTCTCTCCATCTCATCGAATTCTCTCTCGAGAGCTCCCGAGTTCGTTCGCTTGTTTTCTGCTGATCGGATCGGAGGCTTGCTTCCGCGCCGCTTCTTCTTCTTCTTCTTCTTCTTCTTCTTCTTTTTCTTCTTCTTCTTCTGCCACCAACCAACCACTATCTGTTGTCGCCACTACCGCCGCCTTCACTATGATGCTGGCTGGCTATCCGGATCCGCGAGCGAGCGAGCGAGTGCATGCTGCCTGCGCACTGACTGACTGACTGCGTGACTACTGCGCAAACCCCCCTGCCCCTTCCGTCCCTGCAGCATTCGTTCGTTCAGCCCTACATACATACATACATACATGCCTTACCTAGTTACCTTCCCTGTCCCCCGCGGGAGCGCGGGGTGGAGAACCTCGTACGTATCATAGTAGGTCCCTCGCTCTCGCTCCCGCGGCCCGCGAGCTCGCTCACCCGGCGACCCCGGCGTGGGGTAAGCGCGCTTTCCCCGTCAGTCGCCCGCGTGACGCCCGCAGGTCGCGGCGGGCGCTTTGCTCACGGCGCTGCCGCTTGCGCACTTGCGCTCGTGGTCTCGTCTGCTCGCTCGCTCACGCCACGCCTGCTCGCCCGCCCGCCCGAACCGCGCCTGCACGCTACTGCCGCTGGGCGCTCCCCTCACACCGCGCCGTCCCGTCGCTGATCCCGTCGATCCCGTCGCCTCCGCGCCTTGCCCGAGGGGCCCGAGGGGCCGAGGTGCCCGAGCTTTGTCCGATGGATAGGCACGAGGCTGGCGTGGCTGGCGCCGCGCGATATGATACCTACGATACGTTGTGGTATGCGCTGTGGCGTTGGCTTGAGCTCTGGCTCTGTCTGGCACAGTTTGGCACTGGTGCTGGCGTTGGTGTTGGCTTTGGGTGTAGGTCAAGACGAGGCAAGGCAGCTAGCTAGCTAGCTCTGTTGGAGTCGGCAGGTAGGTGGGCGTGTGCGTGTGCGCGCTGACTGCCTAGGTGAGGGTTTTTGTTTTTACGTACGTGGGTCTAGGCCTAGGAAGGTTGCAGGCGTGCGGTGAGGCGCGTGTGCGGCTGTGTCGGCGTGGCTGCGTGTGTACCTACAGTATGCGCATACGTACGTGCGGTCTTCCCTAGGTAGGCAGGCACCCCCCTCCAACCTCCTCCTGCAATCATCCATGCTCACTCACTCATGTTTATCCACAAGTAGGTAGGTAGGTAGGTACTCAGACTCAACCCAACCCCAAACGCAACCCCAACCAACCCAACCAAACCAAACCAAACCAAACCTCAAGCCTCCGCACCCCCTACACCCGCCGCCGCCCCCACCGCCGCCTCCTCCTCCTCCTCATCCGCCCGTATCATCGCCTCCACCCACCCCGGCACCCGCGGCCGCTGCTCCTGCCAGTGGTGCAGCGTCCCGGTGCGCTCTCCTCCTGCTCCACTGGCTCCACTGGCTCCGGCTCCACTGGCTCCGGCTTCGCCTCCGCCTCCGCCTCCCGCCAAGCTCGCCGCGCGCGCGGCGCTGGTTCCGCTGGGGGCGGATGCCGTGCTCGCTGTGCTCAGCCCACCCCCTTCGTTTCCCCCACTAGCTTCACTCCCTCCACTCACTCCGCCCACACCACCCGTTCCGCTTGCTTCGCTCGCTCCACCGCCCCACCCCTCCTCCCCAGCCGGCAGCCCAAACACGCCAGTGACGTACCACGCCGACGTGCCAGCGGGCAAGCTCGCCCGCAGCACCGGGAGCACGCTCCTTGGGTGCACGAGGTTGGAGTTTGCGTCCGCGGCCAGCACGGCCGCGCGCATCTGGCCTTTTTCTGGCGTTTGCGGGTGCCGCAGCGCGAGGACCCCGGACGCGCCGGTGAGGGGGGACGAGGTCAGTGCTGCGGGGGAGGAGGAGGAAGACGACTCGGAGGTTGCGGGCGAAGGGTTACACACAAGCACGCCCTCCCCCGTCCGCCCGTCATAAGCGCCCAGAGCCCGCCCGGTCGCGACCGACGCGCCGTGGATGGCCCAGCCGCCCTCGGCAATGAGGAGCGCGCGCGCGGTGCGGATGCGGTGGATCCGCGTGTGCCAGTAGGGTGACTGTGACGAAGGCGGCACTAGGTACGTCGTTATTGTGACGGAGGGGTAGGGGCGCGACGTCGATATTAGGACTGGGTAGGTCGACGCTGTATCCGGATCACTCCGCTCCTCGATCCTCGCCTCCTCGACCACCCGCCGCATCTTCCACGTCTCGCCCTCGTCATCCGACACCGCGAGCGCCGACTCGGGCACGCACTGCTCGAGGGTATACGCGCCGGTAGGCACGCTATACGCGAACGCGGCGCTGTACGCAAACTTGGCGTACTTGGCCTGGGTAGCGCGAAGGGGGTAATGGCAGGACTGGCCACTACTAAGCAGCAAGGCATGACCACCACGGGAGCTCGCAATCTGAAGGGGCAAAGGCAGCGGCCTTATCGGCGACAAGCCCAGGCGCGGAAGCGGTTCCTCCTTGCACGCCCAAAACGGATGGTCGGGCGGCAGCGCGAGCGGCGCAAACGCCAGCATGCTCCAGTACGGGCTGCCGGGGGAGTTGTAGTTCTCGGCGAGGAAGGGGTTCGGATACGCGTAGCCGATGCTGAGCATGCCGTTGGGCTGGAAGATGGCGGGCTGGGCGGCCCACCAGCGCAGGTTGCGCAGGAGGAGCCCCTTGACCGCGCCCCAGGAGAGGGGCGCCGGCAGCTCGGTGCCGCTGAACGCGATCGCCGCCCAGAACCCTGCCATCGCGAACCGGTACGTCAGGCTGCGCCCGAAGGTGATGGCCCGCCCCGCGCTGTCGAAGTAGTACGCGAAGTCGAGGGCGAAGGTGCGTGCGCGCGCGCGGTACTCGGCCGCGCGGACCGGGTCGCGCGACCCGGCGAGTTGTGCGTACAGCAGTTGCAGGTAGTGGATCGCGAACGAGCTGCTGTAGTAGTCCATTTGCGTGTACCCGGCTGGCCCGTCGTTGGACCAGCCGCGGCCGCGGTAGAAGGTGTCGAGGTGGGCGAGGTCGGCTTCGATGCGGCTGGGGCTGTGGGCCGCGCCGTTGTGGGCGAGGCCCAGGTTGGCGAAGACGCGGAACCAGAGCCTGGTGGGGTGGGTGGGTGAGTGGAAGGAAAGAGAAGAGAAGAAGAAGAAAAAGAGCTAGGAACTCAAGAAGAAGACAAGACAAGAACAAGAACCCACCAGTTCGTATTCGGCATCTCCCTCTCATTCATACTCCCCAACCAGCGCTCCACATTCCCCCTCTCCTGCTCCCCCAAAGGCTTCCAAAACGCATCGCCCGCGACGGCCAACGCAAACCCAATCGGGCAAGCCTCGACCATACGCTGGTCCTGGTCCTGCATCCAGCCCCAAAACTCGGGGCCGGACGGATCCGTCCCCGACACCAAGCCGCGCACATAGCGGTCGACGAGGGCGTCGGAGCCCGCGATGTCAGGACCGTGCTTCCCTGCAATCAGTGGTGCCAGCCCCCACAGTGGCCGCGCATAGCCCTCGACCTGCGCCGCCACTTCGTCGAAGCGCGTGCCGGTGTGGCCGACGCGCACGAGCGCCCCGCCCGGCGACGTGCCTGCGCTGAGCGGCGCGAGCAGAGAGACGCACGCGCGTGCCAGGTCGCTGCGTGTAAGGAGCGGGTTGCTGGCCAAGGGGTGCGCGGGAGAGGGACGGTTTGCTTCGGCGGCTAGGTGGGCGGAGGCCATGGTGGGTGGGTGGAGCGGAACGGAACCTTGGGTGGTGGTGATGGTGCTAATCCGTACCTATGGAAGCCTTGCTGTTGGTTGCTGTGGTGACTCCTTGGCCGTCTTCCAGTGGATAACTAGGTACGAAGCTGCTGCTCACCTCACCGTCGGCCTCGCATTTAACCACCGCTCGTCTCGGCCCGCATTTACCCGACGGGCGGCTAAAAGGCGCTGAGCGGGAGGGGTTGAATCCATCACCTCCACGCGGCCGGCGAGGGAATGAATGCGGGGAAGCCGTCTCCACTCTTGCCCGCCCTTGCCTCGCTAGCTATGTATGTAACTATGTATGTACTAGGTATGTAACAATGTGCAGCACGACACCACGAAGAAAAAAAAACCCCGTACCTCGTTTATAACCACACTTGCTCGTCGCCGACTCGATCGCCGCTGCCACGACTTGTGTCGCTCTGGAGCATAGGTACGAGTGGCACAGCAGCCACCACAGCTGCTGAGTCGAAGGAGTGCCTTGGCCGAGATTTCCCACGTATAGAGCGCGCTGGAGGCCGCCCGCGGCGGACGCCCGCTGCCTCCCTGTGCTGGAGTTGCTCCGGCGCGCGCTCGTTATATAGCCTTGCTTGCTACTAAGCTTCTTTCCCTGTCGTGCCTTTTCTTCTTCTTCTGCTTCGTATCTCCTGCTTTTTCCTGGCCAGCGCGGTGCTGTGCCCGTGTCTAGTCTAGTCTAGTCTGTCTCACGCCCGCGTCTCTTCTTGTATACCCCTCTACCTACCTATCTTAGCTCATCCCGTCCTGGTCCTGGTCCATCGTGTTTTATGCCCCGACTCTGAACCCGCACGTACAACCAACCAACCAACCAACCCTCTTCCATCCACCACCACCGCCACCGCCACCATGCCCGCCTTCCTCCAACGCGTCGTCCACAACGACGCCATGAAGCACGACCCGACCGAGATCTACGGCTGGCGCGTCTACATGCTCGCGTGCAGCGCGTGCTTCGGGGGCATGCTGTTCGGGATGGACATTGGCATCATCGGCGGCGTCATCACGCTGCCGGCGTTCAAGCACGACTACGGGCTCGAGCACCTGGATGACGAGGGCGTCGCCAACTTGAGCGCCAATATCGTCTCCACCCTGCAGGCCGGCTGCTTCGCCGCTTGCTTCGTTGCCAGCTATGTCGCTGATCGGCTGGGTAGGCGCTGGGGCTTGCTTATTGCGGCCATGGTCGCCATTGTCGGCTGTGTTATGCAGGCGGCGGGGATGGGCCATATTGCCGTTATGTATGTTGGGAGGTGAGTCTGTGTGTGCTTTCTTCTTATGCAGTTCTTTTGATCCCTATGATTATACTCACTGTGCATTTATTCCGTGCGTTTTTAATACGTACCTACACTTCTACGCCCTACACTTCCACACCTATACTTCAACACCCTACGCTTCCACTCCCCACACACAACCCCCCACTAACTCCCTCGCACCAGATTCATCGCCGGCATGGGCGTCGGCGCCGCCAGCATGATCGTCCCGCTCTACATCTCCGAAAACGCACCTCGGGCCATCCGCGGCGGCCTCACAGGGATCTACCAGCTCTTTGTACGCTCTCAACCCCCGCTCTCCCAGCCACTCACTAACGGCGCTAGATCGCGACGGGCACCATGCTCGCCTTCTGGACGAACTACGGCTCCGGCGAGCACCTCACAGGCATCAACACGTACAGTACATTCCCCTTCGCACGCTCAACCCCTCCACTCACACACACCCACTAACCCCCCTTATTCAGTCGTGCCCCTAGCGGTCCAAGCCCTCCCTGCCGTCCTCCTCCTCTTCAGCATGTACCTGTGCAACGAGTCGCCCCGCTTCCTCGCCAAAGCCGACCGGTGGGACGACGCGACGCGCGTGCTGACACGCGTGCGGCAGCTGCCGGCCTCGCACCCGTACATCCAGGCCGAGCTGAAGGAGATTGCGGACCAGCTGCGGCACGAGCGCGAGATGGTGGGCGGTGCAAGCTTCAAGGACTTGATGCGCGAGATGTGGACCATTCCCGGGAATCGCAAGAGGGCGGGCATTAGTGTGTTTTTGATGGTGTGTCAGCAGATGACGGGTATGTTGTTTTTTCTCGGGGTTGGGTTTTTTGCTTTTGGGGGCTTGGGGTTGGGTTTGGGGGGCGTGCGGTTGGTGTGGGCGTGGGCGTGGCCGTCCGCCGCTATATATCAACACCACGCGCACGCCCTCTAGTCCCAACCCAGAACCAAACTACAGCACCAACAACAACAACGACGACGACGACGCAGCTAACGCGCCCCCTACAGGCACCAACGCAATAAACTACTACGCGCCCACCATCTTCCAAGGCCTCGGCATCAAAGGCACGCAAACCGGGCTCTTCGCAACAGGGATCTACGGCGTCGTAAAAATGCTCACCTGCGCGGCGTTCCTGCTCTTCGTCGCCGACAGCTTAGGGCGACGGCGCAGCCTCCTCTGGACATCGATCGCGCAAGGCCTCTGCATGTTCTACGTGGGGCTGTACGTGCGCATCTCGCCGCCCGAGAAGGGCGCCTCGGTGCCGCCGGCCGGCTACGTCGCCCTCGTGTGCATCTTCCTGTTCGCCGGCTTCTTCCAGTTCGGCTGGGGGCCTGTGTGCTGGATCTATGTCAGCGAGATCCCGTCGGCCAGGCTAAGAAGCATGAATGTCGCGCTGGCGGCGGCCACGCAGTGGCTGTTTAATTTCGTGGTCGCGAGGGCGACGCCCAATATGCTGGCGACGGTGGGCAGGGCGGGCTATGGCGCGTTTTTGATCTATGGCTGCTTTTGCTTTAGCATGTTTTTCTTTGTGTGGTTTTTCGTGCCCGAGACGAAGGGTATGTGTGGTTTTCTCTTCTCCTTCCCCCCTTCTCCTCCTTCTCCCCCTTGCTTTTTTCGGCCTTTTACCACGCACCAAGAGTGGCGGATGGGAAATAACGGCTCTGCTGACTCAACTACTACATCGACGCAGGCCTCTCCCTCGAGCGCATGGACGACCTCTTCGGCGTCACCGAGCTGGCGGGAAAACGCCGCGAGCACGACGCCGAGCTCCAGCACGGCGCTGCCACTGCTCCTGCTGCTGCTGCTGGCGGGGCGCGCGACCCCGAGAAGAGCGCTGGCGCGCACGCGGTCGAGTACGCGGAGATAGCGCCGGTGGTGGTGGCGGGGCGGACGGACGGGTTGAGGGCGTAGGTGGTGCGGCTGGTCTGCTCTGGTCTGGTCTGCTCTGGAGTGTGAGATTGAGCTGAGGTGGTCGTGTGCTTGGTGTGCGTTGCATGGCGTGCACGTCTGCTTGGTTGGTTGGCTTGACGCCGCTGTCTTGAATTCGATTCGTCCTGCGCCTTTTGTAAGCTTGTGCGGCGTGGTTTCTGTGAAGTGATGCTTTTTTGCTTTTGCTTCCGTCCTAGGGGTCCTGCGTGCTTTGTCCTTCTTACATACGTCCTAATGTGCCGTACAGTAGGTACTCGGCCCTAAGTCTTCGTGCCACCCCTGCTTTACACCAAAACTCGCCTTGCGCAGTGAGCAATTTCGTAACTAAGGAGGTCATAAAAATACTTAAAACTTATACAAGTTAGAGAAAATTATATATCCTAAATTATTCTAATATTTTTAATAAAAAGACAATTTAGAGGAAGAAGGTTTTTTAGATATAATGTAAAGGTAATTCGGCGGTTTTATGTAAATTCGCTAGATTTTAAGAGCACGAGATTTTATACTATAGTTTCTTAAAACTAGAGACTCTTAACAAGAAATTTAAATTGGTAGAATAATAGTTTAACTGATTTTTTACTAATATAGAGATTTATAGCAAGGTTAGGTAGTTGTGAAATACGTGCGAAGAGGACGAGTTTGGGTGTAAAAGTGGGGTGGCACGAATACTTAGGGCATGTTACTGTATATGCAGTCCTATCCCTCTACGCCATGGGAGTACCCTAATTACTGTATACGGTATATAGTAGGTATTGTGCTGCCTACATGTCGTGAGATCTAGAGGTAACGCGCGCTGCACGCCTGGGTGGAAAGGTGGGTTGCGTACGGATTGTGAAGCGTGCGTGTATAGGTAAGCATAGGCTAAGACTGGGCTATAATTACCTAGAGTACATAGCGAGGAGTGGGGTCCATGGTGTAGTGACGCGGGGAATAGGGCGGACGCGGGGGGCTGCGGTGCGGGGTGACGTCAACGCGTCGCAGCCAAAGCATCTCGCTGTCACACCACACCACGCACAGTTGAAACTTTTCCACCTGTACAGTACAACTACTGCAGCCTGTTGCTGTCTGTCCGAAATACTGTAAGACGGATTGTTCGGCTCTTGTTTATACCTACCTTAGGTACAGTGCTTACGGCAATTGAGGAGCGGCTATGCCCAAGGCTCGCAAACCACCTGCTAAGCGCGCTGAGCCCGCTGGTGCGAGGAGCACGCGTGCTGGAGCGGCGAAGAATGGCCAGGGTGAGAAGGAGAAAGAGCAGGAGAAGAGCCCCTGAGGTAGCGAATGAGGGGGACAGGCGGAGCAAAGCGTATGCTCTCTCTCGCTCCTGATACTTTACCTACCTATCGATTTGCTCTTCTGTCATATACGCCGCTGACACGCGGGAAACAGCCGCAACAGTAACAGCAACAGCAGCAGAAAAAGCAGCAGAAAAAGCAGCAGAAAAAGCAGCCAAAATCCCCACCAGAGAGCTACCTTCTCCTGGTTGCCATGAGCGACATAGACGACCCCACCGTGACGCGCCTGCTCAGCGTAGACGCCGATTTCACCTTCAGCCAGCTGCACGAGGTGATCCAGATTGCCTTCGGATGGACCAACAGCCACACGTACACCTTCGACGTGAAGCCCCTCCCACCAGAGAACACGAACCGGGTGAGCAAGCACCTGCAGCACTTCCCGCTGTGCAGCCAACCCCACCCGCTCCCCCAAAACACAACACCACCACCCCCTCGTACCCCCACTAACAACGCCCCCTCAAACAGCCCATCTTCTTCCGGGACACGCCGCTCATCCAGCTCTCCGCCTCCGGCGACTCCGACTTCGGCTCCGCCGACGTCGACTTCCCCATCAAGAAGTCCGCCGAGTACAAACTGCGCGACGTCTACGGCGCGGACGCGTACAAAGGCAAAGTCGAGATCCAGTACGAGTACGACATGGGCGACAGCTGGCGGCACAGCATCGTGCTGCTGGGCGTGGCCGACCCCACCCTGCGCCGCATCATGGGCATCCCGCCCGAGGTGCGCGTCGTCTGTCTGGGCGGCGAGGGCCACCCCGTTGCCGAGGACTCGGGCGGGCCCGGCGGCTGGGACGAGCTGAAGGACTTGTTTAGGAAACCTCGCGCTAAGGATGAGAGGAAGGATTGGTATAAGAATGGCGGTTGTCTTAATGGTGATCCGAAGGGCTTGGATCCTTATAGGTGGGATGTCCTGGATGTCAACGATGGGCTTATGGAGAGCTTTCCTCCGCCGAAGGAGTAGTCTGATGGTGTAGTCCGATGGAGTAGCTTCCGCGAGCAAATGACTAGGAAAAGTTTTGTGATTTGTTGGCGTTTTGGCTTGGAACCGGCATGCTGTATCGTGTACGGACGCGTGGGAGGGCGCTGTATGGATGTATTCAAGACGGATCTTACCGCTAGTATCAAATCCATTGTATCTCCAACCACTGCGTGTCTTGCATCTCCAACCACTATATCTATAACATCGAACAAATCACGTGTCGATATATCCCACTGCGTATCCTGAAGGAACGTGCGGATCGCGCGGTACACCGCACACGGCACACGGCACCGCACCGCGCCGCGCCGCCTGCCTGACGTGAGATACCACGCAGCATGTAAGCTGTACATATTGCAGTAGTACTGGGGTAAAGTAGTGGGGGTAAGCTTCATCCCGCGCGCTTTCACATATCTGATGCCAAGACTGGGCTGTATGCAGAACAGGATGGGGTGGAGTGGGGTGGGGTGGTTGTTGGTATTGGAGCGGTTTGGTTTGGGTTGGTGGTTGGTGTTGGACTTGGTGGGGGGTGGGCGCTAGGGTTCGTGAAGTTGATTCGGCGAGTTTTGTGTTTCTGGTTCCTTTTCTTTTTTGGGTTTCTTTTTCTTTTCGGGTTGTGCACTGCACTGCACTGCCAAACCAGCCTTCAGTACCTGTGCACATTGAGTAACCATCCAGGGAGCAGGAGAAAAGGGGGTAGAAAAACCACAAGCACAAGTGTTCGAAAGTTTCGCGCGTGCTATGTCCTGCCTGCTGAGAGAAATTTGCATGGCTTTGTCTGATTTGAAGATGCTGCACCGCCTTTCCGTCCCTCGCCTTGAAACGCCCGTTTGTCTGCCTGACTGCCTGCCTAACCTGCCCTGCCCTATTTCAAATATTCGAAAATACACGCGCGCGTTGTATGGAGTTTGGAGTATGGACATGGGGGACCGGCCTGCCGATAGGGGGTTCCTTCCTGCCTGACGGCTGCCTGATTTGTCTGTTTCTTTTGTTTCCGCCTTTCGTCGCTGACACGAGCGGGAGCTCGCGTTTGTGGCTTCGAGCGCTTCATCATGTGTTGTGTCGTGTTTTTTCCTTTTTCTTGTTTTTCTGTTTTTCCGCTCACCCTTAAACCGTCGTGTCCGACGCGCTCTTGCTTCCCTGCCCATCGCAGCGCCACACCCTCCCACACACGTCGCGCCCAGAGATATACATCGAGCCGAGCAGCCGGGGCCTGCCATGTCTTGTCTCGCGGACGTGGTCGTCGGTATCATCTCGTCGCGGCGGGCCACGTCGCGCGCGGTTTACGTGTACGGGCGGGAAAGGCTCAGCGGGGATAGGGCGCGCGAAACGCTGCAGCGGCGTCTACCGCTTGCGCTCGAAGTAGCCGGACGAGCTCATCAGAGCCACGCCCTGGTCCATGACGACCTCGCCTACCCAGAGGTAGTTGTCAACCCATTTCTTGACATTGTCGGACTCGCTAATCGTCTCGGATTTCAGACTGGGCCTACCCCAAGGAGCGGGGAAACGTCAGCGTGTGCCTGCTGCGACGAGCTGTGTGTAGTGTAGTGTTGCATAGCAGAAAGGAGGAGAGAGGCGACAAGGGGATAAGGTAGGCTAGGTAGGGCTTGAAGGGTATGAGGTGAGAGCATACGTAAGGCCGGTCGAGCGCTTGACGCCGGCGAGGAAAGCGGAGACTATAGACGGGCCGGTTAGCGCGAGTGGCGAGTAGGTTTAGGAGTGCAAACGTACACAAAACAGCATCAAAGGCGTAGTGGGTCAGTCGTCCGAACTGTGCGAGAGTGGTGAGCGATAATGCGGCGTTAATCAGAGTTGCGGTGGAGCGCCTTACCACCATGGCTGCGACGGCGGGTTAGATTGCGGGCTGCGCAGAGATTTTGAACGAACGAGGTGGTGCGGTCGGGGGCTAGGCGGGCGGAGGCAAGTGGCGTGAAGGTGTTGTTATGTATGCTGAGGCGTGATGTTCTGATGCGCGCAGGGCCGCGGGAAGGCCCACTTGCGGTGCTATTGTAGGCTGGCGGAACGACGTTTGGCCGAGGGTTGCGCGCAGGCTGGGCTGGGCGTCGACGAGAGCACTTGGTACCTGCACACTGTCTACTGTATTGTAGTGACTGCTGGATGAGCTCCGATGGCGCACGGGGGGATGTTATTGGGTAGGACAATGAGCTGGCTTGGTTGGTCTACGACTCGCTCCGTTGGGCTGAGATGAATGATGGATGCATCATGCATGCCGCCGTAGGCCTCAGCAGGCAGGCAGGCAGAAGCAAGCTTGCAAGCATCGCCGTTACCGGGTGGTAGACTTGCAACTTGTTAGACGAAGGAACAGCAATAGGGCAGATCATCTCATCAGCTCCGGGATCCTCAAACGGCCGATACGCACATACGCGATAACCTGATGGTCACATTTTCGGTTTTGGTGTGGTAACAGGCGGCATGACCCCACCACAGCCCTCAACCCCCGGCCAGACCTGTTGTTAGTTGAGAGCTTTGCCCGCGCCTGGAAAAAGTCAACGTCGAGATAAATTGAGCCGCTCCCCCTCCAGCTGTCAAAAAAGCCCTTCTTCTTGTCCCACCTCTTCCCTACCTCACCACACAAGCCCGGTCAGACAAAACACCTGTCCGGCCCCTCACTTCCACTCCGGTGCGTCGTCGCTCATCCCACATCCCACACCACTTTTCTCCCACTAACCCAACAACTCCTTCAGCTTCACCTCAAATCTCTTGCACATCATCCGCAACAATGGCCAACGCTCTTGACCACCTTAACGCTGGCCGTACTCGCATTGAGTGGCTGTCGCAGCTCAACACCGAGTACCAGCCCGCTAGGAACTACCGCCGCACCTCCATCATTTGCACCATTGGTACGTCACTCCACCCGATGAACCTTTCTCGTGCCACAACCTCGCAAAGCTAACGCCAATGCCATTGAACAGGCCCCAAGACCAACTCCGTCGAGAAGATCAACCTCCTCCGCAGGGGTACGTTCCGCACGATCCGTCTTACCCGCGTCTGACCATACTGACAAGCTACCAGCCGGTCTCAATGTCGTTCGCATGAACTTCTCCCACGGCTCGTATGAGGTGCGCGCCCCCGCACGCGTTTCTAAGCACCGTCGAACGCGCAGCTGACACCACATCTTACAGTACCACCAATCCGTCATTGACAACGCGCGCGAGGCCGACCGTACCCAGCCCGGCCGCCCCGTTGCCATTGCTCTCGACACCAAGGGCCCTGAGATCCGCACGGGTAACACCGTCGAGGAGAAGGACCACCCCATCAGCGCCGGCGATGAGATCAACATCACCACCGACGAGGCGTACGCCACCGCTTCCGACAACAAGAACATGTAAGCCGCCAATTGCTGCGAGAACCTTTTGGCGATAAATGGCTAATCCACCCCGCAGGTACGTCGACTACAAGAACATCACCAAGGTCATTGAGGCCGGCCGTACCATCTACGTCGATGACGGTATCCTCTCCTTCACCGTCCTCGAGATCGTCGACGAGAAGACCCTCCGCTGCCGCTGCGAGAACAACGGCAAGATCTCCTCCAAGAAGGGTGTCAACCTTCCCAAGACCGACATTGACCTTCCCCCTCTCTCCGAGAAGGACAAGGCCGACCTGAGGTTCGGTGTCAAGAACAAGGTCGACATGGTCTTCGCCTCGTTCATCCGCCGCGGCAGCGACGTCAAGGCCATCCGTGAGGTCCTCGGCGAGGAGGGCAAGGACATCCAGATCATTTCCAAGATCGAGAACCAGCAGGGTGTCAACAACTTCGACGAGATCCTCAAGGAGACCGACGGTGTCATGGTTGCCCGTGGTGACCTTGGTATCGAGATTCCTCCCGCGCAGGTCTTCATCGCCCAGAAGATGATGATCACCAAGTGCAACATCGCCGGCAAGCCCGCCATTTGCGCCACCCAGATGCTCGAGTCCATGACCTTCAACCCCCGCCCCACCCGTGCTGAGGTTTCTGACGTCGGTAACGCTGTCCTCGACGGTGCTGACTGCGTCATGCTGTCTGGTGAGACCGCCAAGGGCAACTACCCCGAGGAGGCCGTCAAGATGATGCACAACACCTGCCTGCTCGCCGAGGTTGCCATTCCCTACGTCAACGCCTTCGACGAGCTCAGGAGGCTTGCTCCCATCCCCTGCCCTACCTCCGAGACCTGCGCCATGGCTGCTGTCAGCGCTTCTCTCGAGCAGAACGCTGGCGCCATCCTGGTTCTGAGCACTAGGTAAGTCAAATTGTCCAATCCGATAACTTTCAGCGCTAACTGCTTAACAGCGGTAACACCGCCCGCCTCGTCTCCAAGTACCGCCCCGTTTGCCCCATCATCATGGTTACCCGCAACGCTGCTGCCACCAGGGTAAGTTCGAATGGCCCGAAATCGTCACGCTTGCCACTAACGCGTCTCGCAGTACTCTCACCTGTACCGTGGTGTCTACCCCTTCCTGTTCGCCGAGGAGAAGCCCGACTTCAAGTCCAACCCCTGGCAGGAGGATGTCGACCGCCGCCTGAAGTGGGGTATCATGAACGCCATCAAGCTTGGTGTCCTCAACCGCGGCGACGCCGTCGTCTGCGTCCAGGGCTGGCGCGGCGGCATGGGCCACACCAACACGTTGCGCATCGTCCCCGCCGAGGAGGACCTTGGTCTTGACCAGGACGCGTAAGTGAAACTTCGATAGCTCGTGCAAGCATCGTTAAAAGTGGCTTTTTCCCTCGTTGTTCCTTTTCGCATTAGATGGGGTCGAGAAATGATATTTCTCTCGTATAGGAACCAGAAGAACAGCAACAGGAGCAGCAACAACAACAACATGCCGGAGTAGAAAGAAAAAAGAAGGAAAAAACGGGAAAGGGCCGGCTACGGGCACGCACACGGACGAACGACAAATACTCTCCGGGGCTCCTGGCTGCAACCATTTTCTTCTACAACTCTCCTCTTTTCTGGACAACAATGGGATGGGATAAACGGTGGGGGGTGATTAAATGGACGACCCGGATGGGATGGAACTTAGACGGGAATGGAAACCGGACGACACTTTTGGGAGTAGTAGTGATTCTCCTTTTTTTAACGGTCTTATGACAATCTGATAAATGCTTCTCTATGCGTATGTGTTGCTGTGCAGTGAGTGTTGTGCGATTTTGTAGGTGTGTGTATGTGTGTGCTGGTTGGTTGGTTGGTTTGCTACCTGCAGTACACTCCGTTTCGGGCTTTTTTT